TGCTGAACCTCGTGAAAAAATCAAGGTTACCCCAACTTACAGCACCCCTAGAAGCTATCAGAACACATTCTCAGCGACCCAAAAACATCACCCATCCAACCAGCACACTCGAACCACTCTTACCTCGTCGTATATAAAGTTGTCGATCTCCTCGAGCGGTCTGCCGTACAGTTCAGTCGGGAACGGTTCGTATTTGTTTGGAAGCACCGCGCCGTCCTCGACGGACATCCGTCTCTTCGGTTGGAACCCATAATCCCTGACCAGCTGCACGGTCCTGTTCTCCAATCTATCGAGGCTCTCCTTTGTGAACAGCTTCACCGTTTGCTTTCCCCCGGTAGGCGTTTTCACGGACAACCTATTACCATTGGCAGCCTCGTTCTCGATCCCGCCATCCGCGATGTCGCCCGGAGCAGTCGCTCTGGGTGTGCCTAGGGGGTCCACCTGGATCTCTGCGCTACCGGAATCACCTGTTCCAGAATCAGCTGAGGTTCCAGCCGCGTTAACCAACGGTGGTCTAAGTCTAGCAACATCCCTGGGCCTGGAGACACCGTCTTCCGTCGATCTCTCGAAGACGACATTAGAGTCCACCGTGTCGTGTAGCCCTCTGTCCCTCGAGCTATTCGACTTACGCCTGCCGACCGTTTTATCCGACTCGTTGGCCGTCGACAGGAGCCTTTCCTCGCCCACTAAGTGTTCCTCGCGTACTGTACGTTCACGATCCAGATCGGATTTCGAGTGTCCGTGACGGGTCTCCTCGGCGTACGAGGCCAGCGGATAGCTGGCGAAGATAGGCGACGGGGTCTCGCAGCTCTCGTACTCGTGACCGGTGTACTCAGGCGGGCTGAGACCCGTGTACGGTGGCGGAGACGACTTGGCCACATCGGAGGCTCTGCGAGACTCGCTGGTCTCGCTCGCTGGTGAGATGAGTATCGAGGCGGAGGCACGGGACGATCCAACGTCCTGCCCAGGCCTGATGTAATCACGGCTGGACGTTGGTTGACGCGACGTATCGTCGACGTTCGAGTCGATCCAGGATTGTTCCTCGACCCGTGACGGGAAGTCCAGGACGGATCCTCGAACGGAGCCCGACAAACCCCTAGTATTCTCTTCCTGTTGCGGCTGCCAATGGTCCCCCGAGCGTAGCCTCTCGATAGACGACGGCGATCCATGACGATCGTCGCCACGTCCAGCGAGCTGTTCGTATCTAGCATCGTAACGTGACCCAACCTCGCGTCTCGACGGCTGCGGCGTTCTCGAGACCCCGACACGCGAACGATCCGACAGCTCGAACTCCTCGGCGATGCCCACGGGTAGATTCAAGCTTCTCTGGCTGCCGATGTCACGCGCGGATCTCTCGAGTATATCTCGCGTGGAACGGGAGGATCGAGTGGTCTCCGCCGACGACGAGAACCGAACGAGCTCTTCTCTGGAGTGGTGCCGCGGGTAAAGGCCCGCCACTCTAGGTCGATTAGTGAAGCCATTGTCCTCGGAGCCGTTGCTCGGAGGGTTGGGAGAACCTTTACATCCCTCACGGCCACCTTGCGACGGTATCATTGGAATCTTTGGTACATCGGCCGACCGGAATTTCTAGCTTTCATCATCGTTGCGACGATCCTCCGAACCTATCCCGCCTTTTCGAGCTTTTGTATCGCGTCGTTTCCCGTTCCTGGTCTCTCGTTCCGTCACGTTCACACGAGCGATACGACAAGTCCCACGTTGTCCGTACGATCTCCATCGTTCCCCAACCGTAAACAAAACCACGGCGGTCGCATCACGATCGGGGGGACGTTTTTCGCGTTGCTTCCCTCTTGGGCCACCGAACGTTTTCACGACACTGCGGCACGCACACACATACACAGACAGATACACACACCGGTGGAGGGTCGCGAACCCTTCCCTCCCGTCCGCCACCACGGAACAGCCTGTTCACCGCACCACTGCTGGCTATTCTACGCGCGGGATGGAGGGGGGTGGATGTTCGTTCGACGCTCGTGTGAACGGGTACTTCGTGTTGCGGTTCCCCCGCGTCCTCCGTATGCTGGTCCTTTTGAAATCTCAAAAGGGATTCTATGCACCCACGGCGAACCCCGCTATTGACTGCACGCCTGAGCGGAATGTGTGTCGCGGTTATACAGTTATATAGACTCTTCTTTTTTCGTCGATGACGATCGTGACCCGCTGCGACGCGTTTACCACCGTCGTACGATAAAGGATGCCAGGAAAACGGAGAATCGTAAGCTAGGCGAAACACGGACAGGTGAAACTGTGTGTACACGAATGGGACGGGGGATCGTGGGAGACTGAACAGAAGGATGTAAAAGGTGGTAAAAATCGACAGAGAACCGTTGTTAATCCCTCTAATCCGGCCTGTCCTGCGACGACTCCTCTGTACCGTTGACACGCGATTCTGCGGGTATTCTCATTGCAGTGGTCTGCGTGTATATGTGTGTGAATGGTTCTGGTCACTCTGTTAGACACTCGCGAGCCATGGTTACCACCTGTTTTATCAAAACGGGTCGGAGGTTCGCGTCGCGGTACGTGCACCCGTTACCGCCGCGGACGGGTCGACGACGAGGACGACGTGTCGTGTGGGAAACAGGGTGAGGAGAGGCACGGTGAAAGGATGACACCGAGGCGAGTGTGAGGAGAGAGAGATAGATGTATGTATGTATATATAAATATATAGCAAGTGTGTGCGTTCCGAGTCGAAACGGCGGTGGACGGGACCGTTGGGGGTGGTGGAGGGGGGTCGAAGGTGACACACACGTAGGTGAGCAAAAGATGGGAAAAATCTTCGAAGAAAAATAACAGGCCCCTTTGAGTATCGGGAAGAGAGCCGAAAGAGGAGAAAGACGGAGGAGAATAGGAGAGAAACCCGTGGGTGCACACTCGTCATATAGTTCGATGGAATCGTGACGCGAGAGACCCAGGGTGCAAAATCACGGACGGGTCCCCGACGAGAACTGTGACGATACTACGGTACACGAAGTCGATTCGTTCGCCGCGCGCGCGCGCGTATCGAACGACGACGGCGCGACGGCGGCAGCGCGGCGCGCGACCGTAGGAAAAACGGCTTTCCGGTCTCTTCTCTCCTCGTTTTCTCTGTACAAGCGAATTTATCCTAACACACGTTCAAAGTACGTGCAGGTATGTATTATGTAAAGGTGTGTGTGCGTGCGTGCACACGCGCGGTTATATCGTTGCCGCCGCGAAACTAACTAACGAACCACCACCAACCCCCGCGAATGGAGTCTCCTTTTACCATCGTCCAGCGCGCTGTCCCCCACCACCGTGGGGACACACGGACTTGATCGCCCTTTGCAGGTGATACTGCGACCAGCGAAAAGTTCACTGGTTCCTCCTGATTTTTGTCCTTTCTGGCCTTGTGGCTGACATTTCCATCCGGGGTGGGGGGCACCGACCCGTGCAATTTCCATGCTACCACCGATCTACGAAGTGTACTCTTGTACCGCTTGGAACGTTATTGAGAGGAATATTTTGTTCCGGTGAACGGGATTTTGTGGACACTTGAGGTGAGAACGAGGACGTACGAGCTCCAGAACTGCTTTCGTCGTTTTTCTGGAAAATGAGAGAATTGCTTTAAAGATTCAACGATTCGAAGCATTGGCGCAACTCCGGCACGAAATGATACGGTGGTTCTCAACTGGGACAGTGGTGTGAGAAGTCGGGCAACGGGACTTCGAATCGCGAAATGTGAATATAGGATTTTTTCTTTGTGCTGGGCTTGAGGAAAACTGTTTGATTGGACGAACTAAACGTGTTAATAGTAATTAATAGTCGAGGTACAAAATGGTTTCGGCGATAATATATTGAAATAGTATTTTAAATATCCAGATAGCGCATGACGCCTTAAAGACACCCATTTTATGGCTATTTTAAGTCTAAGACGCTTTTAAGCCGTATTCAAGGCGTCATTGGGCGTGATGTGCTATCTGGGTAGGTGATGTATTTTTAGGACCATTTCGACCAACTTCGATTAACCCTTTCGTTCCTACTGTTGCTATATGGCTACGTATTTTAAATTACGAAATAAAATATTAGTACCGTGTATTTTTTAATATCTAGAATAGTTTATTCCCAGATAGCACATGGCGCCTAATGATGCCTTGAATACGGCTTAAAAGCGCCTTAGACCTAAAATAGCCGTAAAATGGGCATCTTCGAGGCGTTATGTGCTATCTGGATATAGACAATATGGTACAAATTTGAACGTGCAATTTAAAAATGTAGCGGTAAAATAAAACATTAATGGTCTCTTGTCTCATTCATTTGATGGAATTCAAGTGTTGAGCATTGTTACAAATGCAATAAAAACTTACAAAATTGTAGTTTCTTTCAAATATGGTAAGAGGGTTTAATGGTGAAACGTAAGAAAAATTCGGTTTTATGAAGAATAATAACATTACAATCAGAAATATTATATATAACTGTGATAACGGTAAAAAAGTTGTGAAATGGCAACGAACGAAAAACTGCATTAGACGGTTTCACAATGTTAAATGTTCTTGTGAATCATTTATGTCATCTAATATACACAAAACTACAACATAATATTTCTGTGGTCATTTTTAAAGATTTAATCAACGAGTAACTCTATCAACAGTGTAGCTAAGTTAAACGTTAATTAAAGTTAATCGAAGTTGGTCGAAGGGGCCCTTAGACTGTGGATGTTTATGCAAATACAGAACTTTATAGAATAATTTTCCGTAACTGGACGTAACGAAAAATTTATTTGCCTCGTTAAGATTCAGTTTCAGCAGGTTTGAAGTAACAAGAAAACCTGAATAAACTTGCGGAAACAGATGGTTACGGTTTTTTAGACAACTTTTGGCATTTATTGCTGGCAATTTGCTCGAAACTTATACACAACTGGTTATTAGGGATACATATGTTGTGTAAAACATTTAAACTATTACTTCGAATAATATAATTTGTAGATTACAGATGTTTGTTCAAATTCAAATTACGATTTTCTATATCGATGGTGTTATTAGGTTCAAAGTAAATTAATCGCTTGATTAGGTACTTCGTAAAGTCTCTATTTTCATCTTTTTATATTGAAATATACCATAAATTCACAGAATCCACAGTCTAATAATAAATTTCAGGTATTTATAGAAGCAAAAGATACATATCCAATTATAACATTAATCATTTAGTTCTAGTTCTTCCTGTCTGGTAGCTTTTCATACTAATTTGTGACCTTTACACAAAGTAATGAAGCATAAAACTTTCAAAATAGTTTTAAGCAGATATGTAAATTAGTTGACAACGGTTCCCTGTGTAATTGTAATGTAAACAATATTTATTTTTACCTTAGTAATTCAACATTGGTACATATCCATATAAAGATGCATAGTAATCTCGGTACTCATAACAGCCATATGCTTATGTTTATTGCATATGTGCTCACATACAATATTTCTATATACATATGTATATATCGAACGTCGACAATGTCGATGAATTTTTGGTTCACGTTCTAAGATAAGAAAAACGATTCGTCTAATCAGTAAGTGTTCTATCATATTTCTAAAATTCTCCTTTGTTGCACTTCACGTAAACCGAAATACTTTGTCACGGCAATTAGTGGTTCATTGCTGGCTCAACGATTCTGAAAAGCCAGACGAAATAAATTTTCCTATCTTGATTATTATGTTCGTAGTTCAGCTAATTTTAGTCGTCATTTCAAAATCATTTAAAAAAATTAGAATCATAATTACCATGTACAGAAACACACACTCGTCCATGCACACGCGCGTACACATGATATACATGTATCCTCATACATCATGTATACATATAATATGTATTATGAATTCAAAGCGTTTTATAAGATATAATATGTCCGAAATATCAATGTTTCACGAAATAAAGTTGTCGTGACTCTTACTATTTAACTGTTAATTGTGCTGACTACATCTTTTTTTTTTAATTATTAAAGGTCAAAAGAATTTTGTGACAACTTTGGTTATATCTAATTTAAAATAGCTCTCTACATACCATTCTCTCTTTGCAACACATTTTCTTATGAGCACGGATTAGAATTTGACATAGTATTTCTTGATTGGATGACTTGTATATTATTTACTAGCAAAATTATATTTTCCACTCTAATTAGTTAGTAATCTATAACGCTTCAAGACTATAAAGAAACAGCAAAGTTATTTTCATTTACAGGTCCTTTTTCTTTTAGGACAGAAGGTGTATGTAAATTAGGTTGAATTTCGTGACAATTAAGTATGCAAAAACCAAACTTTTACAATGAGATTAAAGCATACCGGCTACATATTTGTTCATTTTTAATTACTAATAACTTTAAATATCTTCGAATCTCCAACCAATGTCTTATGAAAATATAAAACACTATTAGTGCATTCCGTCTAATTTTTCGGTTCCTACTACAGCATTATAAAACACTTTCTCTATATCTCTTATATATTTTTATATACATTTTAATTAAACAATACAGAATTAGGATCTTCGTTGTCAAGCTGCTTCACGTGTCTCAATACGTCCTTTTTCGTAATAACTCCCAAAAGTCGGCTGCATATGCAAAATTTATTACAATAAATAAATATGAACATTATATTGTAAAACGTAACTAAAAATAATGTAATAGACTCTAATTAATATATTAAGGAAGGAAAACACGTACCCATTATGTGTAACAAGTGTCTGTCTTAATCCCAATTTTCTGAACATATCAACAACAGTTTCCATGGGTGTTTGGTCTGTAATAGTAATCGGAGCCATGTCAAGAATCTTCTTTAACTTAAGAGGTGGAGGGGAATGATTTTGAATATTATTTCCATTGGTGAATATGACCAATGATTGTCCAGTAATTTCCTCAATCATACGTTTCCCATTCTCAATCGCAAGATTCAGATCTCTACGTAAGACAAAGCCAACAAGATACTGCGATTCTTTCGAAACTATTACAGGAAAACCATTGTGTTCTGTTTCTTTCAATAAATTTTTGACGTCTTCGACTGTCATTGAATCCTGAGTAAGCACGTGAAAAGCTTCGTTGCGTCTAGAGAAAAGTAAAATTAGTTAATTACAAAAGCGACATGATATCGAGGAATTAGTGAAAATAATGTGTTACTATGTAACAAGTCACTTACTTGGGCTGCATCACATCAGCCGCAAGAGTGGTGTGTTGAAATTCGTCTTTACTATCGAGGAACGGATAGCCATTCAAGCCAATGTGGGCGTCGTAGATACCCTGCTTTCCAAGAGCATCACCGACCCATTTACTTGCCATCGCGGCAGCCATTAAGGGCACGATATATCTCACTCCTCCGGTTAATTCAAACATTATCACAACAAGGGACACGGTCATTCTGGTAACGCCACCAAGAACAGCCGCGGCACCAACCATTGCGTACAGTCCAGGAGTTATGCAATCCACACCGGTCGAACATTCTTCGCTGAACATCCAGATGTGTGGATAATTATACGCGAGTTGTTCCATACCAATCCCGACAATACGACCCATTATCGCTCCCAAGCAAAGTGATGGAATAAATAACCCACACGGTACTTTCATACCGAATGTAAATATCGTCAGAATAAGCTTCAGAATTAACGCCAACACAAGAAGCCACATTGCCTTGTACACTCCAGGCCCAGCTGCTGCAATCTCGATCGCTGACTTTACAGCAGTGAAGTTTCTATTATAATCGCTGTATGACAAAAGATAAATAAAACGAAAAACTTTCCCCTGAATATCTTAAAAGTTAATAATCTGTAAAAGGTTAAAAAGAACGAAAGCTTGTACGAACCACAAAATGTCGGCGTTCGAGACTCCGCATTGACTAAACAATAAATAAATTAGTTGACTTGTGCTCATTCGAGTGTACGGATTTGGATATCCAATAACGGCAGTTGCAACCGTCACGATCAAAACTTCCGTAACCGGGTACTGACCAAGTTTTGATGTTTTACGATAACGGCACCAAAACAAATTAGCTTTGATGAACAAAGTAGCAATTACTCCCTAGAAAGCAAAGAGACTATTTTAAAAAGAGCTCTATGTCCATAAAAGAAATATTGCAAAAAAAAACTTACACCAATTATTCCGAGCATGACAAAAGGTATCAACTCAAAAAATATCCAAGGTTTGTTGTATTCGACGTAAAAAAGCACCGAGTGCTCATTACCAAAGGGGTTTATTGATCGCAAAATGAAAGCGGCTATTAGGGCACAGAAAAATGACCGCCACAACGTCTTCAGTGGAAAGTAATAACTCACCTGCGAAACAAATATTGTATGTTTTTATACAATCATACAATACACAATAACACTATACGGTTCTATGTACATAATTTTGTATTTGTTTTTTTTTTGTTTGTAATCTACGAAAGTCTTACCTCTTCGAGACTAAAAAGAACACCTCCAATCGGAGCGCCAAAAGCAACCGAAACTCCCGCAGCGGCCGCTGCCGATAAAATTTCTCTTTTCTTAGCCTCGTTTCTACCATACTTTGGAAACAGATAAGAAAATATATTTCCTATACAGCAAGCAATATGAACCATTGGTCCTTCCTTGCCTAAATTTAAACCTGCCGAGACCGACAATATCAAACCTACTGATTTAATTATCAGTGTCCATTTTCCCAAATATCCACGGATAATAAATCCGCTTAGAATGGTTTTTATCTAAGAGATAAATCCGGTTAAAAAAATAATAATTTTGTTCCTTTCTCCTATACACACCTCAGGAATACCGGAACCACAAGCGTATGGAGCGAACATTCGTACTAACGACGCAGAAAGGGAAGCAAATAGAAGAGCCCAAGCTATGTAAAACATGTACGAGATCATATAAGGACCTGCACCATCTTTTGACTGGCTAAATACTTCTGGCCATGTCCTCCACTAAAACAAACAACAAAAACATAAAATTTATGTATTGAAAGTTTAAGAAGGTAAAACAAACCGAATGTACCTGCGAACAGTTACCACCATCGAAAGTTGTTTCGTTATAACTCCAACAACATTGTTCTTTATTTAACCAAAATGCTTGAGGGCATATACCAAATTTTAAGTCGGTCATCCAAGAGGCACCTATATCTATGATACCTGCTGCAACGCCTGTAAAGAGACCAACTAATAAAACACAAAGCCATCCAGACCATGCATCGTGGGCACCCTTAATTAAGCCCCAAATAGAGTCATGCTTTTTCTTGACAATATATCGATGTCGCATTCTATCTCTGGCAATATCTCTTTGCCAATCAATCGTATGGAAATCTTCGTACTGGCCAATTCCAGGGATATCGTCGGAATCGACTGACACTGCAAGAGCAAATGAAAATGATGCGTAACTTCAGAAATTATGTGAAATAATTACAATAAAGGTTACTCACTGTGAGAGGAAGCATCGTCGATTCGAATACAATGATCCGAAAAAACAGAATTCTCTCCATGTTGAGAGCCTACGTTATTAACTTCCAGCATGTCGTCGTCGCTGCTCAAATTATTATCACGCCCAGTAGTTCGTTTTCGCGATCGCACATTCTCTACAAAATGCACATCATCTGAATTTTCTACCTGTTACAATAGAAAGCACCTTGTATACTATTTGTTCCTTTAATTTTTCTTTATCGAAGTTTTTGTATGTGACTATTTCAACCTTACCTTTGTATCAAGTGATTGGTATGTTGTAAATGTATTTTGGTAATTCTGGGGGAATGTATTGTTCGACAAATTTGTACCTTTCAGTGGAAATTTCTCCATGGCATTGACACCTGGAAAATACAACGTAAAATAAAATTATTATATTATGTATAGATAATAATAATAATACATAAATATGTATACACTACATACAAATGTATATAATATACGTTTGGCATATCTAAGGAACACAATTAAGATTAAAAATCATTAAAACTGAGTACCTTGTACAAAAATAAAATTTCAAAACAAATTCTTTGAATATGTACAATAAAATGTTGTTATAATAAAATCACTGGTAAAACTAATAATAACACAGAAGAGCACAGATCCTAAATATACAAAATTATTTTATGACACAGTTATATCCAGTGAAACTTTTCAGAGTGGCAGACAATCACCTTTGTGTGTGTTACTTTCAAGCATATTGAAACTCAACTGTCCTATAAGAGATTATCATACTTTCAGTCTGTACTTTGTATTAAATTATATTGATGAATAATTCATAATTGCTGTCTACAAAATGAAATTACAATTTCTTCATTGGAATTCATTTCATTTCATTTTATATTGTTTTTAACAATGTATTATTATAACAGAAAAATAATAAAGTAATTTCTTTTGTATGTGGAATAATTTATTTATAACATATAATAATATTTAATATATGATGTAAAAATAAAAGTTTCCTATTCCTGATTCCTAAAAAAATATTCATACTTTTATTTAATTCCTACATGTAATATATACATGATAGATAAAAAATAATTTATTTTGAAATAGTGTACTTTAATAATTACATAATGAAATACTTTCTACTTGAGAACAGCTTTAATGATTACCTGAAAATATTACAATTGTTCACTAGATAAAATACAATATTTATAAATGTCTTTTAAGAATTATAATTAAAATAATCATATTCGTGATAACCAATAAACACATAAATGGTTAAGAAGAACTTGGTATATCTATTACAGAAAAAAATTTAAATTCATAAAGATATATTTATGCATTTATCTATACTTGTCTGTTTAGATCTATGTACTGTCAAATGTTGCAGATAATTTTTACATATGCGCAAATAAAATTGTCTCAATAATACTAAATTTGATAACTATTTTTTATCTGATTTTATTAATAATAAGCTTCTTTTACTGAATTTCGGCCAATAAAATTTACTCTGACTTTATATATAAAAGTGTATATAAAATAATTTAATCTTTTATGTAAATATTATTTAAAATGTAAAGTAAGTTAAATACATTGATTACTATTTTCTATTTTCAATAAGTTTGGAATGTATTTACTCTATACATATGTATTAGATAATAAGAGAAGTAAGCTTATATTATTACAAAAATGTAACAAAATTATGAAGAACTGAATAAGTTTAGTTAATTGCAGCATCTAAGATTTAATATCAAGTATTAAACTTCCAAATAAACAAAGGATTTGTCAGTATATTATGATCATGGTATTACAATATATTTTGATATAGTTGATTTTGACTTTCAACGATGACGGAAGGCAACAAACAATAATAAACGTATTCAAAGGAAAATCTAATTACTTCAAATAAGAAGAAAGAGAGGTTATCAACATCCGTATGAAGTACGAAAAAGTAGTGTAAAATAAAAGTTAAATAACTCGGTATTGAGCTAAAATATAAAATGTGGTTAAATTCATCTTGAAATGTATTACAGAAGAATTTCTGTTCTTGTGAGGTTAGAATTAACACCATACTTTCGATCCTTTCGACAGATCAAGATGTTCATCTGCTTGCTTGCACTTACCATTTTTTCAACTACAGTGCTTTTCCGCTTTCTATTCATGAATTCAGTTTTCCTCTTATTACGTCAACATCGAATAACACTGTTCACTTCCACCAAGGTAACAACTTCACCGCAAAAATACAAATATCCTTGTCGACCACGGCGAAATAGGCGAAGGAAACACTCAGAAACACTTGTCAAAGCGTGTCCCTTCTCTCTCACTCGTCCAGCTCCCTTTCTTCTTTATTTAATTAAAGTGTGTCAGAGCGCGCCACCTTAACGAATTCCATTAAGTAAGCAATTTGTTTGCAATACGTATTTCGCACGAGTTATTTAAGGTCATGCAACGAATTATCATAAATTAATGAATACAACAAAACTATTTACATAACTGAATTTTCTATTATGAAAATTAAATAAATATTATTCTACCGACAGCTTTATTACAAAAACATTTCATTAAAAAAAAATGGTGTTTAATGTTTTTAATTGAAATAGTTTCACAATTGTATTTATTTCTCATACCAGGTAGTTTGTTCAATATTCACACCTTTTATAATCAAACAGGAGCTCACATTTGTTTATTTGGTTCTCAATTACTTCAAATGTACATTATAAATGTTGGGAAAAAGATAAAATTAAAATGTATTGAAAGAGGCCAAAAGACGTATTTCTCTTATTGTCTCTTTTTGATACATACATTAATGAAAATTTAAAGGATATATACAATATATTCTGTGAAAATTTCAATAGTGAATTGATACAGACTTCACATTCCAGTTTCTATACCCCTGAGTTCTTCTTTTGCTGTAACATTTGTAAATCCTTGGTATTTGATAGGGTAAGCCAACTGATTTCCTTTATTCCATGTGTACAGTTCCTATACGTATAATAATTTTAAATAGGCATATTACCTAGAAATTGTTTATCAAAAATTGTTTTTAAATCGAAGGAAGTTTACCTTAGTCTTATGATTGTAGCTAACTGATGTAGTTTTATGAAAGGGATTTGTGAATGATAAATGAACAGGTATTGTAACATTTTTATAAAGGTCGAAAGCCAATCTGGAAAGATATCCATAATTAAACATTTAAACCTGTCAATCTTGTACAGAAATTTATGTTTCAACAAACTTAACTATACCTTATTTTCATTGTTTCTTCAGTCACACTGTGCACAGCATAAAGTACTCCTCCAGCAATAAACATTTCCCCAAACTTATGATGATCGATACTAATATTCCATGCATATTGAATGTTCATGTTGTTTGCATCCATTTTCACCACTACTGTATTATTTGATGGTAATCCATATATTATCCATAAGCCTGTTGTCACAAATAATTCATATAGCCTTCATCATTGTTTTTTCTGTTATGAATTGTTCTATAAAATCAATTATGATACAATTACCATTTTCATCGACATTAAAATCGACGTAATTAAAATTATGATCCGGCGTGTACAAATAGTTTCTTGTATTCACTAGTAATCCAGGAAGATGCAATTCGCATCGTGTAAACTCATTATCGCACACATGATCAGAAACAGAATGGAGATTGAAACGAAAAATGGAAGATCGATTTATGGGATTATAATAGAATGATCTATTGTATACTATATGTCCATTCCCCTGGAAATTAATGACAAATGATTATAAAATAACGATCTATCATATACTATATGCTTATATACTTTTCTAACCGAATTGAATTTAATGTCTTGCAACGTGCTTTTAAAAATGCTACAATATACCTGAAATGGATAAGGTAATGCAATAGGATGTGAACTACCGTTTTTAAAATGATCTTTCGACTTATACTCAAAAATGAAAGAAGTGTCATTTTTTCGAGTGACCCAAAGTTTATCGGAAAACCCATCCGATCTCGAAGATGCATCATGCATCCAACTTCCATAATGATCATCCATTGTACCTTTTAGAACAGGTTTTCCCGAAGCTTCTATTACACCATCTGTAATATTAAATGAATTAACAAGCAACTAATTCACCGAAATTAAAAAGTATTTAAAATGATAAAGACATAGTTTACCTGCTAACCGTGGTGGAAGCCCAGTGAAATTGACGTTCCTGAGTGGCTGAACATTCAAGTACTCAGCAACGTCTGTGAAGGTACACCTTAGGACTGGACAAGCAGCACAAGTTTCACGTGGTGCACAAAGTTCCTCTAAATCGACGTGTTGCGGTGCGGGATCTCCGTAAGTAACATGTTTTCCACTTTTTAATCTTTCTGTATTTTTTACGTCGTCTGAAGTTATTTACAATGTTAATATTAATTAATTTATTATTTTAATAGTGTATGTATTGAAAATATGTGATAAATATCTGACCGTTAACTATTAACGAGCCTTTGGTGGTATCGATATCGTTTTTGGCAACACAATGGTAGGTACCATGCTCCGCCAAAGTTATTCTTACAATTTTTAAACGCATTTTAAGCTAAACAAACCATTGAACAATGTGTAGGAATAAATACATTTATACTATATAGTATTATCTGTATTACCTTATAAGTATCCCTTCTATCGTAAACTTCCATTCTATATTTATCAGACATTTTGAGGCGACGACCGTCTTCGCGTTCCCAGTAAAGAACAGGTTCTGGATATGCCTCGACCTCACATTCTAGAGTTGGAGTACTTTGACTGCGTATATGAATTATTTGGTTGCGTATTCGAATGAAAGGCGGAACTAAAAAAATTGCCTCTTCTTTATGTCAATCGAGGAAAGGTAAGTCTGGGAACAGAACTATAATTTGTGGTAAAATACTTACATTTAACTTGAAGTGCAAATCTTTTCACTGCACGTGGAGGAACTCCATTGTCAGCAACACACGTATATTCTCCCATGTGTTCTCTATTCACTACACTGATATTAAATGTATATCCAATAACAGAAGTCACTATATAATAAATCATTAGAATAAAAGTAGGTTTGTGAAATAAGTTTGCTCGTGAATTACAAGCAATCAAACATATCTGAAATGTTACTAATTAGCATGCTTTTATTACCGTGCCAAGATCCTATAGGTATGACACTACCATCAGTTCTAAACCACTGTACAACAGGCTGAGGCTTTCCACTCGAAGCACATTTCAATCGTACGTTGGTCCCTTCGTAAACTGAAATTGATCTTGTAGAATTCATGGTTGCTTCTAACATTCTATCATCTAAAATGTTTAATAGATGAAGCTGTAATCTGACATTATTGTTTTTCAAATTCATTCATTCTGTACAGATACTTACCTAAAATAGAAGGAGGAATTAATAAATCATTTACATTATAGTCATTCATGTTCACTTTCCAGGCTGTTATCCCTGGTCTGCCATCTTGACCTGATAAGCCTGGTGTACCAGGAGGACCCATTTCTCCTAAAGTTGTTTACATCAACAACGTATCTTTTTTTTTTCATCCATGCGCAATTAGAATGAGGGAATGTGAAATAATGTTAAGTTACCACGCAGTCCAGGTAGTCCCTGCGGTCCTATCTGACCTGGCCTTCCTAAAACCAGTATAGAGGAATTTTGGATTAGAGTAACTACCAAAAATATCTGTTTTTAATCTCGTCTATGGTTAATCAATACAATGAAATTATTAAACAGTCTATATATTTAACTACATTTGTAGGGAATCACATTCTTGTAACTTCACTGCTGAATTCACGTTAACATCGACTATGCTATTACACATGTAAAAATACGTACATATGTGGTATTACTTAAAAAACTTAACCTAATTATGTTAAATTCCATAATGTTCTATGAAGTTATACAAACTTCAGCTTAAGCATTTTCAAGTATTATTAAAAATAACTCCCTACTCCCAATGATAAGAACATTAAAATTATGAAGTAGAAATATATGCGTACCATCTGTGCCATTTCGTCCGGGTCGCCCAGGAGATCCATTCAGCCCTGGTTTACCATTTATTCCTGGAAATCCATCTAAACCACTGCGTCCAGGAATTCCATCAAGACCAGGTTCACCTGGAACTCCGTCTCTACCATCAATACCAGGAGGTCCTACATCGCCTTTTGGTCCACGAGGTCCGGGAGGACCAGTTAAACCAGGTGGTCCCTTTTGACCAGTCATTCCTCGTAACCCCGGAAGACCTGGTTCTCCAGGAGCTCCTGGGCTCCCTGGTGCTCCTGGTAATCCTGGCGGGCAATATTTCATTGAAGACCGACAAAAGTTTTCAATGGCATCAACCTGTAATACATAATAGTTCATTATTAAAACTTTACATTTCACATAAGCAATTTGTTTTTACTATTGAGAATTCATGATTTAAAGCTTTCACGACTCGGTGAAATGAAATTCACAGCCCTGAATGTCTGAGAAAATGTTGGTCCTGTTGATCAGAATTTAATTTCTACATTGTAGCCAACTGTCTTTAAACCTCTACGAAGTAAAAGATATCATCTGATTCTAATATTAGTTGTAACGCAAATCGAGTCTCATATATCGTCATTCCAATGGTAAAGTTGCAGTTTTTGCTAATCTGTGCTAAATACATGATTTTATTTCTTTCAAATCAAATTAAAACTTTTTCAAATATGATAGGCTGGACAGCGCAGAGCACATAATCTCTTTACCATTGTATTTCAAATGCCAATTCTTGAGTTTCATGCAATATATTTATTAAAAAATTATAATAATGATAAGTAAACCTGGACACGAGTGTCTGCATTCAACCACACCCAATCATGCCCCATTGGAGTAATTGGAGAAGATGGTAAGCCAGACATTGCTACGGGAGATGAAGTAACTTTCTTAGACTCTTTCAACATATCCTTCTCGTCCCACATCTAAAGCATAATAATAAAATACATATTCAAAGCATACATTTTCATTAATACAGAATATATCAACAATATATATATATATACTCTTGAAATATCTGAAACTTTATTATCTTCTGTTACTGGCAAAGCACTATTTCGTTTTCGACGTATCAATCTCTCTGGCTCTAAAATGTCTTGATTTCGCATAGCATATACATCTGTTTCCACACGAGCCACATAAGTATAAAGGTAAACAGATGTTAAGAATTGTATTAAGAATTGAAGTAGGATAAGAAGAAAAAGGTTCCACGGCTGCAACATCCGTTGTGCTAATTTTATGGAGACTTTCCTTTCCATAATTGATAGTCACTTTATGCCCCTGCAAACTAATTATACATTTTTAGTGCTTTTATAAAATCAACAAATTATAACACTTACCAGTGATGAGTTTTGTATTCTTAAAGAGATCTGTATCCCTAATATGTTAAATAAGTTAAAGAGAGGGGGGAGAGCATATAAATTTAAGTTGGTTACTGATTGGTTACTATGAAGTAATTTATCCCCGTACCAAGCTCCTGTTACATGCACTTCTTAACCACAATTTAATAATTAAGGAGTTTTGTGTCAACGAAACGATAAAAATTCATTCATACGTACATAAATTATAACTGTTTTATCACAACACTTAAACACTATCAGTAGTATACTCAATTTATCATGCCTTCGGTATACAAATAATTTCTCACGTATCTTACGAATATGTAAGAAAAGGACTAATACTGCTTATTAGTAGGAAGTGCTCACTAATCAGTTACGACAAATAACATGAGAAGTAACTTAAAAAACAGGAATGCTTGTATTGTATACTTCGATGTAAACTGATATCCATCTAAATACCTGTCACTTGAGCCCGCGACCGGTATTATCTTGCCGTTGCTAATTACGCATGCGCACGTTTACTGGTTCATTCTCCGATTTCATAAAAAATATAAACACTGAAATAGCTTCGAATTTTTTATTAGTTGTGGCGGTAAATTTAAAATCTTCAGACTCTACAATTACATATAAATAACCGTAATTATTTTTATTTAAAATTTAGTACATTTTAGTATGTAATCGTAACATTCATATAAGAAAATAATTCCTATTATATAAAACATTATAAAATAAAAACAATTTGTATTCAAATAAATACAAAAAACAACATTTGTACATTTGATAAATTTCTATCCCAAGGCATTACCAATATCAAATTTAACTTTTTTCACTGTTTTTACCCTCATCAATTAATGCTATTTCTATAGCGTTACTGCTATTTTCCATTTTTATTTCCACATTGTATGTATTAGCCTGTGAAAATAAAAAAATTGTCAGTATCTCAATTTTTGAAATATTACATTTTATAATGACAATGCAAGTACCAATTGTAATGAAGCTAGAAAATATCTAGCTACTTCACATGCGGGTTTATTCTGAACAACACTATCGAAATTAATCTTCCTTTGACCCAATGCCTGTAGAGTTCCTATTATGTGAGAAGCGTAATCATGAATTCGAAATGTAGATCTTATTTCAGCTTCAGACAATTTTGGTTGCAGGGAAGCATGCCATTTAGCTACGGTTTGGTCTAACTCAGTTGAGACATCCGATTCCTTAAAAATCTCCTTCATTTTGCCTTCAATTAATGTTTGATAATCTGGTAAGGAATAGCTTACATCCATTTCTGTAATTGAGGGCTCGTACCAATCGGTACATATGTTTGACGATTTTTCAGCGATATCAAATGAATTGTGAACAGATTGCGATCTGACATCGTTAGGAGAAGAACTTCTGCTCATAATTTCTTCAATATTACTTTCTATGGAATTATTTTTATTCTCAGTAAGGCGAAAACCCAATAAATCAATAGTTGAACCGGTCATAGCTTCGTATTTCAAAGTATCATTTTCCTTCTCTGTTCCATTTAAACAGCCGTCAAAATTTTTCATAAAATCCTCCAATTCCTCTACCAAAAAAAAGGGTTAACAGATTCTTAATATTTATATCATACTGAAATATAGTCCAATATCACTTACGTTTTCGCAAACGTTTAAATTGTTGTTTTGCTTGCGAAATAATATCCTTTTCCGTTTTTGCAAATAATTTTGCTTCGCGTAAATAAAGTTTTGTTAAACACTCCGGTTTCTGTATTTTTGATACAAGCTTACGCTTTTTCTGTAAACAAAGATATTTATATATGTAAATCATGAAATATTTAAACTCAAAAACGTTATTAGAAAAAGAAATACTAAATGTAATCATTTTACATACTGAACCGAATTTAGTTTCTAAAAGAGAAACGTATTCTGGAAGTTTCAAAATGGATGAATTGTCAGTGAGAACAGTTTTCATTCCCTGAATAAATGGCATGGGTTTCCAATCAGCCTCATTAATGTCCTCTACAGAATATATCGACATTTTTGTCGGTTGAGTTCTAGTAAAAATATTAATGTATGAAAAGTAAAAATATTAATGTATGTAAAAAGTAAAAATATTAATGTATGTAAAAAAAATACATTAATTTACTCTTGTAAATTTTTACAGGAATTCAAATATTTTATTAAAATATACCCTTTCTTCTTCATGATTAGGGAATTATCTAGCTCATCCAAGTGAACAAGTTGAAGTTGACCTTCCTTAGAATTACGACCTGCATGCTTACGATTGTTTACCACTTGATTGGTAGTTTCAAATTTTTCTATAGTCTTAAACCTCTTATCATTCCTCTGATGTTCCTCTTCAATTTGAGTTATTTGCTCCAAATTTTCATTTTGACATTTTTTCTTATTTTGATTAATTTCCTTACAAGTTTCAGTTGAAAAACATTGATCACTAATATTAACCGAATCTGGCATTAAATTATTTTGAATATGTTGCTCCTTCAGACAATTTGTTTTTGTAATAAATTGCTGAGAAAGAACAGTGGAGGCTAAAGGAATCTCATCGTCTGTATTCATCATGTTTTCTTTCTCTGTAACTTCTGATTCAATTGCTGGTACGACATCCTCTACTTGTAAAGAAAAATCATCTTCCTCCTCAAATTCTTCATTAATTGATGTTAGAAATTCATTATCATTTAGCGAAGCAGCTGAATGATATCCTGAAGTTCCAGTACCAGGAGTTTTTGGTTCTGAGTAAGATGACAAAGAATTTCTTGCTTTCTGAACACGCGAACCAATCACTTGTGAAAAATCATAAGGTGTTAATTCGTCCACCAACATTCCACTTGTATTTACAGCTTGATTACACCTTGAAATTAAAGTTAATCTAAAATCAGAGAAACGAAGTACATTAAATTCATACTTACCGAAAGTCATATTTCTTTCCAATAATTTCCCCCAACACATCAAATATTTGAATGGGAATACATAATTGTGCTACATTGTTTTCTAATTGAGTAAATCGATGACTTAACAATTTAATTCTCTTCTGTGCTTGAAATCGATTCTTTTTATCAATGTTTTTTCCAATATTTTTCTCTAAATCACAAATCACAAAATTTTCAAAATTAACATATGGTTTCTTAGGTACTCTTTTCTCTTTACTTATGGACTTTTTTCTTTCTTCTTCCCTATTGGAAATGTGAATGGACCATCATTTTATATTATTCATATTTCATATTATATTTAAGAGCAATAGTTACTCATAGCCAAAAAATGTTTGTTTTAAAACTTCTATCTCATTAAATAGCCGTTCAATTCTGCGCACATATACATTAGCCGAATTTTGTAGAACAAGTGCTGCTTCTCCAAAATTTATATTACATGGCTCTTCTAATAATGCATAATATTCTTCTAAAATCTAAAATAGGACAGAACAATGTAATTATGTACAATTTTAATTATTTGAATGTCCTTGTATACCTGAGATAGTGGAAACTTCCAATCAGCAAGATCCTTTGCTGGTTTCATAAGTTGTACACTAATATCTTGTAACGTGACCATTTTTATGCTAAATTTGTACCTTCTTTGAAGGATATTCTAGTTATTAGAGATAACGTTGCTGTTATAAAGAATAATAATATAATTGTCTAAATGTAATTAAAACTTATTTAATCTCGTAATTTTAAATTTCATAATTACTAAAAACTTAAAAAATCGTTATTTGTGTATAATCTCGAATTACGAAATGATAAGTAAACATTGAAATACCTAATTTATATTTTTCCTTAGAAAGACAATCTATTACGCAATCATATGGAATTATTTATGTTAATCCTAATGGATTGTATTGAATTATTTAAACCTATACTTCTTTCAAATATAATCGTCTCTATATATCTCATGCACTTACAAAATAACATAAAAAGAACAAAAAAAGCTTTCAAATACTTAAAATTATATTATTGCACAGATATAAATGATAAAAGTATATACAGGAAGTGAAAGTAATGCAGGTTAATATTTCAAGTGGTTTTTACAGTATTTGTTGACATACTTGTACATTCACGTATGTGTATGAATATATATGCACACATCATTTGATACTCTTCTATGTACACAATTGTAAGTGAACTGTTTACTGCTGTTTATGATAATTTGACAATTAGTGGCAAGGTGGCAAAAATCAATGCAAGGGAATACTGTGCACTATCATATTACTATAGAAAATACTCATAAATAAACAATACTGAAACAAATGCGTACAAAATACAGAAAAAAGAGAGTAAGAATTGGACAAAATTTCTTAAAGTGCCGACAAGAATTACTATTGCTACTGTACATGTTATTAAATAACCACGCATGCGTACATATCATGCTCGACATGTTTGATCATTTTCCACGCGGTCGTGGTATCGCATGTTTATACGGTTTATGTTTATACTGTCAAAACCGGTCAAGGAAACAATTGTGTATGCAGTTCCACTGTATTCTATAATAATAATGACTGATTTTAGTTCTCGGCTTTTTAATTCATTTGGTTTGCTTCCAAGTCTTTTAATTAAATATTCATTTTTAGCTAAAAATGCCTATTGATCAAAAGCGCATTAACGGCCCAGAGGCTTCCTTTCCTTATCACATTTACTCTAATATCAACGACAGAAGCGGTGAAATAAAGTACGATCTCAGTAAAAGAAGTGATAAACGTACAAACAATGAAATGAGAAAAATTTGTAAGGTTCTAAATGATACAAACTTTTTACCCTATTAACAAATCTAACCAAGCTTTCTTCTTGTTATCATGTTAAATACAATAATTTCTCCTTTCTATTTACAGTTTTAAAAACAGGTGTAATTAGTCAGGCCAAAGGTTCCGCATATATCGAAATGGGAAATACAAAGGTAGTTTGTTCAGTATTTGATCCCAGAGAAGTACCAAACAAGAATGGTTATTGCGTGCAGGGAGAAATCTACTGCGAGTTTAAGTTTGCTCCTTTCTCCTGTGAAAAGCGAAAAATTCATCAACAGAGTGCAGAGGAAAAAGAATGTAGTTTAATCTTACAAAGATCGTTAGAACCTGCAGTTTGTTTGGTAAATATGTACTTGTTTATAAAAATTATTTTCAGTTACATTCAGATAAAACATTACTGTGAATTATACATGACTATAAGTGACTTAGCTTAATTTGTGTACTTTTAAATACATACAAATATCATAGTCAGGCTATGTTGATTTGATGTATTTATAATATATGTATAAGCATTTTAAACAGTAAAATCAAGACTTTGATTCTGTTTGAAAGAACTACTGATAAAGAAAATCAATCTTTCTAATACACCTCTAATTTTCGAAAATAAATTTATGAAAATGTAAATGTACATAAATGTCAACAGTCTAATCACAGTTAATTTGAAAAGTTCGATTATGTAGATGTACACATAATAGTTCTGCATTTAAATAATTTTTAATGTTTTCAATAAAAAAATTTATTTAGCAACGTATTATATACGTTATTTTTTAAAAATACGTAATTATAACATTCTTACAGCATGAGTTTCCTAATTTTCAAGTAGATGTATATGCAGTGGTCCTAGATAATGTTGGATCTTCTTTGGCTGCAGCAATCATTGCAGCTAGTGTTGCCTTAGCTAATGCGGGTGTTCCTATGTTTGGTTTGGTTACAGCTTCCACTATTGTAAGTACATTATTATGAAATAAAATTAAAAAATATCTGTTTTAAATACAAGAAAAAAACTAATATAACATAAATATAGGGCATTTACGACAACCACTTCTTAGTGGATCCCACAGACACGGAAGAGGCAATATGTAATACACAACCAGAACAACAAGACGATTTTAATCATGGAATAATTACAGTAGCTAGTCTTCCCCAACATGGTCAAATTTCAGAAGTATTTCTAGTTGGAAGCATTGACGCAGATTCAGTTATACGTGCAACAGATATTTTAACAACAGTTAATAAAGACATTTGCCCTGTGCTTCAACAATGTTTAGTTAAAACTATTATGAAACTACATAATTAAACAACTAAATTAATAAATATGTAAAGTAACAAATGATTCTTGTGATGCAATTAAATATATATTTTTACAATAGAAAATTTGTATAATTTTCATATTTATATAAACCTCGTTCTGTTTGTAACAATCGTTTCATATACAATGTATCAAAATGCAATCTAATTTCTTACAAAGTTGAAGAGTTTTCCAGAATTTGGATCGTCATACATATATCAGTATAATCATTCTTCCATTCAAAAATTATATAAATTTTTTTCTCTTTTTTTCCTATTGCTTGTATGTATGTGAAGTTTAACAATTTGTATTCAATAGGAAAACACATAAATGACACTCTGCACTCTAATTAAGGTAGTACTAGCTTTATGCCAATAGTATTTAAGTTACATAAATACATAAATTAAGAACAAATTCTAAAAACTTGACTACCTCTCGATCAAGGCACTGCATTATCGAGAAGACACGTTATTTTAGTGGTCAGTTTTAAAGGTAACATTTCAGTCTACCCCACAACAAGCATGAGGAAATTTTGAATTAACGTTTTCGAAATTTATTCTACGTCACTTTTAATTATATTTTTTTTTATAAAATACTTTAAAGGTTTTATGAATTCTCAACACTATCGAGGCTGATAATACAACTTACTTCATCGGCCTTCAAGATAAAAACTAAGATATTTCACCTCTGTTCTGTCTTTTCACAACATAACATAACACACAACGAGAAACCAAATCACTGTTTTTTAAAGCTCTTCAGAATCGGATAGATATTATCAAATGCTTCATAAATCTCCTGTCGAACCTTCGCTCCTATGCAAACATAAATTAATTGGAATATATTAATCAAGTGTAATGTATGTAGATATTACAATAGATATGAAATGCTTACCAGTTAAGACTACTTTGCCCGAAACAAATATAAGTAAGACGATTCTAGGCTTAACCATTCTGTATATTAAACCAGGAAAAAGTTCAGGTTCGTATGAGGAGAACTGCCCATGTGTAAGCACTAATCCTTCTAATCTAATTGGAAACTTCACATCACAACTGCCAACCATGTTTTGTATTTTGAAGTCAAGAAACTTCGCCTTTACCGAAAATAAATTAAAGTGAATATCATGAATTACAAACAATCAATACCAATAATTGAATTGTTACTAACAGGAAAACCAAGCTTCTGAATAATTCTGGCATACTTTCTTGCAGCCAGTCGAGAGTCCTCCTCACTCTTTGCTCCTGTACAAACCATTTTTCCACTACTGAATATTAAAGCAGTAGTCCTTGGCTCTCTTATCCTCATAATAACTGCTGCAAATCTTTTTGGGTTGTATTCCGCATTTCTTGCATGAAGAGCTATTTTTTTCAAGTCTAATTTGCAGTTTAAATTAACCGTAGAGACAATATTTCTGTAAATGAAGATGGATTGTAATGTTTGTTACACATTTTTCCAAATTAAACATTTACTCACTGAAGTTGTGGTAAGATTCCTGGATCTGCAGAAGCTGGTGTCATTGGAGTCATAGGACCTGGAGTGGAGGGTCCTATCGAAGAAGGTGCTATATGATTATTACTTTGTACTAACGGAGACATCATATTTTGCTAAAAAAAAATTCTTCCTTAGTAAAATAACTTTATGCATTCATGGTATAAATACATATGAAAAATACAATTACATCATTTTAAAAATAATTTATTCTTTAATGAAGAGTAATAACATTTCTTATTCAACAAACCATCATTAATGAAATTAACTTTCCCCTGACTCTGATTTTTGTAAAATAGCTTATGAGAATGGATATTTGCATAAACATTCATAGGCTGGGATTCATAGTCACTACTTATTCTTAAGCATTGACTATGAATCTCGGCCATAGTCTAATGATTATAAACAAATGAATTGTCATTTAATGTACACTTACTGGTGTTTGTGGCTGCATAAGACTTTGCGGTGTTGCAAAAGTAGGTGCTGTCGCATAAGCATGCATAGTTTTTTGAGGTGTTCCTATCATAAGCATACCACTCTGCATATTTGGACTCATTGCATGTAATTGTTGTAACTGATATTGTTGCTGTTGTTGCTGCTGCTGTGGTTGCTGTTGTTGTTGTTGTTGTTGTTGCAAAGCATTAGGCAAAATTTGTTGATCTTCTTCTGGCTGGTGCAAAGGAGTTCCTATACTGGGGATACTAAACCCTGGACTTGGTAGCATCTGATCCATTTTCTTCGCTTTCTCTTTAGAATGCTTAACACAAAAATATCTTTAACATAAAGAATTTCCGGATCAATTTGTAATTACTCAAAAGATCTGTCAGATGTGGTAGGCTTGAAAGAAACGTTAATCACTTTGGTAATGCCCATATTTAAAAACACTCAACCAATAATATATAAATACAGAGTATAAAGGTTATACTTTATACAGAAGTGTATTATTCGAATTCTTCTTATGAATATTGTGGAACTATAAAAACTGTAATTTCTATGTGAAAATAAATCTATGGAAGTTTAACAGATACTAGTTCTCGTTTTTATTGTTTTTCTCATTACTTTCTGCTTGTTTGTTTACAATTCTGGCTTAGAAATAGCCATAAAGTCGTGGATTATAATAAGGTGAACCGGGTGAACCACTAGTACAGCGGTGTGGCATGAATTATATACCAATTAGAACTATACATTTTTCATTTGCGTGAAAGATCATATATATAATAGACTGCGTGGTTTATGGTAGGGAAGTCGAGACCGAAGGACAGAAGTAGCGCTGGAGTAGTTTCTCTATTGTTCACACATCGTAGAGGGAAAAATTTTTGTAATTTTTTATGTGTAAGTTAATGTATGAAAAAACGATTAAAATAAAAAAAATCAATTTTAAAAATGAGACCAATAAACAAATTGTTTGGGATTTGATTCTATTTATTTATGTTATAATAATAACTGTAGAAGCTGGTAGAACTTTATTAAAATAAAATATTTGTTTGAAAGTTAGTAAACAATTTTAAGTTTTTAATGTTATCAATATCTGAAATGTTTTATGTACTTTAGGAACTGACTTAATAACGAAATTCTGTTACAATTTAATACCTGCAGGTATATTTTTACATTACAATGCTAGATTGTTGTACTTGTTTTATTTGTGTAAATAATACATACAACGTATATGAACTAATTACTTACGACTTACACAGTTATTGAATCTGAAATGAATAGTTTCTATGTCATGTCTTCCTTTAAACAATCTGGAATTAATTTTTTTGGCTCATTTCTGAGACTCCTTACGTCATACTGAAGCAAATGTTTCTGTTGTATCTGACTATGAAGAATGCTTTCAAGTGTGGCTATATCAGCTTCATGCTGAAGTTCCACTTGTAACATGTTTTCCTATAATTAAAGAAGATATTACTGAATATTAGTCAATTTTTATATGATTAATGATTATAGTAAAATTATACTTGCCTCTGAAATTGGAACTTGCTCCAAAATTTTTTTAAGCTTAATCTTTTCTCTCTCCAACAGTGTTAGCAGACTTATTTTTTCAGTATTATTTCGGATCAAATTTGTTAAAACAATTAAACCCTCGTTGTAATCTTTGTTTACATCTAAATACCAAAAATGAAATGGTAATTAATAAACTTTCATCAAACAGATTCTACAGTGTTTCAAAAACTTCAATTTACTTTTCATTTCTTCAGAAAAGTTCTTCATAATGTTGCGTACATCAGTTTTGGTATCATAAATCAATCTCTGCAAAACAGTTTCATATAGACTGATTAAGGATACTCTTCGACCAAATTTTTGTATCATTTTCTCTTTGATCTCTAATTCTAATTTGTTATTTTGTGTTTCCATATACTTCAGATCCAACTTTATTCTTTTGAGATGCATCTCATTTTTTCTGGAAAAAGTAAGTAAGATTTTCTTTTTCTTTGACATTGTCGCACATATTATCTCAAACTTACTTCCGTTTTTCTGCCAAATCCAATGTTTCTTTTTGCAGTTCTCCTACTCTAGCATATAGATTTGATAATTCCTTCTTATTAAAAACTACACAGTCTTTCATTTCTGTTATACACCCAGAATCTGATATGTGTTGTAGTTGGTGCATTTTTAATACAACTGTTATATCGATGTCATTTAATTTTTTTTGCTTTTCTAACTATTAAGAGTAGGTAAAATTACATTGACAAATCAATTCCGAAGGTCATATAACATGATATTTTAAAGTACCATAAAAGCTTGTAGATCTGCTTGATTGATTTTCCAATTATTTTCAGTGACCCTTAACATTTTTGTGTCTGTTTCCAATTCCTTGTATAACAATTCTATTTCTTTCTGCTCCTCTCTAATTTGGAATTCATATGCATATCTTTTCTCTCTTGCGGAAAACGCCATTTCATACAATTGTTTATCACACCCTTGTGGACATATACTTTCATCAAGCAGAATATGTCCAGTTTCAGAGTCTACTGTACTATCGGTTTCCTCAGAACTTGTTTCCGATGATTGCGTGACTGTATCCAAGGAACCTAAAATTATAATTCAATTAATAAAATTTATGGAATGACAGTTAAAATAAACGGAAATTAAACGATGAAAATGTCCGGTTATAAAAGAAAGATGTGAACACCGTTTTTGTCTTTTACAGCTGTGTATTTTTTTCTAAATATTTTTTGAAGAAAATCCTGAAATTTGTTTCCAGCCGCGGCTTTTGTAAATTCAGTAGCAATGTCTTTAATTTTTGTATGCAACTTCCGAACCTCTTCTTCTCGAGTCGTAATTTTGACATTTATAGCTTGCATCTGTGAAAATGATGTCCTGTATTATTTAATATCATCAAGTTAGTATTTTTACTTTCACGGCGATAGTTACTTTCAACATTAAAGTGGCACGTTCGTTTGATTTTTGATTAACTTTCTCTTCGAGAGCGTGTTCTGACGCTTCACATTCTCTGAGGATAATAAATTCTTCGTAAAGAGTCAACAAATGTAGATTTATATAAGTGCTTTGATATATAACATCAAGTCGATCTTCTTCTAACTCGTCTAATTCATGTTCTAATTCTTTATAGCTGTCGTTGATATATCGTAAAATACAATCTTGCTCGTATATTTTGCGCCACATTCGATTACGTTTCATTTCCCGTTCCCATGAGGTCTGAGTGGCATCACTTGTGTTCAGATTTCGTATTAAATCGATTTGCGTAGATAAATTATCTTTTATTTTCATTTTCGACGACGAAACAAGAGTGGAGAGGCTTTCTATGTCTTCTCCGACGGTTGTTTTATCATCGCAAAGCAGTACTTCGTATTCTAAATCAAATTGATCTACTGGGAGATCCGTAATTAATGATAGTCTTTGTCGTTTCACTTGTTGTACCTTTTCCGTCATCGATGTGTATTTTTCTAGCTGCAAAAGTAATATTGAAAGAAAGAAATTTTTATTATATTCCAATTCTAAAAAATTATGATGTTTCGAACTATGAAAGTAGTATCGAACGGAAAAAACTTTTTGTTATGTTCCCATTATAAAAAATAATGTCAACTGACCTCCAGTTTATGTTCAGGAAATTCAATATCAAAATTCAATTTTGGAGGCTGTGGCAGAGGCTTTATACTCTTAAATGGAATTTCTGTATGAATTCTTTTAAGCGTTTCCATTAATTTAAGAACTTCTGTCTGCAATCTTTGTTTTTTCAGTTTAGCTGCATTCAACTTTGTATTGAATTGCTCTCGCAAGTCATGCAGCTATGAAAATAATTATTTTTAACATTAATTATCGCAAGAATAGACTGTACGAGTTCATATACCTTGATTCTACAATCTAGAAGTTCCTTATATTTTGAAGCAGCCGTTTGTTTCTTTACTGCTAAATTAAAACCTGTACTTGTCTTCAAATTGTATTCACCGATAGCTCTTTTTGTTTTCTTGACAAACGTTGCATCCTCCATACGACTTTTAGCTAAATTTGGTTTCCTGGCGTGCAATTGTTGCCACTGAAAGTAATATTATATGTTATACATACTGTTTTTACCATAACATCTTTCTATTATAACTTATTTACTTCTTTTTGCCGCCGAATTAAATCTGCTTTTTTCTCTTTATACTTTAATAACATCTGATTAATTTGAATTCCTAATCCAGATGTTAAATCACTGAAATTTTCAGCTAAAAGACCTTCCAAGTATTGTATTTCCTCCTCTTCTGTTTCTTCCCTAACTTCAATTTCTGCTGGTATTATCCTAAAGCCAGATAATAGAGCCATATACACAATGAAAGCAAAATGAATCAAGTAAGTATTTTAACTAATAAAAACATAAAATTAGCGTGAAAAACATAACGCAGCAGCTATTTCTATTTGGGTAGGATTATGCAATTCTATTTGTCTTCTCTGGAAATAATTTAAATTTACGCAATTTTGTAATCATGTGTAAAAAAAAACATACTTCTCTATTCGTTGTTGTTCTTCAAAATGTTTCATTATCTCTATATGTTTTGAAACGTTATCAATATTCAGTTTCAGTTCTCTTACAGAATGTACTGTTTTATCCTCATTCCTAAATTCAATAATATATTTCAGTAAATATAGTATAAATATTAATGAAAATAATAAAAATGCTTACAATATACTGCAAACTGCAAATGGTAAATGTGTAATAGGTGTAACGAAATGATCCATTAACTTTTGTAATCCTAATTTACTTTTTTCTATGTGAAATTCTAACTTTCCCTGAGTCAAGGCCATTTGTGCTTTCAAGTACTGTTCTAAATCTTCTACAATTCTAGGATCCAATTCGAACTGTGTTATTCGCTGTGATGGCAGGAGACTTAAGTTCCTAGTTTTACAAAATAAAATAAATAGTCGTAGAATAATTTTCATTTTATAATTATTATTTAAATAAAGGAAATGATGAAACCTGTTAGTAATTTGGACATATTCTTCTACTAAACCACGTATAATTAGTAACATCTCTTCCTTTTTCTTTTCTGCCACAGAGATAATTCGATTTTGTTCCATTTGCGTAATTACTTCTTCCAAGCTTGGATAGTCGATATCTTCGATGTCTTCAACATTTTTGGGCTATAATTATACAAATAATTAAAAAGATACATACTTTACGTCAATCAGCTGAAAAGTATCAATTCAAGAATGAACTTACCAGAGGCAAGGAATGTTGTTCAACTGGTATCTTCAGACTATCATCCAGTACATCAGTGTTGATTATAAAAGAAAATATATTTCCATCATGACCACAAGTCAACAACATTTTCTTATCGTAACTCAGTAATATTTTCGAAATGTGTCCATTGTAAGGATCATGTATAGGAAGAATCCAATAATCCGAGAAATTTAATGGATCTTCATCGTTCATCTTGCATACATAGAGTTCTCCATATTGTGTTCCGAGGAATAAGTATTCCCTATTATTGCTATGAAAAAAGATACTATTAATTTGATATAACACAGAGGAACAGTCAATCTGTTGCCAGGGATTTAAGAATCGATTTTGAGTAATTTAGTGATCTTGATCCTGAAAATGCCATTATTTTTTCTTGATTGGCTCTAATTTTTTAGATATGTGTATGTCTTAAATGTTTATGCAAAATAAGGAAAAAAAATAAAACAGTAATTTCTATGATTCTGAATTACCTTTAGTCATAAAATGCTATAAGAGACAGGATAATTACATAGAAAGTTATGAAAAAAAAATGCGCAATCACTTCCATGAAATTCACCCCTGAAACAAAATAAAATCACTTATTTTATTCTTTACTTTCGAAATCACTACCCCGAAAGTAAATAAATTTCACAAGGGGGTTTTGGGAAGAGGATAAGTAACAAAAAAGAAAAAGTAATAGGTATTTCAAATCGACACAAATGCAACAGTTTCGATTATTTTGAAAATCGTAGCCAATTGAGCTAAAACGAAAATATAATGTCAAATCAGGATCCTCGAGTACTCTGAAACCGATCTTAAATCCCTGACACCAAGAATAAAATTTTTTTGTGATCTCCAGTGTAATCTTTCTTCTTTTAAAATATTTTTATATGACCGTACTAAAAAAGGCAATTTTGAATCTCTGTGTCTTCAGCATGTACGATTATTCTACTCCTAATTGGTTTAGTGCCTTTCATTCTTCCAGACAGTGGACGTGGGTATTCATACACATATCCCGCATCAAAACCAGCCACAAATAACCACATATTTCCATTGGTACCGTATTGAGCTACTAAAATCCTGTTCGGAATTTCTGGAATATAGATTTCCGGAAGGATCAACTTTTCTTCCTCAAATTCCGCTTAGAAAAGAAATAAAGCACTATAAATAATCATAAATATGAATTCAGTTACTTTCGTAAAAATTATTAGATGTACAAATCAGTAATCCAAATTTTTCTGGGAAATCCAAGGTTTATTTTAAAAGAAAGCGAAACAGATTCATCATTCAAAGTAATCGTCATTACTTTGTATAACTTTAAGCCATCTTTCAAGCAGTTGACGAATTCCATTTCGAAAAAATGCCGTATCTATGGATATGATGAAGTTGTTCCGTCATTTCTGTATTTTATCCTCTGGTTGCAAGTGCATATCAGACAAAAGTGTGGTAGCATCCATTGGAACAAAGAATAATCAGAAGGAGCAATGTCAGGTGAATATGCCGGGTGCTGTATAGCATCCCAATCAAGATTCATTACGTCTTTCATATTAGAAGCAACATGTGGCCTAGTGTTGTTATACAAAAACTTCACCCGACGTTCTCCTTTGCTACTATAGGGGCGTTTTCGTTCTAATCAATCCACAGTAACTGTTTTACCTAGTTTCAGTAACTCATAAATTATGCCTTTAATATTTCATCAAATGCAGAACCCGTTTTCCATCCTTTTGGATCTCTCCCATCTGATGTAAACGTTTCGAAATGGTTTATTGCGTTACCTCCAACTGGCTTTACAAGTTGTTTTTACGTTGTCTTAGAAGTCATTGATTTTATTATTAATTTTGTAATTACTTACGAAAAATTGGATTATTCATTTGTACACCTAATAGAAATGAGTTATTACCAAGAAATGCTTCGTCATCAATTATAATATGAGGATTTTCTACTATCAGTTGTTCAATTTCTTTCTTTTTTTCTGCAATTCGTCTCTCTTTTTCTTTTTCATATTCTTTTTTCAGCATTTCTCTTTGTATCAATGATTTCACTGACTCAAACTTAAATATTACAAGCTTACACTTGACTAGTTCATAAGAAGTTGTCGTGTATGATTGAGGTTCTGTAGGTAATTCTACTTCCACACAATCTCCTTTCAAACACCCAATTAACAACGTTGCTTCCTAATCAAATCAAATTCTATTATCATTTGTTGAATTCCAGTAAAATACCATTGTAATGCTTGTATTTACTTCTTGTAAATTCCATGTCATACAAGTAACAGGTGATGGAACATTTATGTAACCAATAGGTTCAATATTAGGATAAGAATCAGTGGAATGTATACCAAATACAAAAACAGTAGCATCCTCGCTGCCCGTTACTAATAAACTAAAAAGAAATTGTGTTTCTTAATGATAGTACAGTCATTAAGACTCATGCAAAACATACCTACATGAAATATTAAAACACATTACGGTAACTGGCATTGAATGTGGTTTTAAATGTTGTATCAGTCTTGTATAGTCTCCCTTTATATTATTTTCTACACTCGCTGTCTTTATTGCTATTGTTATCATTCGAATAACGCCACTTTGAAAAGCACACACAAGCGTGGAGCCTGTTTTTTCACTCTAAAAGTTTTCCGAATATTAACATTCTTCTGGATAACATAAAAATAAGAAAGATAATATTCACCTCACATGGTAACCAAATTACTTGACTACCATTATCGCGAAATGTATAAACAAGTACTAATTTCTTTTCGATGTAATTATAAACATGCAACTGGCCATGTTTGTCAAGTGTAGCAACAAATGGTCCCCAATCTGCTGCATCCATATCGACTACAGGACCAGCATGACATGTAAATATTTTTTTTTGCAATTGGTCTTTTTTATTGGTGCAGAGATCAAGTAACCATATTCCACCGTTTCCATCCTGTCAAATATATCTGTAGATAATAATGTCAGATACTCTAAGGATATAGCATATTTACCTGGGCGTACCAAATCGTTTTATCTGGATCATCTGGTGATTGTTTTTGAATGCTCATGAGCATTGCATCTTTTTGAAAATGCGCCTCCCCTTCTGTAATATGAAATTCATATATTGGTTGTAATTCAAGAAACTGTTCTCCACTAGGAAGATCAGCATGATCAATAGTGTCATAAAACCAAAATCGTATCCATCCGTCCATTCCTGTTCAAAATATATATAGAAGATTACAATTTACTTCATATGTTTTCTGACTAATCATCATATGTGAATTATATCATTACCAACTGAAATAAGTTCTCCGTTGATATATTCAAACTGAGTAATATAATTAATGTGAGCTGGCTCGTTATTCTTTCTACAAGCTTCGAGTTTAATTAAATTTTCATCCCACAAAAGAATGTTACCCCATTCGCATCCTGAAATTACCTGGAACATACAAAAATGTAGTGTAATGTTGAAATTTTCTCTGAAAATCTTTTAGCATATTCTCTTACTGTTTCATTGGGCATTGGATGAATTGCGATGATATCGGAGATCTCTGTCTTTCCAAATTTACCAGTTTGGCCTTTAAGTTTTAACCCAGTAAATGTTTTGGACACTTTCCAAAATTTAATATGTCCTGATCCACTAGACGTTAGTTGTCCAGGAATATATTTAGAAAATGTTACATTGTATACATCTTGAACGTAAGATTTACATTGCAGAATAATTGTTGACACCTTCCAATTCCAAAGAGAGATATAATGGTCAGGTTCACCACCTTGCGATATTAATAATAAACCATCAGGGCTATAATCAAAACATGTAATTTTATTTTAACATCATAAATAATGTTTAAATATATTTACTGCATAATTGTCTACCTGTAAGCCAAATGAAAATAGCGATTAGTTGTTCCTCCTTTTAAAATAGCTATAATTTTCATAGAAGGCCAGCTGTAAATAGTTATTACTGGATTTATTCCATTTTCTGCGACAGCAAAATGTTCAGTAACAGGATTTTTCTACAAAGTTATTGTGAAATTCATAAATTCTTATCGACTTTAAGATAACTTAATATAATTTAAGGAAACAGGTACTCACAGATATATGACCAATACCTCCACCCATAGAACCTCTTTTAAATGAAATTCTATTGTCTACTACGTTAAAAAAGTGAATCAAATTGCCAGAAGCAAAAGCAATAGTATCTGTATCGATCACGCATAGGTTGAAATTTTTTTGACAATCATATGCATAAGAATGACTATATGGCATTAAGAAATCATATGGTCTCAAATGTAAACAAAAGGTTACACACAAAAATATTACAAAGAGGATACAAAAACTCTAAAAAGTTTTGTGTTATGGTGCCATTTTTTGGTTTTCTGGCTATGAAGGAATATTCTTCAATATATTTCAAATCTGACGTTTGTTCCCTATAACTGTCTGTTCCCTCTCCATTTTCGTATTCGTGCAAGTCAGAATTAGTTTGCAAAATTTCTTCATTATCTAGATTCTCATCCAAATCTTGATCATTTTCAAATTCAACTTTACCACCGTCAGCCATTTTACTTTCATAGGCAATTTCGCATGTATTAATACTCAATACAAGCCCAAGAAACCTATAAAAAGTAAAATCTAAATGTTTGTGCAACAGTTTTAATTAATTTTTATGACTTTTCATAATTAATCGTTAAAATATACAGACTTCTTATAATATTTATAAATTATAACGTGACTTAATTTGTAGTCTTGATAACCCAGGGGCGGCAACAAATGTCACTGAATCTCGTGTGTTGTTCTTGCTGTTAAGCAACTGTCAACTGTACGAGTACTAGTGTCACTTCTCGCATTAAAAATAACTCAGTCATGGCAAGTAGTTAATGAAACACTGATATATTTCACTATTTATTTGTAATATTAGAAATTATATTTCGTTAATACCATTTATCAATTCTATTGAAGAATTATTATAAAATTTCTAAAATGATTTATAATTCGATCACAGATTCGCTTTATTCTCATTCAAAACAGAGCTGGAAAGACCAGGCTAGCTAAGTGGTATATGAATTTTGACGATGATGAAAAACAGAAATTAATAGAGGAGGTTCACGCAGTGGTGACTGTCCGTGATGCTAAGCACACCAACTTTGTTGAGGTAATATTCATTCAGTAACTTCAGTGATGTTACAAAAAACTTAATCTTTTATGTTTTAGTTTCGTAACTTCAAGATTGTATATAGGAGATATGCTGGTTTGTATTTCTGCATTTGTGTCGATGTCAACGATAATAATTTGTGTTATCTAGAAGCAATACACAATTTTGTTGAAGTATTAAATGAGTATTTCCATAATGTATGTGAATTGGACTTGGTTTTTAATTTTTATAAGGTATATTTAAGTTTTAAATATATAAATATATAATTAGGCTATGGATGTTTATGCGAGTTCACATTTTTGTACACACTAATTTCCATAAATAGTCATGAAAGAGGATCTGATTTTTTCTACTGCAGTTTTTTAAAGATAACTAGAAAAATTTAAGTTTCCTTGATTATCACTGAATTCACTTCTTTATAGTGTATTCCATATTTATATTAGCCAAACATGCATAAAATCTGTAGTCTAATTGCAATAAATGTAGTCATATTCATCATGAGGATCATTTGCAGGTATATACAGTTGTAGATGAAATGTTTTTAGCAGGTGAAATAAGGGAAACCAGTCAAACAAAAGTGCTAAAACAACTTTTAATGTTAAATTCGTTAGAATAAAAATATTCAATTTATTTTGCTGTATTTATCAAGTACATCATAAAGATGTAAAAAATAAATCATGTTATGAATAAAAAAATGTATTTAATCAGACCTTCGTGTTGTATCTATCTTGGCTAATTAACCTGTGGGATTTTATAACTCAATTCGTACAACTTATAACTACACTAATTGCAATGTGAGAATACCGATGTAATGTCCTATTAGTGTATCAATATGAATTTATTGATATTTTTCGGTATTTCAACTTGTTTATTTTATTATATATTTTATAAGCTAAGTATAAAATTAAAAAAAAATAACTAGAATCTAAAATTGTTTAAATATTTAAAATTTTCACATATCGAATTTTCTATTATATAACTGTTCGATTTCAATTAGTCGAAGTTTGATAATCGATTTATCGAAGATTTAAGTTATCGAACTCTGTTTTGCACGCGAATTTCACTGAAGTACATCTTTGCGGAAGTAAAATTTTAATTTTATCTATAAATGGATGAGAAATGATATAAACTTTAAATTAGTGTTTTTAGTCTTGTTGAAACTGTGCAAAAATAAGTGATGGTTGGTTTTAATAGCACGAATCTATTCGCTATGGATGCTAAAACCACATCGACCGTGTTTATATAAATTATTATTAGTGTTTATAATCTCGTAGTAGTATAGAGTCTATAATACTTTGGAATAACGGTGGCATTGGAAATTTGTGAAGTATTGTTTTTATTATTTACATAATGAGAAAAAATTAACAACTCAAGAGAAAGAAAAATAATGATACATAGAAGTTTCCTATTACAATGGATTTTAGTAGTGATATTTACAATCACTATTATTTACCTAAAAATGAAACTAAGTTTCCTGGAGGATCACTACAAATTATTGCGTACACGTGATTATAGAGGATGTAATTTTATTAATTTGTAACATCAAGAACATCATCCTTTTAATATTTCATTTTGTTAAAGGTGATGGAATAACATAGGTATCGTATCATACTTCTAGACAATGCCATCGCACAGGACCAAAACAATGTACAAGCTGGGCTTGAAATCAACGAGCAATCTTATAAATCATCAGCTTTTGATGATCTTGTTATCATCTACAACAGGGTACCAAAAACAGCATCCACCAGTTTCGTAGGTTTGGTCTATGATCTATGCAAACAAAATAAATATCATGTTTTACACATTAACGTCACCAACAATATGCATACTCTTACTCTCCCTAATCAGGTAATATGGTAGTTTTATATTTCTATAAATTTGCATTTCGTTAGAAATAATACTTAACTATATATTTAAAAATTCTAGATTCAGTTTGCAAATAATGTAAGTGAATGGACTGTGAAGAAACCAGCATTTTATCATGGTCATATGGCATATTTAAATTTTGAAAAGTAAGTAAATAAAGGTATTTGTTATTAGACTGTGAATATTTATGTAAATATTAACCTTTAAAGATCAATTTATAGAAACTGAAATTGAGTAGAAACTTGTCCATGGTACCAAATGTTCTGATGGGTTCTAAATAAAATAAAAACCATGTTAAAACCTATAAATTGATTCTAGATAAATGAAAATACATAAATGCATAAAATCAACAGTCTACTTATTGTAAATGATTTATGTTTTCTTATAGCCTTAAATTAAGTTTCTATTTTAAGGTTTGGAGTAAGAAAAACGCCTTTATACATAAATCTTCTGCGCAAACCTTTAGATAGGTTTGTTTCTTATTATTATTTTTTAAGATATGGAGATAATTTCAGACCACATTTAATTAGAAGAAAACATGGTGATACAAAGGTCAGTACACATCAGTTACAATTTATATTCATTGTATAGGTATTATATAGTTTTATTTATTTCTAGACATTTGATGAATGTATTGATGCTGGTCAACCAGATTGCGATCCTGATAATATGTGGTTACAAATACCTTTTTTATGTGGTCACGATCCCGCATGTTGGTAAGAAATAATAAAACGTTGTCTTTATAATAATTGTTTATCAATATTGAATTAAGTATGATTTAACAGGGAAATTGGAAATAGTTGGGCATTAGAAGAAGCAAAGAGAAATCTGCAAAAACACTATCTTCTTGTAGGAGTGACGGAGGAACTAACAGAATTTGTTGAAATTTTACAGATTGTACTTCCACGGTTTTTTAAAGGAGCATACAACTCTTTTTTACATAGTGAGGAAACAAAGATCTAATGAAATCTACTTGGCTTTATAAAGTATGTACTTATGAGTTCACAATGTTTCAGATAATAAATCACACTTACGTCAGACTACTCAGAAAATAAATCCGCGACCTGAAACTGTAGATAAAATACAAAAATCTGTCGTTTGGAAAATGGAGAATGAATTGTATAATTTTGCTTTGACGCATTTTCATGCGGTAAAGAATCGTCTCATAAATGCCTCTCCTCAAGATGTAAATCAGCGATTTATGTATGAGAAAATACGACCAAAATAAACTTACTTTCTTAAATAAACACAGTTTTCTATAGTATTTTTTGTACAAAATTAAACAAATTTGTAAAAGTATTAAGCATGGAAAAGTGTATATTTCAAGGACGTATAAACAATGAGACAGTTTATTAATTAGATGCCAGTTTTTTACAAATTTAAGGAGTGTCAGCAGGTTTTAGGGCAAACATATAAACTGGATATAATCCACGTGGAAATTTATGTTGTTGTTCTTCTTTAATACAAATTAAATTAGACTTCTCAAATATACGATAAAATTCAGATAGTGGACGTGTTACAGAAGAATCCTTTGTATCAACTTCTAAATTTTTAGAAGTTGTTACATTTTCTTTAACTATTATTAAACCATTAGGCCTTAAACCCATCCTACAAAAATTTTAATCAATGATTAATCACTCATATTTTTATATATTGGAATCATGAATACTTACAAACAATTTTTAAAGAATTCTACTAAATGATCCTCCCTTAAGTGACCCAAAACCCATTGACACCAAATGACATCATATTTCTTTGTGGTAAAGTGAAAGTTTTGGAGTCCTTGAAAGGTTATTTAATTAACTAAATATCCTTGGAATAATTAACAGAGCGATTAAAAATTACCATTGGAATAATAGTTGCCAATTCTTGTAGAATAGTTTTTCAAGTATGTTTTAGCAACCTCTAGAAATTTTGAATTTTGTTCTACTAAATCAACACGTTTAAAATGATTTAATAATAGATTCTTAGTTATTCTTCCTATGCCTGCACCGCAGTCCAATGCATAGGTTTTTGATGGTGCATACTTTGACTGGAATTAAATAAAAATTATTACTAGTATATTTGAATGTTAATGATTATACAATGTATAGATCATCACACCTCAAGTATAGCCTTTAAAAAAATTGCTGAACCCTTAGTATCTGTTTGAGAAATGAATCCAAATCCACCAAGCATTCCATCCACAGTTGGTGGAATGTGTTCCCAATATTTTGCAGCTGCAGTGTAAAAATCATTTTCTTCGTCTACATTTTCTTCTCTTTCCATTTTTAACGTTGATAAATTACATTCACTACTAAATTCGAATGTCAATCATTAAAAAATGGAAAAAATATATCGCAGATGTGCCATGTGTCTTATTACAATAACAATTTCTACATAAACTTCTACATAAACAGGTTAATTTTATATTCGATAAAATGTTTATTACAATAAGAGAATAAGTATACAGTCTTTATCGAATAAAAAATTTTAATAGAACGCTCTCTCTCAAAACCCTCGTTTCATAAAAGTTAACTCTGATCAACTCTGAAATTAACATTTAGACAAAAATAACAAATACATTACTATCGATACTTAACAGGATCGATTTCAAAATATCGATGTACATACTACATTTAACAACTCCATTTTGTCGATACATCGACGATAAATCGATTATCGCTTCTGAACTTGTATCAGCAAAATTGTATTAAACTAAAATGTATAAATAATAAGATTAATAATACACATTAGGAAGCTATAATTTATTTTTTATTCATATTATTAACTATAAAACATTAAAGTAGAATTTACACTGCGTATAATCAAGGGTACATACTATGGCGAAACTATACGCATTCACTCGTCAGTTTGGTTAGGATAAAATCGATGTCAGTCGTTGTTGGCCAGTTACTCCGGAGTCATGGCAGAAGTAAGGCTTTATGATTCAACGATTTGTAGATTATGCGCGGAAAATAATGGAAACGGAGAATTGCTCTACACGGGAGACAACGAGGATCCAGATTTGAGTTCCATGGTCAATCGGTACTTGCCGCTCAAGGTACGAGTCTTCGAAACATCAGTCTCCAACTTGACTTCCTGCTTTCTGTACAAATACTACACGAATCAAATATCCAATGTATCTTTCTGACGCTTTTCAGACAGTTCTTCGCCTTATTTTTATGTTGCAAAAATATATTATTTTATGAAGAAATTTGTTTCGTGCTCTCATTAAGAATGTAGTTGTTGGTAAATTATTTCGCACGATAATAAATCTTCTAGTTGCACTTGTAAATTAATATGGAATCCCTTATGCTGCTGTGTATTGCTCCAAAACTTCCATTGACTTTATTGTATATACTTATCTGTGTCAATGGTTGATTGCAATAAATTTTAATCAGAAATATACATAATCTCGAATTGTGAACTATGATTCTTGTGACTGTAAATGAGAAAATACGGTAAGTATATATACATTATGCATCTCCTTTGAAGGTTATGATGCTATAAAATACTTTTGGTGAGAGATATAGTGTGAACATAAAATCAACCTTAAGCTAAAGTACTTGGTACTCAGTTTTGAACACTGGAACGAACGAATTGACAGATACAGTAAATCTTCGATTAATGCGCAAAACTTGGAACCACTTTGGAACAGTTATCGTAGAGGTTTAATGTTTCCATAACTCATAAATTTCAGTCTGAGCCTCGACAGTTTATTTTTGTAGTTTGCAGGAAGCCAACAAAGATTACTTGCCTATGTACTGGTAAGACCAGACTAATGCAATGATGAAACTTTAACTTTTTATTTTTATTAATAAACATTTTAACATATTGGTGAGATTTTTCCGATTAAAACAATACCGAATACAATATAATTTGGATCATATTTACTTATTTCATGCTAACTCATTTTCTCTATAATCTGTATCTCATAAATTACAAATGAGTCAAATTATATCCTGTTTGATACAATTGTTATCAGAAAAATGTCACCAACATGTTAATAAAATTTTCATTACCAAAGAACCAAAAGTAAAAAAGTTTCATCATTGCTTTAGCATTGTCTCACCAATACACTATGAAGATGTATTCTCATACTACTAAGAACTCCCTAGTAGTGGAGATGAAGCAGAAGCATTTAATGTAGAGATTTTTCACGTCTACAGTATATTGTTTCTGCTGCCTATCATTTTTGTTATAATGTAATTGTTTAAATTTAAGATCCAAGACGATGGTAAGCTACCACGTACTATATGCCCTGGTTGTAATATTCAACTGGAGGCAACAATCCAGTTCTTTGAATTATTGGTGGATGGTCAAAGGAAAATTCGTGAGATGTGGAAGCATCAGGTAGAACATCAGCGTAAAGTCGAACGAGAACGACTTCGTGCTGGGAAAGAAAATGCGGAAGCAGTAACAGATGCATCAGAATTAGATAACATTTCACAATATAATGAAGAAGATCAATTTGAACAACAGATCATAATAAAAAGTATTATTTTAAACATAATACTCTAATTAAATACTTTAGAAAGATCATTAATCGTTCACATTTTATTCTGTAGTAATGGCAGATGGTTCTATGTATGCTGCGGAGCATGAAATGAGTTTGCAAATGGAAGGATTGAGTAAACCAAAACGAAAGAGAGGACGACCACCGAAAACGCATATAGAAAACATATCTATGGTTTGTAAATATAATATTTTCGTGTTACATATAATATTTCAAACATTAAATTTTAGGAACTAACGAAAGAAGAGGTAATGGAAGGTGGAAGTCAAGAGGAAGAAGACAAGCAAGAAGAAGAAATAGACGATATAGACGGAGATGGAAGACGTCGTAGGAAGCGTAAGGTTCCCAAAAGGTACTTGCTAAAAGCAAAATAGATCAGTGTAATTATTGTCATTTTTATAACAGCGTATGGAATGGCTTAGATACATGGAAGCAGTTCAAGGCAAGGAATTAGAAAGAATATATAAAGAGGAGGGGGTAATTGATGAAGAAGATGATGAAGAGCCTGATAACTTTGAAGACTCTGAGGAACAATTAAATATGTCTGTTCCTGATAGTCAAGAAGGTAAGTACCAATGAAATTACGCAACAAAGCAATTTACTTCAGCAATTTATTCTGTAAAAAATTACATATTACAGAAATAATTGGTCATTTGGAATCTGAAGAAGGAAAAGATCTTGGAGAATTAGTGATAGTAAATCGAGGACGGGGACGCGGTCGACCAAAGGTACGTCGTAGAAAAAATAAATTCACATGTCAACTCTGTGGTCGAGGCTTCTTGCAACGTAGCAGATATATTATACATAAGTAAGCAAAAATTTTAATGCATACCATTGAAACACTTGATAAATGTTGAATTAATTAAACTAACATTAAGATGTAATTACAATTAACAATTAAAACGTCTTTTACAATCAGGAGTTTCCATAAAGGAATAAAATACGAGTGTTCGGAGTGCAAAAAGTTATTCACAAGCAAAGAGAATTTGGGACTGCATCAGAAAACAAGTCATCATACTGGAGATGGAGACAGTGAAAGTGTTGAACACAATATACAAGATTCTACCTCTAAATTGAACCACCCTTCATCTGAAGAGGATGATAAAGTGACAAACATCCTCGAACCCATTTTATCGGAAGAACAGCATGTAAAAAAACTATCAAGTATGTCCGATAATGCTCAAAAAACTTTATCATGTGAACAGTGTGACGAGTCATTTGAAACTATACAGTCTCATGATTTACACGTAAAAATGGTTCACGAGTGTAAAGAACTGTATCTTTGTACTATTTGTAATAAGAGTTTTACACAACAATCAGTTTTGAAAACTCACATGTTAATACACGAGGTAAGTTAGTAAAAAAATGAAAGAATTGTTAAATCCTTTTGTACAGAGATGCGATGAACCTTTTTTTTTTTACTGTTGTCTTTTAGAAAAATAAATTGGAAAAGGAATATCCTTGTGATATTTGCGGTAAAGTTCTGAATCATCCCAGCTCTGTAGTATATCACAAAGAAGCAGAACACAATAACGGTCGACGCTTTGTTTGCAACAAGTGTGGAAAGAGTTTCAAGCATAAGCAGTTGTTGCAACGCCATCAGCTCGTACATTCCGATGATCGACCCTACATTTGTAAATCCTGCAATGCCAGTTTCAAAACAAAAGCAAATCTAATTAACCACCAATCTACGCACACCGGGGAGAAAAAGTACTTCTGTGAAATTTGTGGACAACAATTCGCCCATAAAACTAGCCTTACATTGCATTACAGGTTGTTGTATGGACAGGAATATTCAATTTAAATAATTATACTAAGAAATATAAATACTGACAAATAATTTTACATTTAGGTGGCACACAGGTCACAAACCATATACATGCGAAGTATGCCATAAAAGTTTTTCACAAAATGGAAATCTACAAGAACACATGCGGATACATACAGGCGAAAAACCTTATTGTTGCGATTATTGCGGAAGAAAATTTACAACTTCGTCGCAATTTAAACTTCACGTTAAACGACACACTGGCGAACGTCCTTGGAAATGCGAATTTTGTGCGAAATGCTTTTTACACAAAGATACTTGGAAGTGTCATGTACGTAGGCATAAAGGAGAACGTCCTTTTCAATGTGCTCACTGCGATCGTGGTTTCACAGAACAGTGGGCTTTGAAGAAACATCTTCGTCTTCACACTGGTATCTCTTTTTTTTACTAATTTCTTAATTTTTTCACTAATGTATTATAAGTAGTTAACATAGTTAATACATTTACATTTGTTTAATCTTTACTTTATATTTTGTTTTCCAATTGTGTTTTATACTTTCCTGTGTAACAGGAGAGAAACCTTACTCCTGTGACGTTTGTGGAAAAGCATTCGCAGATTGTTCGAATTTAACGAAGCATAAAAAGGTAAGAAATAAAAATTTATTTGTAGATCACAGGTAGTTTCTTGAAAATCTCACATTTCAAATCTTGGAGCTTGAAAGCATTCCTAACACAATTCAGGTGCTACAGAAATATTTTTCATTGTTCCTTTATGTAACTTTTAGCAGCTACTTCATAAGGTATTCAGTCTTGGTGTAGTCTGCATTTATAGCATATACGATTATCTAATATTGTACGTTGTAAAACGTTTAATAATGTTGATTGAAACTTTTATTTCACGTTAAATCTAATAGAATCCTTACTAGGGTGAACGAATCTAAGTCAACAAAAAAATTGTCTTTGTATAAAAATTGGTAGTCTGTTCGTTACAAAAATCTTACAAATTTATTGGTAAGTTATACAAAATAAAAGTTTCATAAATGTATAATGGAAAGTAAGGAAATATTTCTGTTTCACTAGTAATTGATACAGGGATACGTTATTCAGCGCCATTTCGAAGTTTCAGGAGCTATTCTACAGGTCATTAGTATTTTGCTCACTTTTGATGTGCCTCGTTTATTATTCACGGATGACAAACAAATGACGGAGATTTTCTTGAACTTAGGATATATTGATAAAATTTAATATTAGAGTATTGTTATCGAGTTGATTTTAGGTACACAGGGAGACGAAAATTTCTACAATTGGTGAAGTTGAAGGATCTCCAATTGGTGAAGTTTGGCAGATTTTACCAAGTTCTCAGGAATCTGATGAACATTCGTTGACTGATCAAATGGCTCAAGTTATTGCAACAGACGATGCATCGGGAGATGGTATTCAACAGATTATTTATGTTTCATACCAAGATCCAGATGATCCTAATCAGTCTCGAACTTTACATTTCGGTAAAAACAAAAAATGATTTACTTATACACAATTACTTAATAATTAATTAATTTTATAAAGCTTTTAGTTCGCAGTTTCTTTTATCTGTATTATGCATTTCATTTTTAATGTAGTTGATGCTGGAATGATAAGAAATAAGGAGGAAAAGGGAAACACGAATCAGTCGTTGCCTCATTTAAATGTCGAGAACAGTGGAATACTTTCTAATCCTTCTCATAATAATAGTAGTAATAATTCAAATGAAAGAATGAATGTAGAACTTTCAGAATCCGATCTCCAATTGCAGGTAAAAATTAACGAGATGTTAAATATTTTTAAAATTAAAAACAAAAATATGTGTAAGCATTATATTTACAGATTACAGACGAAGAAGGTAATCCAATCCCTCTATCGATTCAAGATGCTCGACAACTTTTATCTCAAAGTCAGTTTGTTAACCAACTTAATGATGGTCAAGAAATTAGAGTTCATCCTGCAGTAATTACAGATGAATTGGCAGCACCGTTAAATGTTCATGTTAATCAGGATTCTGGTATCAAGGGTGTAGATACTGGAAACACAGAGGAAGTGAAAGTAAAAAGTATTTCAAGTGTGCAAGCAGACGCAGAAGCAATCGTAAAAGCATTAGAGGTAACGTTATTAAATAAATATATTCTAACGAATATAATAGTGTAATAGTCAGTTTAGTTACTATTTTCCTAGAAAACATAAATTAATCATCATCTCTAATCCAGTCAGTAAAGTAGTAGCATAAATGATTGTTTTCATATTAAATTTCAATACTTTACTAAATTTGAATATTTCACTTAAGAAACAGAAAAAATACAGTAAATGAAATAAAGAGTCTGTCAATAAATATTTATTAGAACATTTCTATAAATGAAATGCATTATGTTGTTTCTATTTGCTATTTAATATTTACACAAATCATGACTGTAGTAATAACTTATCAAATATCTAACAGCTTTATACAGAAAGCGTCGAATTAAATTGACAAATTTTAATATTTAATGAAAGAAATTAACCGACAATATATAACACCCAATAAGAAGACAGTTTACAGAAAGCCTTCAAAGCTAATTCCTTTGACTTGCCTTAATGAAATCTACGAATCAGTAAATTGTTGAAGTTCTTATGTTATTATTTATAAATGTGTACACTCACTTATATATGTGTACATAATTGAATATATGCAATAGGATGAAAATACGGATGCAAATACAGTCGCAACAATTAATCAAATGGAAGAATCGGAGCAACCAGGGATCGCCGAAAATGAACAAGCGATCGAATTCACAACACAAGATGGTCAGAAAGTTCGTTTAGTTACTTCTTATCATGTCGATCCAATACAACTTGCCTCCGAGTACCTGACTATTGTATAAAATTTGAAAATCGTACATCCATATGAATCATTTTTTCAATACTTTATATTTAATTCTTATAAATATTGTTTACATAGATTCATATGATAAATTAATTGTAAAGAAAAACGCTTTGATTTTAGAAATTGTAGAATATAAATATTAATTAATAAATGAATTAAATCGTTTGAAATGATTATACGTAAGGTTTCACTAATAATAAACCTTAAAGATGTTTGTTAGTTTTTCTAATTTTCATATTCAGTGTATTAAAAATATACAAAACTCATTATTTAGTGAACATATTTATGCTTGTTTATTTATTAAAACATCTAAATTACACCCATTAATTTCCGATAAACCAGCGTCTTTGCAAAGTTGATACATTTCTTTTAAATGTTTAAGATTTTCAACAGCATGATCGCTTCTCAACAACTCTGTTTTCAGAGAAGAACCAACTATATCTTTATATCCAATCAATTTTGTTCCAACTTCCAGTGTGTTCACCCATATTGTATTTTTTAAGTGTAGATTTACCTGCGTATCCAATATTGACTCGTGATCATTTTGTTATAACAATAAAGTACAGAAGAAAATATAATTTACCGTTCCAATTACGTAAGACCTTTCGTCAATATTTTCTTTAAACCATTGAAATACAGCGTCAATTGCGCAATGATTCCAAACATATTCATTGTCATATGGAGCTATGCCAGCAAGAAATACTTCTATTACTTGTGTTGGATACTTTCTAAATTCTTCTGGCATGTGTAACAATCTATATACCTATCGTAAACGAAAAATATATTATACTCTGATTACTTTTCATTGTCTCGTTATATTCTATTACACCACGTACATTCACTTTTGTTAGAAGTACACCATTGTCAATACATCTTACATCTGCATACTTTGGTTTATCGGTCTTGTCTTCTCTCTCGATATGTAAAATTTGTACTCTTTTAAAACTGTCTACTGGTTCCTCTAGACCACATATACTTCCCACATCTATTGTCTCACATCTTCTCCTATACATCGAAATAAAAATAAAAAATATATCAGCACTAATCTTTAAAAAAAGTTATAATTTATGAACCTGTTATCTACGCATGAATAGAACTCTTGAATTTTCATAGTAATTTGCATGTATTCTACATTTGAGAATTCGATTTCTTCCAATGTATCGTGTTTAATGTACGATATAATCCTAGCAGAAATTTGTGTGACACTGTGTATGCTGACTACTCTAAACTTTACTTTGTCGAATCTAAAACAACAACAGAAAATCATATGTAGAGAAAAATACTTTGTCAAACTTGAAAATTTAATTTTTAGCTTACATTCGAATATCTATAGTTGGTGTATCGATTTCTGAAATAATTCTATGTCTCAGCGCACAAGAGTATTTTTTATGACAAAATCCCCATAACTTCATATTATTGCACATAGGATAATTTTCTTTGTTTTTCTCTAACATTGCTTCTGTATGCTAACAAATGTTAGATATATTATTGAAAATAATGAAAAATTAACTTAACTTGTGTCTTCTACTATTCTTTATAAATACCTCAATGGTGTCTAATATATTCCTAGGAATTACAACATTCATACGTTGCAGTATGCTTATTATACTCAAAAATTGTATATCGCTATTTTCATCCACTATAATAGATACTTTACATCTGGGCTTTTGCTTAAAAAAATGTAATCAAATAATTATATTCAATCAAATAAATTTAAACTTTTTATGAGATTGTAACGTACCTCCTGCAAACTATCGTAAAGTGTTGAGAAACGAAAGTTGAATTGCGTCTTCCAGCGTAGGGAGATTGAATAATGTATTAACCACATTGCATTTGTAATATTTAATTCTGACAAGACTTCGTCTGTACATATAAGAACTGGATAGGAATCATTTACACAAGCGTCCCAATATTGTTTAATACCTGTATTAAAACAAAAAAACTTTAGATGATAGTATACTAATGATATGACGAAGACTTGTATTATCCCACCTTGTAAATGAACAAAATTCGTATTATCATGTACTAAAAGAATGTCTTTATTGGACTGTTCTAAAACTTTGTGTAAGGTTTTAGCCTCATCACTGTCTGTACACACTATTATAGTTCTCAATGTAGAACATTTGTTGCCCAATAAGTCTGTAAAACAATTTATGATTATTATTACAATAGTAATAAAATAATGACAGAAAGCTATAACAAAATTTTAAGTTTACCTAAAACTTTTTTATCTTTACTTTTTGTATTCACTATGTACATTTTTGGGTGTACAGATTTAAAAACTGTAGCTTCTATGAAAGATGCTACACATATGTATGGATAGTCCATTAAAATAGTTGCCAGTTTTTTAATTTGCGGCGTCCAATGTTTTGCAGTCACTATAATTTGTAATGTTACATTCGCATGTTTTAATTCTCTGTTACAAATAATTTTATGTTTCTTAAACAATTTGCCGATCTAAAAAAAGAAGGTGAATTTAATATTTATGTGAACAAACGTTTTACACTTTTATAGGGGAAGAGGAAAAATTTACAGAGTCAAAGTATTTTTCCAAAATAACATCACCATCGTCCAAAATTAAGCATCGAAGATTTTCAAAATTCAACAATTTTCTGTTTTCATCCATAAAACGTGTTATAAATCTTGGCGTGGATACTAAAATCTGACATCCATTAAACATTTCAGCCTGAAAAGTGTTCACTTAAATGTATTTCCCTGTACTCAGTTTAGAAATATTGCTTCAGAAGTTTACCTACCACTAATGATCTCTCTGATTTACCATTAATTGCAGCAACACATCTAATAGTTTTGTAGTTTTGTAAAAATTCTGTACACAAGGAAGAAACTTCCAATACTTCAGACGAAGACGAGCATAATATTAATGCAACTGGATTCACACCTTGTGGAAGCTATTTTAAATTTTAAAAGCTTTAAAAATAAATTTTACAGATACCAGTATTTTATAGCTAATGTTCTTCTTGCACAATAAGATTAATATAATCAAATGTTTAAAATTTATAGGAAAATAAAAAATCAATATAATTTTCATAATTGCATTAAAGGCAAATATAAACATAATTTTAAATATTAATGTGAATAAGTTACTTCAAAAATAATAATAGTACATTTAGCTTTGAAGCCAGGAGTCCACAGACAGCAAGTACGTATCCATAAGTTTTACCAGATTTTGCTGCTCCAATTGCTATTACATCTAAACCGTTTTTTATTGCAGGTAAAATATATGACTGAATTTTCGTTGGACTGGACGAGTTTATCAGTGATTTCCAAGCCTAGAAAGGATAATATCCAATAACTTTAACCATCTGGAATGTCTGTTTTTTTTTTGGAGAACTGAAAGAACTTCATGTACAGAAGTTGTAAAATACTAAGGGGGCCATATCATGCCGGTAGTAATTTCGTTGTGGGTGGACGGTATTCAGAAATTTCAAGGTCACCTCTGTTTTTTTTAAGTGGAATACTATACTTTCATCCTCAGTAGAATAGCGGATGTTTAAATGATCTCAACGACCTGTAATACAAGGTCATCCTATATTAAGTAATGAAGTAAAAGGACGACTTTTATGTCATAGGTAATGTTCGAAATAGTGTCTGTTTGCATCGATGCAACATTGCAAATGACAAATTGCTAAAGTCTCTTATGACGTGAGAATCGTGTTTTACTCTATTACTTAATATCGAATGACCTGATATTATAGGTCGTTTAAATCGCTTAAACAACCTATTCCACTTCAGATAAAAAAGTATAGGTGGCCGATTAAAAAAATTGAGATGACTTTGAAATTTCCGAAAACCCTCCACTCACAAAAACATTACTAACATTTTATGGCCTCCTCGACACCATACGACTTTTGTAAACAAAGTTTTTTCATATCTCTAAAAATTCTGGCGATTTTTGAAAAGTGGTCAAAATTAATGAACCACCCTGTACATTAGTTTCATCGAATCTAATAATAATGCTATTGCCAATTTATACCTTATGTATTTCAGTAGGGAATCTTAGATCTGAAATTGTACCCAAGCATTCATATTTGTTTCTGCCATAAATTAATACTTTTTCTTTCCCTTTTCTTAGGTCACTATGCGATCGCTGTTTTACTTTAAACTTATTTCGCGTTCTTATATAACTGTTGTAAAGGACACAAATTAACTAATTAGAAATATATAATCAATTACTCGTGCTTATTAACGAACCTTTCATTATGTATATCGAATTCATGTTCTCTTTTGTACTCTTTCAAAATATTCATATAATATATAGTCTCATCATTTACCACTTCTTTATGTAATTTTTCGCAGTTCTTAGGATCTTCTATAAATTTCATTATGTCTGTATAAATATTAAATAAGAATTACAAATACATTGGAAAAGTAATATATTAATTAAGCATTAATAAGTTAACGAGGAAAGTTATTAATTCACCTTCTTGTATGTAAATGGCATGATTATTGAGAATTAAAGCTTCGCTTAATCTTATTAGAGTGTCTTCGATATTCAGATAAAATTCGCCATACTGTCTACCACACTCATCGGATGCTAAGTGATCAAAATAAATTGCACTGGATGCAACAATTAATTCCTTTGTGTACTGAACTGCTGATTCACTCCATTCCTGTAATACCCTTTAGACACATATATTAACATCACTGATCTCAAAGAGATAAACCAATTAATAATTGTTACATTAGGCTGAACGGGAAGTTTTTGCATTTTCTGTTGGATGTCACTATAGCATCATATTATATAATTCATTAGTAGCATTTTTATTTTTATTATCTCATTCAGTATTCTAACAGGTACTTTCTTAAATATGCATTCTGAAATCATCCAACGTCATAATTTTCTATTATAATATTTGAATACACATGGATATATTTTTTATTGTAGATTTTAGTATTGTCAGTTAAATGTTAGTGGCTTTAATAAATAGAAAAAACTGTATAATATTTAGTTACAGGTCTTCAATGTATAAAGTTCATTTTACTCAAAATAACATTAAGTGGACACTCATCCTTCTTTCCCTGTACCCTTCAAATATAGATGATGTAAGGTGACAATTGTCGTAACTGATGACATTATTATTAGAAAACACATGAAAGAAGTGTAATACATTTTGAACATACATTGTTAAAATACTCCATTGTGTCTAACAACAAAAAATGCAGAAATCATCCATTCAACTCGAAACAAATTTCTATTATACATACAGAAGTGAAGTGTTCCCTTCTACTGATGAGTTATGCTTTAGCACAGTAGGTAAAACATTATATAAACCAACAGTAGAACTCAAATATTCTTCTACAATCAAGCCAGTTGAAGATATAAAAAAATCATCTCTATGCAATTCAACTGATATTCCATAATCGGATAAAAAAACATTATATATATTTTCTGTATCATTCAAAACATTACTAATAATTCCTCGACATAACCAGGCAGGAAGATTAACATTTTTAAATTTATCACATACTATAATCACCTAAAAACAAAATGAAAAATAAGCAAATAAAACAAATTTTATTTGTATGTCCAATTTAAAAAATTGTAACATAAACAAGTGAATTTATTATGATTGTAACTTAGTTAAAGTAATATACACATAATTAATTGAAGTGCTCATTAAAAAACTCTTTCACTGTAATTTGTAATGCATAGATTCATATTGTCCTTTGTAATTTTATTCTTACATCTCCGATCTTTGGTTCTGCGTGATTTGTGTCTTTATTAAATATTCCTCTCTTTCTTAGCAATAATAATTTATTATTAATCAAATTTAATTTCTTTTCATAGTCTTTGCGTTTGCAGATTCTTATAAAATATGGTGTTAGAATGTTTGTTACTTTAATTGCCACTGCAGTCGAAGGTAAGATAATACCTGCAAACCATAAAATAGCACGAGTAAGTAGTGTAATAGATTTATAGATCATGTTATGATCTATAAAAAAAAACAGAACCACATTCATAAGAAAATTAAAAAAGATTTAACCTTTGCTATCAAAACTTTCATTCTTCATTTTAATATTTTCCAGTCGTAATTGTTGTGTAGCAAAAACAAACGAATTTTGCTCTTCTATGTCTTTTTAACGGTACGAAATATTAGTTTCATTTAATTTTAAATATTGTCGTCATCTCACAAAGAGAATCTAAATTAATTAAGAATTAAATTAAGTATTTAACTTATGTACTACTTTACTGATATGTATACATAAATACATTTATAGTAATAAATATATATACAATATTGCATACTTGTAAAGATAAGTTTTTATTACATACGTCTAATTTTTAAAAAGTTTTGCGTGCAAGCACATCGCAGCAGAGCCAAACCAAACACCCAACACTGTAACCTATACTTGGGAGCTCATAAGAGGCCTTCCAATTAAATTCGTCGATGACAAAGAGAGCGAAAGGACACCTGAGAGCAAGTGAAATAGAGCGATAACAAAGTAGTCACGTGGCAATGACGTTATGACATACGGTACGCCTTGCAATGCTAACAATTGGCCGGCGATATCCATTCTTTCTTCTAGTCTATGCTGTTCGGCTTATTGGGACTCAGCAACTTATCAACTCCCAACTGTACTTATTTCATACGTACTGTACGATACGATGAATGTGACACCATGTAACTTGACAGTAAACAAACGGTGAGGTGGTGAGGAACCTATTTATTTATATAAAGTTGTTTAAGGTGTTTGATACTAAATACATAAAGTTTCATGCAAAAAGAATGTCTTTGGTAAAATATTTCTTTGTATCTTATATTTGATCTGGATTTTTATGTTGTACTTTCAACAATTCAGTGAAGGAAATGAGTTATAGTATTACGATTATTAAGTTATCGTTATATGTATTATTGTATGACAGGTTTTGTTTACGTTTTCAAAATATCGTTTGTATGAACTCGTATGAAAATAAAACATTATTTATTCATTTCGTGTTTTAAATGCAGAAAATACATTTTTTGAACAAGCATATTTTGAAATATAATTCATATTTAGAAATTATATATATACATACATCCAACAAATACTTGTTTTAATAATTTATTAGATAAGTTACATAGAAATGTATTTTCTATTTGACCATATAATTTTATACAATTTTACATTTACAAAATATTTGAATAGTTGAGAAAATAATTGGAATAAAAATATAAGAAATAAAATTTTGAAATGTTTATTCATTTATTATTTTACTTTTTAGGATCAATTCTAGTGCTTATCATTAATGAATCTAATAATTATATATGTAAAAATTACAAGAGGAAGAAGGTTCTAGTGATTTATAAAATAATATAGTTACATTAATGAAGAAAATAAAATTATTTATACTCTAAATAATATAAAGTATGATGTCAATGCTAAAATCAAAAGGATGCCTTTTCTTGGCTTCTTCGCTATGCGATGGCTTAGAGGACAATGACATAAAGTAAGAAATTTGACACAGTTTATGTTTCATACACAGTCAGACTACATTTATAAAATCTTATTTATTTAACATTTCAACAAAACAGCTCCTTTGAGAAACAACACATTGGTGAAAATATACATCTGATTTCTGAGAACAGTGCTACAAGGTTTTTATCTTATAGAGCGATCATTGTTTCAATTATAGTCAAATGTGAAATCCCTACACTACATTGCCAATAAATGACTTTGCTTCAGAAAAAAATACAATTGTATTTTAATTCTATTGCTTCTCAGATCTCAGTCTGTGTAACTTTTTTTTATTACTAAAGATTAGAAACCATTTAAAGAAACACAATTTCCACATAGTTGAAAATGTTGAAAAGACTGAGATCTATCTAATAAATATTCTAGAAGATGGAAATTTTCGATATTGTTCAAGGGATTAGAAGAAACATCTTCATTAGTGTGTCTTTTCACAACAGAACTAATTTGAAGAATATTATTTTGATTGTAAAACATATAACATAGTAAATTTTTTATACATATTATTATATTTGAATGACTTATTTTAAAACAGGCAAGTAACCACTTTACTCTTAAATAAAGAAGCAGATCCCAATACATTAATTCCGACGTATGGAGTGACACCTTTTCACTTAGTGATAGGTAATGATTCGGAGGCATTTGCAGAGGAAGTAACTAAATTGTTTTTACGTCATGGAGGAAATCCGAATGTTAGGTAAGTACTTATATTATCAGGGAAACTAATACAGTCACCTATTTAGCAATATCTCTGTTAGGTGTCTAAACATTAGAATATCCTCATTATGCTGTCCAAATATAGAACACAAAAACTGGTCAATTCAAATTTACACCTAAAGTGGTGCTCAAAACCTCTACATTTGTTTTGAGCACAATACTTAATATATTGTTACATTACACGTGGAAATAAAATATTTCAATATTTAGATCAGTGGATGGATTGACTCCAGTTCATGTAGCAGCAGCATGGGGCAGAATTACGGTTTTGGAATTGCTAGTAGCCAATGGCGGAGATCCTCTTTGTTTAGATTACGAAGGGCGTAGTCCATTTCATTACGCATTCGATGGCAAGTTTTATGGAGCAATTGTAGTGCTGGGAAAATATTGTGAAAATGTTACAGACGAAGAAAAACCGACTACACATAAAGTAACATTTGGTATGTCGAAAATTAATGTACTTGTGAACATTGTGTTTTAAAAGTTTTATTTACATTTTTCTTTTCTACAGAGAAACTTCTGATTAATAATGGAGACTTTGTCGCAGAATACGCTGCGTTACCAAATTCTGTTACGATTAATAACGACGTATTAAACGAAAATAAATTTCAGACAAATGAAAAAAACCGACTTTCTAAGATCAAAGATGAACATTTTTATTTCAGTGATAATAGCTTAAACAGTAACAATCAGCGTGATATGAATGCTGCAGAACTCCGACTTCGTGAGGAAATAAATAAAGAAAAATGTCTACTGAATCAAATTATTAATCAGTTATCCAATTCTTTAAAGTCCAATTCTAAAGATACGGAAATTGAAAACAAACAAATTGAAGATAATCAGTGTGACACAAGTCCGTTATCTGCATTAAATACAGATGACAGCCTGACTTATGACATGCAAAACAAATTTTCATTAAGAACTAAAACAAGAAAACGGTCTGCTACTCCGAAATATAGGCGCAGAATTTTAAGTCAAACTAATAATACTAAAATTCCGTTAGTACCAACTTATGATCTAAACGATTCAATTGTAAGCAAGTCACCAAATTTTTTAATAAGCAAAGCAGTTGAGAAAGAACGATACTTATCTCCCAAAATCGTAAGTAATGACTCGAAATTCAAAACTTTCACACCATGTATGACGAGAAATGGATCATTTCGATCGGACGAGTTTAACATTGGGAAAGAACTAGCGAAATCCACTCCAAGAAGGAAACGTTTTTATAGGCAGTATTCGTCACTTAGAAAACTGAGAAAAAATGACAGATTAGCATCATTAGAAAACACAAGCCCTGATTCAACAAATTCTTTGTCACCAGATGAAAATCATCGTACAAAATTGACATATAAGATCAACAAAAATGTAGCGGTAAAATTGCATGAGAATAAATATGACGATGATATACCAATAAATCCAAATATCAATGAGAGGAAGGATTGTATTAGAAAGTATAAAATAACAGAGGACTTTATGAAAAAATTAAATAACGTAGAATACTTAGAAATTAAAAAAGCAGACTGGATAGGAAAAAATGAAGAAAACTTCAGAGAAGATAAAAGTTTAAAAGAACAATATTCAGAAGATTTAAAAAGTAATAATACTTTGAATACTTTTAAAGAAAATTTTACTGTGCTTTTTTCAAGGTAATTCATCGTATTTATTAATACTGTAGTCATGAAGCATTTGCTTACAACTTAATATAATTTACGTGTATTACACGATTTAGTCTTCTACGGAGTGTTTAGTTTCTATTTTTTTTACTTTTGAGAATACAAAAAATTGTGTCAAGGAAAAAGTTGTTCGATTTAATTGGACAACAATTATAATTAATGATTTAAATGTACATACAAGACCAACTTTTCTAGAGCTTTTAAAAACACTGTCATTTAGTTGAGATAATGGTACAATAATTTTGTTAGCATATTTTGACAAAAAATCAAATTTAAGCATATATAATAGGTTGACCCTCAAATGACTTTAAAAACGTAACAATTGTGATAATCAAAGGTAATTAGAACAATTTTTATACAGGGACAATGAATGTTTTTTTCACGCATTATCTTACCGATAATGTTTAGATAAGTATATCACTAAAATGTAGACTTTAGTCGATTGTCTGAGCACTATCGGGAAACATGTACTATAGAGAAAGTGAAAATTACTATAGAAAATCCCGAAGTAATTTTGGGAATGCACGCCAACTATATACAGCAAGGTATCCCAATTGGCACTGTTCTTTTATACCTATATAGTCCTTCGGACAGATTGCTCTTCCTCTAAGGTCATTTAAAAGCTATATACCATATCACATGTATCACAATTCGATTTTTACTGCTACATCAATATGATAACAAAAATATATCGCTACTATGAAACAAAACTTTGAAAGTAATGATGTTGAAATTCAGATTATTAATTATAATACTTATCATCATGAATTGAACAACTGTTTTATGACACACTTTTTGTATCACCAAAAGTAATAGCAAAACACCCTGTATATATTTTACAGTTTTTGCTTTTATACTACATATATATTTTCAATAGAGAATTAACATTCACCTTTTTGATGATATTGGCATTATTTATAGCATACAATAAAGAGATTATAAATAAAAAGTGAAGAATAAATACTAAATTTATTTATTTAGTATTTATTGATTAATAAATTAATTATTTGCAGTTTCAAATCGCAGTCATATATTAGCGTGCAAGAGGAATATAAACATGAAGATCTAGATGAAGGTATAGCCTTTGTAGAACGTAGAGTTTATACACTACCTCCTAGGTAAGATATTAAAAGTAAACATTTAGCTGTATTTATATAAATTGTAAGTCTTAATAATTAACATCAATTCTACTCTATTACAGGAAATCTAAAAAAGATTGTATGGCATCTGAAAAATCATGTAAGATTCAATGACATTATTTCATATATAAAGTAATTAAAGAAAAAGTTGGAAAATTTAGAGATATGTAGTATTTAGTATAATAAACAAACACTGTTCGGTTAATATCAGTCTGCATATTAATTTTAATAGAATTTAAAAGATTATTATTAATGTGTATTTTGAATTTAATTAATATAATTCTTGTTATAATGAATTGAAATGTATAATTGATGGTAATGATATACTGAAGTAGTAAATCTAGTATTTCATTTCAAAACTTTTGAAAATAACGATATTTTAAGTACATTTAGTATAATCATGATAAAAGCGATGGTTTTTACTCCCTCGTGCTTCTTTGTTGACCGCTCAACCCAAACGCCAAACTTATTGTTATTTATAATCTCGCTGTTTGCAATCTCACTATATCGTTATTGTCGTACCATTTTTGGCCAACTAATCAGAAGAGATCATCTTCAGAAATAGAATTCATGTTCATAACTTCAGAAGCTTAGACATTAGAATAATGTGGTGCTAGGAATACTGCAGACGTTATATCCCTGTGTAGTTCCGCAATAATTAGGGAAAAACATACATGGCGACTTGTATTTTCAAGACTACCCTTTTTCTACTTAAGCGTATGACAAGTAAATATGTTAAATTATTTTCACGACGAGTGTTCTGTTCACCTGTAATGCTGGTCTACACATTGCAGTATTGTTCTAATCCTCTATATTGATATAGATGGTAGATGCAGAAAATATCTGCTATAGAAAACCATAATGAAAATTTTCCTTGGACAAATACTCAATCAACTAACTTGGCGGATTTTTGTAGAATAAATATTTTTTTGTTCGTTTGATTGAATATACATGCTATATGTTTCTACATGTTTCAACTTTAAAAAAAAGCAAATGTCATACATTTCAAGATTGGATTTTGTTAATATTTTCAGGGCCCCAATCGTTAAATTTATCAGTAAATATATATATGACAAATGAGGAACTACAACAAAAATTAATTGATTTAGGTGACAATCCAGGACCAATAACTAACACAACAAAGCAAGTATATTTAAAGCGGCTTATATGTTTAGAAAAGAAAACTAGTCTGAAAAAACCAGATGTTAAAACTATTCCTTCTAAGACCTGGTTTGATGTAGATGACTGTAGCTGTGAAGTGAAATCTTCTTTAATGTTCGGTGACTGGGTAAATGAATTAGGCCGATATAAAGTTATGGAAAGAACCGTTTTTAAAGAATTTTCATCAGTGGATCCTTCGAGAAAATGGAGAGAAGGAATAAATAAGACTAGTTTTAATTATTTACTCTTAGATCCACGCATAACCAAAGATTTATGTTCTCGCGAAGAACATATGACGAAGTCCGCAATTTGGACTACATTCCTTTCTGCTATATTTTATGTGGGTAAAGGTACACGTAATAGACCATATTCTCACCTTAAAGATGCGTTCACTGCATGGATTTCGCACCAAAGCTCTGAGAGCATAAAAGTTCAACAGATTCTAAACATTTGGAATGCAGGACATGGAATTATCTGTCTCCATGTTTTTCAAAATGTTATCCCCGTAGAAGCTTACACTCGCGAGGCTGCTATGATCGATGCTCTGGGGCTAAAGAAATTAAAAAATTATAAACGTGGTAATTATTATGGAATAGCAGCGACATGGAGTACAAAAGAAAAATGTAACTTTGGAAGATATCTATTGTATCAAGCAATGCAAATCTTTTTATGCGAAGGAGAGAGACAAATACATCCTGAAAACTTATAAAATATAATTGTACTCCTAAAAGTGGCTAGATCTTAATATGTATATATTACAGAATGACGAATATATGTAAATATTTTATGTGTGCATATAAAGTTTTAGCAGTGCTAATAACAATATTTAAGTAAGTGCAATATTATGAAAATAAATAAAGAATTAAAGTACCACAATTGATTTTTTTAACATTATTTAATGCTTTTACAGTTTAAAATCACTTCAGTAGGATACATTGCTTGGGCTCTTTTATAAGTATGGTCTTTCTGGTTCTATAAATATCTCCCTTTTCCTGAATCTGCTTTTTTTTGGATACCACCTATGTTTAGTAGTATATGTCATTTTAGCAAGCTCATCGATAACTGCTTGTCTTTTTTTATTACGATAGAAAACATCTGCAATCTCTTTTTTGCCAATGCATAAAACAGACTTCGATGAGATTTCCTTTTCTTCTGGTAATGGTAATGAATGTTCATATGGAAATTCTTGTTCTGGATGCCAGCAGACAATCATCTCTTTGTTTAGTGGCACAACAAGGTTATGAGGTAATTTCATAGAACTTGAGTATCGTTTGCAGGATACATTCAGAGTACGTGCAATATATAACACTCTACTCATCTGTTTCAAAATAAAAGCAATTTGTTAACATAGTTTTGTGTAAAAATATCACAAATAAAATTATATCTAAAAACTGAATTCATTAGTAAATTGCGGATGTTAATGCAAATGTAGATTTTTAAGGACTAATCTGTAAAAAATGATGTCAAATAGAAATTGTTTTATCTGTTAAGGACTTTATTCAATTATAAATACTGTGGATACCACATTTAACTTGATTTCATTTTTTATTTCATTGAATATTAACAGTCTTATATCCTATAAATGCAGAAAATCCGCATTGAATTTATGACTACATTTTTAAAATATAACTTTAAAACTTTCGTAAAGGTTTTCATTTTTCTATAGCCATTGAAATGTGACATGCTCATACTTTAAATATATTTCCGCTCGCTGCGAATTATATACAAAATAAGTGTTGAAAACAAATTCCACGCTGTTCCACGCACTAACTTTCTGATAAGTGAAGTATATATCGTATGTATTCAGTTCAGAATGAAGATTGATGAAGATCACCAAAATCACTTATGTACATAGTGTGACTTAGTGAAACCGGTGAAACTGTACTTAAATATATAGAATGTTCATAAGAGTGCTTTAAAACTTTACATCCTTTACTTGCTCAGGTTAGAATCAGTTGGAATGTAATCATAGTTCCTAATATGATGTATATAATATATAATTGTAAACAAAATCACATAACCAAGCAAGAACGTACCGTTATCGTAACGCTGTAAAATCCGCAATGAAGAGATATTTAGATATAATGTGATTGTAAATTCTATTAGGAGCTAAAATATTGCCTGTTCACGTTAAAGATAAACCAAGATAGACCTGATAATAACAAAGAAATGCAACTTTTGTTGACTCGAAAGATGATCTATCATCATATCATATTATTTCGCACTCATAATCAACCTTTTATACATTTTACATGATTATTGTGCTTTTCATTAAACTCATTAAAGAAACCAAAAGAAACAAAGAAATTTAGTAAAACCTGGTAAAACTGAAGAAATAAAGATTTGGTACCTATTTTAGGCGTTTTATTTGAAAAATTGAAAGAGTGGGTTTTTATCGTCTTTATGTTCAGCTTGTAAAGACCAAATATAGATGATGGTACATACATACAAATAAATATGTACATATTTATATTTAATCTTTTATATTTCGAGTGTTGTCATAGTAACTGTTTCAGTTGAAAGACACATATAAAGAGAAATGAAACATCAATATCTTGCAGTCACAATATGAAAAGTGTTTAACATTTATAACAGCCTTATGAAGTACATATATTACATTTCTTACTGACTAAAAAACGAATTTTCAATACAACTGAAAATTTGATACTAAAGGTTAATAAAATGAATTCGTCTGAAGTATCTACATTAAATATGCTGGACCCAGATGACAAATTAATGAAGAAATTTCAAAAAACACTTTATACACATTTGTCAAATGTTAATAACAGACTTTCAGAAGAACTACACGAACTTGTAAGTAAAAAATTTCAGTATACAACATTTGTTTAATGAGAACTGATTTGCTTCTATTCTTGTATTAAAGAAAGTTAGTCTGATTAATCGAGGCATAAACCATTGATATGTCAGGTTATTATAAGTTCTGTATACCTACCTGATTAAAAAACATATTTTGAATTAAATGCTTTAGGGAGATTTACTTTGTATTCCCTAGTATTCAGTTACTTATTTTAATGTGAAATTTTCCATACTAATAATATTCCTACTTTGGTATTTTTAAGGAATTATCAGTAAAACAAGTTGAAAAGGAGTTAGAATCTGAAGGTGTCATTCTTTATCAAACGCAGCAAGAAATTCAGCACCAACACACAACCATAAACCAATATTTAGAAGCATTAACTAAAGTCACATTGTTAAGAGAAAAAAGAAATCATAATATAGAAGGTGCTAAACAAGCATTAAAAGAAAGTCGTTGTAAATTAGAAGAAGAAAAAAACAAAAGGGAAAAACTTTCTCAAGAATTAAAAAATTTGCTGAGTTTCCATGACTACTTATCTAAGTGGGAAAATGATTTGAATGATTTTTTAAAAATATCTAAACAGATCTCCTCACAAGATGCGAATAAAAAGAAGATGCTAATTAATAAGAAACAACAACGAGATTTTATTTTGTATCGATTGAGGGAGGAGATATGGAAAGTTGATGCAGAAATAGCATATTTGGATGAGCAGCTACAAATTAAAGACAAAGAGAAAGAGGATGCTAATAGGATGATAGTAGATGTAAATACAGATTTGGAGACCTTACATGCAGAACGTAAAGATTTACATGACATATGGAAGTCTGTTGTAGCAAATATTTACAAAAGGAATAGTTTTCATGATCAGTTACAATCTCAACAAGAGTAAGTACTGTGATTTGAAAAATACAAATTTAGGTCTAACATTGAGTGAAAAATTTATAATGTTTAAAAGTATAAGTAGTGTAAACTATGTAATTTTTTTACGAATCAGTATCTTAGTAATTGTAAAAATAATTATCCTATGTGATAAAAAAATTATAAGTTGTGTTACTTTTTAAATATGAAAATCATTTTGGATCTTTTATTACATAATGTTTTTATGTACTTCCTTCATTTATTTATAGTTGTGTATATATCAAAAGTGTCCTTTGTGATTTAGTTTCAAATAATCTATTTTATTAGTAGAAATGTAATTGGTAGACAGTATCAACAACAGTTATTATATGTTTCTATAGTTACATCAGTTTAGAAAAAGTATTTACCTCCTAAACCAGAGTATTACTTATTATTACTGAACCACTACCAAGAATTTTTAAGATAACTCTATTAATTTATGAAATAGTGATTTGTAAAAACTTTTATAAACATCGATAGGAATAAGTTTTCTGAAATAAATTTCTTCTTATTAGGTAATCAGTATGTTTTTATTATATAAAGTTGCATAAAAGTATTATATGATTTCATTTTACATTTACTGTAGTGTGTATTCCTTAGAGAAGCTCAAAAGTTGTGCAATACACTCTTACTGGAAATACAAAAAGTTAAAAAAGAAACGGAGAAGGAGATGGAAATTAACGAGCATTTGACGTCTCTATTATTTCGTATAGAGAATGATATTAGAATCATATCGAAAATAGTAACAATGTATAACGAAAAAATTACAGATGTTGAATTGCAGTTACTGAAGCTAACAAAAGTTAATGAGCAAATACACTGTGATTATGATACTATTTTTGCTGTATGTAACATTTCAAAATGGCGAGAGAACTTTGATTTATTCATTATTAAAGTAAAATGCTATGTTTTTAGAAATACCAAAGCTGTTTATACGAAGAGGAGCAAGTAAATAAGAAATTTGAAATTATTTTTGGAAAGAAAGTTAATCTCGAAAGTGCAATATTTAAAAAATTGGAAGAAAAGATTATATGCGACAAAACAGCACAATATGTTAATGAATTGTTATTAAACACAAAAAATGCTGTATTAGAACTTGAAATTTCAGTTGCACGCATAGAGAACTCCTATGGAAATAGTCTTTTGGAATTAGAAAAATTTACAAATCTCCTTGAAAACCAAAAAACAGATTTGCAGGATATATTACAAAAAAATGCAGGAAAAGAAAAACAAATGGATGAATTACAGAAAGAAATAAAAAAATATGAAACTGTAATTGAAAGGAAACAAAGAAAGCTTCTTGTGATAAATAAATGTATTGAGCAGGTTGTCCATTTTATGTTTCATATTTTATTGTATATCTTCAATTATATATAAAATGGTTTATAAAAACATACAATTTTAGATCATGCCAAGTGTTGGTGAAGATTTGAGTCCTCAAGATTTGAGAATTACCAGTTTAGAAAAGAATATTCAAGAACTCCAGCAGAGTATTCAAAAAGCACAGCAATTTTGGATGAGACAACAAGGCTTCATGGTTTCATTGAGTCAACAGAGGGAATCACAATTGCGAGAATTAAGTATTCTTGACAAAGAAATTATGATAATGGGACAAAAAAATTTTAAATTAGAATATGCATTGGAAATGCTTATGAAAGAAGAATCGCATGTAAATAAATCCATATTTTCTCTTCAGCAAAAACTGTTACGTATGAATACAGATTTAGTGACACAAAAAGATCTAAAAGAAGAATTAGAAGATAAAAATTGTATAATAAAGAATGAATGCATTCTATCGTTCCAAGAACTAGAATTAGAGCTTATAAAATTACAAAGCAATTTACGAAATATATGCTCTGAGAAAGTAATATTGAAGGAGGAATTGAAATCTGCACAGCAAGAAAGTTTATCCTGGGAAAAGAAGGTAATCGATATTATAATTATATGATTCTTAAATTTTCATTTACTTATAGTACGATAATGTTTATAATTAAGGTACAACTTGTGCAAGAAACTGTAAAAAAAATAAAAGAAGAACGTACTGCTGGTGGGATAGCATCAATGAAAAGTGAAATACATAAAATGGAGATGAGACTTTCGTACCTAAAAAAAATTCAGGAAAAATTAGTCCATGATATGGAACTCTGTGTGACAAGGCGAGATGTTATATTTAACAAAGTGCTTAGCAAATTTAACAAAAATCCAAAAGAACGACATAACGAAAAAGTCGTAATGCACAAACGCCTCTCTGATAAACGAACGAAAATCAAACATGTTTTAAAAGCAAGTATCATTCTTATCGTTTGATTAATTGAAGTTGACGAAATATATACTTTTGTTTCGAATTAACAGGCAACGAAATTAACTGATGATACGGTAAAACAATTAAAAGGGGAAATGAAAAGCAAGGAAAGTAAGCTAACGAAGTGTAAAGAAGATTTAGAAAATTTGAAAGGAAACATTCCGAGTATAGAAAATGAAATTGGGCAACTAGAAATTTTAAAATATCATGTATGCCTTAAACTGCATCATGTTCCTAACAAAACATTTGAACTGTTTGATTATTTATGTGAATTTTTCAGAACCTGCATACTTTAATTCTTAAACAAAGAAAAGTAAAGCAATTGCATGATGTAAAAAGTGGTACTTATAAAATGATGTATAGAAGTGAACATACAATAGAAGAAAATTTGAAAATGGAACACAGCTATCGTCAACATTTAAAACATGTATTGGAAAAAACTGACCATGATTTTCCCATGTTACAAGCTAGTTTACGGAAAATACTATTAACCCTAAAAATTCTTTAAGAAATTAAGCAGTAAGTACTAAATAATTCGACCGTTAATGTTCACTCCTCTAATTAAGCTGGCTTCCTTCTTTCTTCTTTATAGTTTTTCTACAATCTCTTAGTTTTTTTTTCTATTAATTTTTTTAGTGGAATATCTTTGTTTTCTTTCACACTGATATTAAATCTAAGTATAGGGCGGAGACGTATAATAAATACGAAGCGAAGGAATGTGAAATAGTGACAGAGTAGACATTTCGATTATTTATCTTATCGACTATTGAGTGAATTTAATACATATTTTATTTCATATAACCGACAATTATACCATTTTTTATATTCTCATATCTAACACTTAGAATGAGGGTGTACTCATCTTGATACAGATTAAGGTGTGTATCTATGCTTATCAACTTCTATCGAATTTAATGAAAAATATTTTCAGATAAGAATAAATAATAAATTCTTCAGGGGATTATTATCAAATAGATAAGAAGATTATTGTTTAATTCATATATTTTAATTATTATATTTAGTGTGTATGTACGTAGCTTCCGACATCAAATTTGAATTATCGTATGCATGTGTGAACAAACAATTAAAAAACTATAAGTCGGACAAAATATTCGAATTCAATAACATACAGACAAAATGCGTGGTCAGTAATTTGAGTCAGAAACTAATAGCCGGGTAATAAACAGTCAAGCCGATTAAATTAAGATTAATCTGTATTCAGCCATATCACTGATAAGAAACGAATGCTTGTCAAGGTAGTGATTACGTTAAGTGTTCACAAGTATTGTATTTCTTAAAGCACAAGCGGACTTAAAACGTGAAAAGATTTCTCGAGATCCAAAAAGTTGAAGTGTATTTCCGAGTTACATTCAAATAAATCGGTACGTAATACCAATAACAAAATACAATCGTAAAATAGTACTGTTAAATAATTTATAGAATTAATGAATATTTATTTACTAATACAGAATAAGGTAAAAAAAGTACTGGTAAAGCGTATTTTGTTCGTTATCAGACGCAGTACATGAACGAACTTAATTTTTTTAATTTAAATTAGCTTCAGCAATAACAGTACGTTTAAGTTTAAACAAGCATAAACGTTCTGTATATTATTCAGAGTGTATAATCTTTTTCCAAAACACGGTAATGCCTTAAAGCAAAGCTTACTTTTTCAAAGAAGAATTTCTGTGTACAACTAAATTTAGTATAATTATTTTCAGGTTTTCTATTAAAATAACTTCACCAACATGAATGAAAAAAGCGTTGGAATTTCACAACAAACATTGGTTTCCAATATTGACGATCGTTCTGTGTCAGCAAAGAAGCTACCTCAATATATCGCCAGTCTATCATCAACTTTGGGAGCTTTAGCAGCAGGCATGGTTTTAGGATGGTCCTCTTCAGCTGGTCCTGATGGAATATATTTGCAATCTAATTATGGCGTTCCAATATCTCCGCAAGAGTTTTCATGGATGGGATCACTAACTACACTAGGCGCTGGAGCGATGTGTATTCCTATTGGAATTCTTGCGGATTTAATAGGAAGAAAGAATTCGATGCTTTTAATGGTGGTCCCCTTTACTGTGGGTTGGCTATGTGTAATTTGTGCCAACTCCGTGTTATTATTTTATATCGGTAGATTTATTACTGGTGTTGCTTCTGGTGCCTTTTGTGTAGCTGCACCAATGTACACAACAGAAATATCTGAAAGCTCGATTCGAGGAAGTCTAGGATCTTACTTTCAATTGCTTCTTACAGTAGGCATTTTGCTGTCATATATTTTTGGAAGTTTTGTGGATATGTTTGTACTATCCATTATATCTGCCATGGCCCCACTGGTCTTTTTCGTAATTTTTATGTTCATGCCAGAAACACCACTATACTATTTGATGAAAGGCAACGAGGACGCTGCCAAAAAAAGTTTAACTAAATTACGCGGCGCTCGATATAATGTAGATAGTGAATTACAAAAACAACGAGAAATCATGGAAGAAAATAAAAGAAACAAAGTATCATTTTCAACTATGATCAAATCTAAAGTAACCATAAAAGGTTTTGTAATTGGTTATGGTCTCATGATTTTCCAACAATTTTGCGGCGTGAATGTTGTTATATTCTATACCACTGAGATCTTTGAAAAAGCTGGCAGTGACATAAAACCTCATATCTGCGTTATTATTATTGGTGTAATGCAAACAGTATCTGTTTTTGTAAGTACTTTAGTTGTAGATCGCTTAGGTAGAAGAATATTGCTGTTAGCATCTGCAATATTTCTGTTCTTGTCAACTTTTGCTCTTGGGGTTTACTTTTACCTTCAGGACATTAAAAGTGATGTTGAAAGTTTTACATGGCTACCTCTAGTATGTTTGAGTGTGTTTACTATTATGTTTTCTATGGGCTTTGGCCCTCTTCCATGGATGATGATGGGTGAAATTTTTGCACCAGAAGTAAAAAGTGTGGCTGCAAGTAGCGCTGGTCTTTTAAATTGGTTGATGGCTTTCATTGTAACTAAATTTTTCGCTGATTTAAAACTTTCCCTTGGCATGGGTGGTGTATTTTGGTTGTTTTCTGGACTATCTGCAATTGCAATTTTCTTTGTATACATATTAGTACCTGAAACTAAAGGTAAATCTCTCGACGAAATTCTGAGAGATTTGAGTAATTGATAATTATTGTCACCCATATTTAAAATTTGTTACTCTATGAGACTGACTCTAGGTTTTAAACAGCTGTTTTAAACTATATGTTGCTATTGGTTTATGTACAATCTCATTTGATTACTTAAAAATCTTCCTTGTCAGCATGATATTTCCATGAAAAAACACACAATAATAAAAATTCAACAACGATCTTATAAAATGGTGTTACAGCAATTGGCGATCGAATAAAAATTTTGAATTTAACATATGTTTTTTTGTAAAGCTTTAAGAAACAAGATACCTGTAAAAATTGTAAAAGGGATTTGGTAGTTTGTATTATTTATAGTCAAACAAATATTTCAAATTAAAAAAAATGTTCAATGATAAATATTGTTCCCTGAAGATCACCATATATGTATAATAAATATGGTAATAAAAACAAATAACTACTACCGGAAATACGTATGCATTGTTCAGAGAAACATTTTAGGCATGCAAAGAATAAGTACTTGTATATGATCTATACATATATTTAATTCAAGGTGCGACCGAAATAGTAATACAAGCAGGAAGGAGACAATTTGTGATACAAAAATAAATTAAAAAAGTAGAATCTATTTTTTTTATGTGCCTTAATTTTTATGTAAACATTTTCAAAATACATTGAATAATAGTTATTATATTTGTACACAGTGTCGACACATTGTTCGGGAGCGTTTTTATTTACTTGAAAGTACTAGCTAGAGTACATGTATGAATAATTCAACGGGCACAACTTTGTATACAGTAACTAGAAAAGAACTTTCAGTAATTATATAATAAATAAAAATAAACATTGTTGATAAAATTCTTCATGTTCTCTTGAAGTTAATCATTTATGTAATAATAACTACAATAACTTAACATTTTTTTAAACTGCCACACTGCCATATACATTTAAATATTTGTACCATACAAATGTATTATTCCCTTAATATTTGATAGAAAACATGAATATAAAGTAATACTTATATCAAATTTTTAACAGAATTGTAGAAATTAAACAAGTAATAAAAGTTTCTTTTATAACATACAATTCTCATTAAGAAAATGAAAAAAAAAAATTGAAACGTAACATAATTTAATCACTTTTTTTATCACCACTAGATAAAGAACATTTGGCATGTTCATCGCATAAACGCTCATACTCTTTAGCAAGAGATTCAGCTTGTGACTTTAGAGCTTCTTTATCTTTTTTTTCTTTGACAATTTCGTTTTCCAATTCTCGATTGTCGGATTCTAGTTCCTGAAGTTCTTGTCTCAATTCGGATACAGTTTTATTGTATGCTTCATTTGAATCATTTTGTGCAGATTCTTCAGTTGTCTTTTGAGACAATAAAGTTTTGGCTGTTGTTGTTGCAGATTGTGCTTGTCGCATTGCTGCTTCACTCTGTGCCAATAATGTAGCTTGGGCAGAAATTAAAATCACAAGACGTCGTATAACAAGACTTAAGAACAATGTAAAACCTGATATAAAAAAGTTTCTTTGGGCTCTGAATAATTTCATCTGACCTACACAAAATGATAATGAACTTATAAATTAAAAACATACTATAATTAAATTTGTCATTAAAAGATTACAACATACTACATAATAAAAAACAATATGTACCTTGTATTTCAGCATCTAAATGGGCATGTTCTACTACTAATTGACCAACCATAGAATATTTTCGAATTTCTCTCATAGCATCCAATAAGAATAAAACTAATATAGCAATTAGAATTACAAAAAATATTGAAGCTTTATCTGATAAACTTTGTAGAAACCTAGATTTAAAAATTCTTTGCCATTTGGTTGGTGATAATATTGGAAATACCAACAATAATACAATAAAAACTTCAGCATAAAGAAAGCCTGCAATTAGTGTCCACTGCAAACTCATTGTATTTGGTCTTTTTAATGTACGTAAATATCTGAAAAGAAATATGATGAGAAAGTAATATTAAACTTTTACTTCTTCGATGAACCTACATGAAAATAACTCAAAAAGAATTAACTAAATATTTCATTTGATATAATCTTATAATTTATATGAATCATATAAATATTTTTGTCTTTTACAGTTCTTTGGAAGGATAATAATTGCGAACAAAATTTCATCATATGATGTTTTTAATAAATACCTCTGATACAATATAAAAGCAATGAAAATTGGAATTATATTATTAAAAAAAATGAATACGATGTAGGTTTTCTTGTTCTTTTAACTACTTCCTTAATATGCATACAATTGTGAAAAATATACTTATATATCTGTAATACTGATTTTTAATAAAGCTCTCAATAAATTTGCAATTTCAGTTTCAAGTTCTTATGGACGACATATTTCGACGAAATTTGTTTGATAAATATTAAATTTTACACTAAATGTACCCAAATAAATTTCAAATAAATTCAAATCGAAAATTACACAAATATGTTAAAAATAATACTGAATATCAAAAATACAATACCGGTAATAGCACAAGTCGCAGATAATGAATAAGATCAAAGTACGGGAAACGTTGAAAATTTTATAAATAACACCTCATTCGATGACGTCGCTCAGATTTAATATATATATATATATAGGTACCCTCCAGGACCCTCACGAGTAAACTATGCTTCTGCTAGGGAAACAAGCAGCATAGGGGAAGGCATACATGCATTTTAACCACATATATTTCAGTTATTCGCCACATCTAGACACACCTCAAATTGCACGTTTGACTTATTCTCCATTCAGGATAGCAACAGACCTCGTCAAAACAAAACACGTGATTTTTGCAGGGACGTGTTAATGATAGAGTGATAGAGTGTTTGCTGTCTGCAGCTGATCTACTCATTTTGTATTTAATTATGTAGTTATTTACTTAATAAAAAGAAAAAAATGTAGTAAAGTAGTGACTTATTTGAAGGTATAGATATATTTATAGTAGCATTTCATTTAGAAGAATAAAGAACAGTTATCACGCAAGCGTCATTCCACGTGAAATCGGACACTTTTGGAACTCGGATTTTGTTGTAACTTGGATATGTTATTGATTAACAGCTGTAAAATCAACAATTTTTGAAATTTTCAAAAATCCTTTGAGATACGTTTATATATCATTAAGAACTATTACATATGTCAGTTTCAACAAAATCCGAAATGTTACTCCAAAAAGGTAGTACCACAAGGGTCCGTGCTCAAACTTTATTGTGTAAGCGAAGCTGAACGAAGCGCTTCTGCATAAAAGAAAATGAACCAATGGAAGATCGACCACGTGATAAATTCAGTCGGTTTTAATGTTTTGACGGAAATTATCGCTGAAGTGAATTCATAATAGCAGGAGATATGCAATATGGCGCAGCAGAATGCATTGTCATGGTCATTATTAAACTGCGAATCATGCGAATGTTTATGCAAATTCATAAGTACTTCCGTAAAGTCAGTATTGGAAATTGAAATTAAGTAGAAATTCATTACTTCAGTGAATGACTTTACTAGGTATAAATGAAAATAAAATTTCTGTTAAACTTCATTAATACAGTAGCATACTTCCCAGATAGCACATGACGTCTTGAAGACGCCCATTTTACGGCTATTTTAGGTCTAAGGCGCCTTTAAGCCGTCTTCTAGGCGTTATGTGCTATCTGAGAATTGGTGTGCAAGTATGAAATATATAAAGAATTGATATGTACTGTAAACTATAATATTAGTACATGAAATACGACCTGATTTTATTTGAACAATTCAAATATTGCGGGTGTCTGACATGAATACATCCAAGGCAAAACTGCAGGCGGCACACACACAAATATATACACATATGAGAAGTGTTACAATTCTGTGACTACATTCATTGTACATATTGACTCACCTTTTCTTATTAAATATTATGATATTAGGATATTTCGAACGTAACATTGATACAACATGCTACTATTTAAAATATAACTGAAATGTTCCTTAATATGTGAAAGCAGAACTGTCAAGGTAATATTTTGAAATAAAAATATTACAATTTTATATTTTAGAGTTCTATATGGTGTCATAACACTTTGGATGAGTAAAAATAGTTTAAACAATAAAAAGGAGGAGTTTAGCAATGCAGCATAACTCAGATGTATTTGTAACGACAAAATTTGTGCGTGTAATAAATTAGAATTTTTTATTCATTAAAATCGAATATTTAAAAAAAAGATGTAAAGAAATTTACGGATTTGCTTAATTTTTTGAATTTATAAGAATCTAAGAAATATATGAAAATAATTTGAATCACTGTTGAAAAATTATATCAATATATAAGCAAGGTTATGTAGGTTCGTGGCAAATATAACAGTAAAATATATATTCATAAGCTTATTAAAATCAAATTAGTAGAAATTTCAGTTTTCCAGTCAATAAATACAACCAAATGTAACTGACAAAATTTGAATGTACTTAGATCATTTACAAAAATATACTTAAATACCACTTGTTCTGTGTCAGCTTTATGTGGTTTTTCAGACAAACTGTTCTATTTATATTTAATTGGTTCGTACTTCTGAGACAAGTTCAAAACAAACATTTTGGGTCCCTTAAGAAAATATAAAAACTATTAAAATGGGTGCTGACCACAGTAGACGTGTACTTACCATTGATAATGAGGAAGATATAAATGTTATTAAAGTGTCAAAGTCAGTTGTACAACGATTGACTCAAAAAACAAGTGATACTGAATCAGGAAAAGAAGTAAGATCATCTACTTTAACAGAATCAGTTGTTAAAAAAGATGTACTTCCATTACCATCTCAAACTGGAGATATTCCAGTGCCTTCTGGATATCCTGTATATTATTATCCACAATTAACATTAACTGCCCTTGAAATACAGCAACAGAAAGAGCAAGAACTTCTTACTCAAGATCAATATTGGCAGAAACGTTTAGAAAATTTAGAGAAAAATCATTTAAAAATTAATCGAATAATAGACGAGGAATATAAAAAAGCTGTGGATGAATTATATGTAAACAGTGGTACGTATAAATTAAACAATAACAGTGATATCTTTCATATGCATTTCACTTATGTTTTATATTATGTTACAATGTATAAAGTAAAACACTTATAAAATAAACAAATGTAAATCTAAACAGTTGAACATATTATATATTACATCAGTTGCAAAATGTGATATAAACGATTTATAATTAAGTTTTTATTTTTTGCAGATAAAAAGCAAGTGAATATCCATGACACTGTACAACCATGTCTCGAGACCACAGATAAAGTACTCAAATGTTATCAGGATCATCCAAAGGAAATTCTGAAGTGTTCTAATTTAGTTGAAGAGTTTTCTAATTGTGTGGATCAACGGCGTGCAAGACTGATTGCAGCACGTTGTTAATATTTTGTAATACTGCACATAGTAATTCTTTCACTTCATAGTAACTCAAGCTCCTGTGAAATTTAATGTTGTTTAATACAAAAATTTTTAGTCATTAATAATAAATTAAATAATATATAAGAAGGCTTTGAATATTTATTATATTTACATTACTAATAATAAGCAACAATAATTTGTCTTCTGATTTCAGCCAAAGTCTTTCCATTGAATCTATAACAATAACAACAGTATGTAGACAAGTTCCTCTGTATTCGTGCTAACATATAGTATTTACAGAATAAATCCCTATTAGATTCCACATTTTAATGTCTACCAAATGTGTATTTTCATTTCTTATATATTATTAGCTTCTATATTTTCCGAAAATTTATTTAAAGTAAATAATAAATTTCTATGAACACAATTGTTTTGAATTTTTGTTTTTACATTCATTATTTCTATACAACTATTTAGTTATTTATTGTTTAAAAAGGAAATTTATATAAACTCTATCTGTTTATAACAAACATTTACTTACATGCACTCTACTCTTAAAAATATTGTATATTTACGTTTAAAAAATTCATACATATCAGCATTTCATTTCATTTCACATAAATTTAATTATAAATCGATGCATACACAAATAAATTACAATTCACCTGTTGGTATTTTTATGTGGGCATATGCTTTTTTATTAAATGTTTTACTTCATCAAAAACCAGTAAAAAATATTCTTCTGTTACATTTTTTAAAATATTTGCTACATATTCTTCCGATAAATTTTCGTACATTTCCTCAGCTGTAAAATTGATAAAATATCATGGCTATTATTCCGTATGTACAAATTATAAAATGTACTTTTCATTAATCGTTTCAATTTCAAAATGCGTAATCACGCATGTATGTTTCATGTACGAAAAAAATTAGTGACTGCTGGATACTATTGCAAAAACATAAATAATAACTAGGAGTCTAGATGTAGATACCTTAAAGTTCTAAGCTTTTCTCATTTATTGGCAATGATATCTTATGATATGAGAAAGTGAAATTGCAGTAACTGTTGAAATTTTTCGCACGTAAAACCTAGTATCGCTTTGTAATATAATATATTAAAAATTTGATTACATTTTATTGATAAGTGTCCAAAAAATTCACAAACTGCTGGAATAAAAACATTAGTATCCTTTATGCCTACACTGGATTTTCTAGCCCAAATGTAGATTCTCAAGTCTTCGTGTTGTTTTCCAGAATCAGTCATTGCCCTTGTAATGTAAATATTGTGGGCAATCTCTGTTGTTTGTAAATAATCTATTATTAAAAATGCCCAATTTACAAGTTCATCTATATTTTTTACATTTGACTGTTTTATACAAAATCCATTTGCAGGATAATTTCTCAAAATCTGTATAGGCCCCATGTATTCCTCAAGATCCTGAAAAGTAATAATATTGACATTAAAATAATACATCTAATTAATAGTGTATAGGATATAATAATTTATGTTGAGGAATAGTAATATAAAGTAGCAAGAGAAAGAAATTTATTTACAATGTATTCTAATAACATCCTATGATTTAAATAATATAAATGCCAATGAAGGTGGTTCACAGATGAATAAGCACAAAGACTATTGAATGCCACTCGGATATATCTAAAAACACATTATTATTATCTTCGAAGATTTTGTTTCAATTACTTATTTATCATGTTTACATTTATACAAATTTCATATTAAAAAAGATTTATATTACATTTACGTAATGTACTTACGAGTCATGACTTAATAAAAATATATCAAGAGCTTTATATAGACTGTATTTTGTTACAACTTGAGGTAACTGTTTACATCTCTCTGGTATCAACAAAGAGTGACAATATTCTATTGGACTAACATTAATTGCAATTATATCATCTTCATTTAAATCTATTACTTTTTCTTCTGGAGGGAGATGTGTGAAATTAAAACATTTCTCATCAAAAGGCTGTGTCAGTGATATGATACTTTGAGGAAATCTTCTTTTATGACCACGATCAGTGTTCAGCTAAAATCAGTAACTAATTTAACAATTAAACTTTCTATAAAAATTGATTATTTTTCACAACACATTTACAATAGAGAAAACGAATTTAAAAAAACAATGTGCATAATTTAAAAATTAATGTTATGTTCACATGCGTTTAAACTATGCTTTCAAAGGTATCCATTGTATTAACTTACAAAGAAGGAATAAACTTTTTAAGCACATTGTATACAACTTTGTTAACATTGTTACTTTAATTATGTTTGTATGTGAAAACATTTTGTCGGAACTTGGTATATTACCTGAGCTAGAAACTGATATTTTCCTGTCAAGAATTTTGAATTCTTAATATTCAGTATGTAACGAAATACTCCTTTTTTTTTAGCATCTTCCCATTTTTCTTTTAAGGTACGGTCAAAATTAAATTCATCACTTTTTTCTATAGATTGAGTGTTATCAGTAAGTGTTCTAGCGAGACAAACTGAAGGACGTATATTGGAATCACAGAACATATTTTTTAAAATAAAAACAATGATTTTTTATGTGTATTTTTTTTATTTTAGTTGTTTTATTTAATGGAGCAAACTTAATAGAATGTTTGAATTTTTTTTATTGTTATTTACAGAGATTTTAATTTACAGAAAAGTACATTGCATGTTAGGTCTATTCTTATATCTCGTCTGTAATGGAAGCTCGTTTATTGCACTGTTTGTGATTATAGAGGGCTAAATTTCCCGGTATACTACATTAAGCGAGCTCTAATTACGTAGCTTACGTATTCGACGTGGATATACACAGGGTGGGCTGGATATACATACTGTTCAATTGTTCGTTATTAGTTGTCTAAACAGACAAACTGATAACAATGTCTACGTTAGTCATAACCTCTCTGGGCATAAGAATGATAAATATCTTTAAGGTGGTTAATCATAGAATTGAAAAGCTGCAAAAAGCTAAAAATTGATATGTAGTTTATAAATGAGATGAGTACCTATTTAAAAAAATGTGTCTAGAGTGTGATAATACATAACTTATTAAAATAGTACAAAGTAAAACTAAACCACTAATAGAGTTTCAAATGATTATTCCTATAAATATTACATACCCATATGAAATAATTAAAAAATTCAATCTGTATAGAATTGTACAACTTTATATAGGAATGCTAAAAAGGAGTGCATATTCTCTGAAGGAGAATATGTTTCAGAGAGTCGATGCTCTCAGAAGGAGAGCACCGATTCTCTCTGATGCTAAGTGGAGAACAACGGCAGTTAAAATAATAACTACTCGGTATACATTACAATTATTTTACAATGGGTTTGCAGCCATTAGCTCGGCATTATCCTGGATTTACAGAAATGCAAATCGAGGATAACACCGATTACCAGGTCTCACCACGTGGAGGTTGCTGCAAGTGGAGACCCAAGGAAGATAGATGGAAACACAAGTTCCATCTATCCACCTTTCACAATAATCTTATGTACAACCAACTTAGATATCTAAATACGCTTATACTATAAATATCGAAATCCCTCGGAGGATGGCTTCTTTCTTGAGTTTATTGAATTAAAATAAATCAAAATAAAGCACAATTAATTAGAATAAATTAAAACAAAACATAGTTAATTAAAACAAATCATAATGAAACTCAAGTAATTAAAATAAAACACAGTTAATTAAAATAAGTTAAAATAAAGCACAAGTAATTAAAATAAATTAATATAAAACACATATAATTAAAATAAATCAAAATAAAACACAATTAATTAAAATAAATCAAAAGAAATACATATAATTAAAATAAATAAAAGAAAACCAAATTAATTAAAATAAATCAAAATAAACCACATATAATTAAAATTAGCTAGGAAAATAAGGATGTGCAATTGAATTCGTTGAGTTCGGATAAGAGAGGTTGCCCTGTAAAACCACCAGAAAAAAAAACTAACCTTTGAGTCGAGTTCGGATAATAGAGAGGACCCCTTGAACCCCCCTTGACCAGTGACCACCAGTGGTCAGCAATCGTGGGAAGACCTCTACGAGGTCCGCGGACGTGAGTAAACTAAGGATTTTTCATTGCGCGCTCGTATTTATGGGCTCGCAGCGACCGCGAACTTGCGCGCACTTGTGCGCGGACAGGTGCGCAAACATTGAGTGCACTGGAAATTCGAGCGCGCCAAAAATTATTTCTCGATTAATTTATTATATCTAATCAGGTAATTGTTACAACAATTACCTCTCTGAGGAATATTGTTAAACATTCTGTCAGCTGTCTTATAATGCAAATTGTTATTGTTTATAACAAATATAAATCGAAATATACAGAAACATTCAAGATATGAACCGTGTAATGAACTTTTACATGTAATAAATTTTACTTTATTGCAAACTATTAAACAATGACTATGTCTTAATGTTTATGACGATTGTTAACTAAATATTATTTAATGAAAATGTGCCTTGATAGCGTTTTAAACAAGGAATTCATAAAAATTTGTAGAACAGTAGGAATTCTTTGATCGACGTTTGATTGATATTGTCCTTGACAATAATTGTTACAATTATTCAACAATAAGTTTAATATTATAATATTATAATGTTTATAACAATCACATCTTCGGTGGGAGATGTTCAACATTATATCATCCCTTTTACAATGCGAATTGTTAAAAAAAATCTAAACAATCAATGCAGAAACATAATGTAATATTTGATATATATGTGTATGATGACAGACAATGTAAAAGAGCGTATTTTTCATTGTTTTTCTTTTGTGCACTTTTTTATTGCGCAGTCTGGTGATCCGCATATCTATTAACACGATGACAGTCAAAGTGAAAAAGGCTGTACGTAGCCAGACATACTTTATTTCTTTCTTAAGTCATGAATCATCGAAAACATGTACGTTTAATTAATTGAGGATGTTGGTCTTGTTTTCAATTATACCGTGATATTAAATTTACGCAATAATTTTGTAACGGTATTTAAATAATTCAGTCTCTTTGCAATGTACGTGTTACCTATATTTGGGTGAAGTGGCAGTCAAGTGTTAATTCCGCCATTACGACTCTAGCATTGTAATATTGTTCCAGATCGCTAAAAGGATCTCGTTCACATTTATATACAATCTTTTACAGCGATCCTTCGATTATTCAGAACGACTGTTAGATGATGTTTGCATGTCGTGAGCTGTCAAAAAATCACTATAAGGATCCTCCTTCTGACGCCGAGTTAATATTAATACATATTTTGATTCAACACTATTTATTACAAAGTCAGCATCTAAATTGAATTGTAGAAATACTGTTACAAAGAAAGTGAATTATGATTTTAAATAAAAAAGCCTTTATAAATTTATTTCAGACGCATGTAAATACTCGTGCTTGCAACAAGTAAAAACGGCGAATTATGAACAGACACATTAGCCGAGTTCTATTCAATAGTATGTGTAATCGAGTTTGATTGTTCATCGAAAACAAAAGTCTGATCTGCAACAATTTAATAACGAACCATTTTACATACAAAGTTCTGCAGATCGTAATCCTTAGTAGGGGTAAGTAGATGATGTATTAGGGGATGTAACGGCTGAGTTTGCTTCATCGTGGATTTATGAATAATTAATTATTATAAACATTAATCATTGCAATGGACACCTGATCAAACCGTTAGGAGACATCTCGGCGGAAGAGTTCAACAATTATAAACTATTTTAAACTAAGTGGTTCTCGATCATGGTGTCGTACTTATTCCTGAAAGTAGCAAGCCACTAAATGTTCAGATCATAAATTCAACTACTACAGTCATCTATTTCCCATTACATTTCTTCTAACAATGGCAACAAAAATCTTTAAAAATACGTGCCTCATAAAAGTGTTGACGCATGTCTCTGATGACTAATCTTAATTATGGTCTTAGGAATTTATATTCAGATGTTTCAATATATCATTCGTCCTTTGTAAATTTAGCTTAGCTTGCTCTGCTATTTTCCCTTCAGGAAGGACTTTCGGTTCATATCTTAACAATTGATAGGACTCAATTAAACACTTCTTTGATTCCTATTGGAGAAACAGAGAAATAGAAAGTTTTATTAGAATGTTAATAAATGAATAATGAAATTTTTTATCTACCTACCTTAGATCACTTTTAGTTTTCAGAACTGAAAATGTCATATTTTAGAAGACAGTGATTTTTATGTACCTACAGTACTGAAGGTACAAGATTTGACGATTTAATCAATAATGGAAAACTAAAAAAGGTTGCACAAACGTATGTATAATCTGAGCTGGCTTGCAAATTTTAGCGAGTTCTATGTTCTAGGAATTCATTTAATACACTGACGTAATGTACGCAATTCCCGAAAATTTTTAATATATAACGAAAGTTTCTATAAAACAAAATTCATGGGTATTAGAAAACTAGATTTAATTGAATATACAGTGTAGTAATCTTAGTTTAATTGTTTTTTTGACGTAGTATACACCCTTGAAGTTTCATGCATTTATGCAAAAACCCTGTAGAATGTACATACGTGAACATTTATTTTGAAAGTTATACTTCTCTGTGATATAATAAAAAATTTACCTTCAATAGTACTAAAGTGTCTTCGTGTGCGTTTCTTCTACTAAAATCTGCAAGGGCTGCGTGTATCTCGAAAAGAATTAACCCTCGGATTCGATTTTCAGCTAAAAAAAGGTAATATATAAATTAAAGTACTATATTTCCTCGAAAATCTTGAATTTCTAATTCCCACATTTCTAGGTATCGCTTAACGAGTTACCCATTAAATAACTATGTTTGGCGTCGAAAACTTTAAGAAAGGAGTTAATAGGACGATAGACGATAACAAACCGTGTATACTTTTTTGCAATTTGAGTTTACAAGATTTTGACATGAGAACGAAAAAAAGGGAAATACGTAATTCGAGCGAAGATTCCGATCACGAGCGGCTAAAACGGCGTCTATTTAATTCACTTCTCATTTAATGTTACTCGTGATTAGTCACTAACAACTTAATAGAAGATAAAGTCTTCATCAAATTATTGAGATTTAAACAAATTTTACAATGTGCCTAGTTACCAGGTGCGAGCATTTTGAGTACAAGATCGAGCTTTTTGCACAGTTCAATTTTCTCGACAAGAAGATCTTCACTGATCGATGGCAATCCTCCGTTTTGTTGGCCGATTAATTGAGCCAAGGCGACAATTATATCGATGTTATAAAAATGATTTGGATGAAGAACATTTTTGTGACGACCTAAAAATTCTTTACATGAAACAATATCGTTTTTCTTCATCTTCGAGAGATCTATGCCGATCTTCTCTAAAATTTGTTCAACCTCTTCATACGGTATCTTTAATTCGCATGTTTTGCATATATAGGACTTCTGTTCTTCAAGAAATGTTTTCGGTAGCATATGACCGAAGCAATTCCTACAAATAAATCGAAAATTATAAAGGAAATTCCTATAAATCACGTGTTATTTTACACGATTTATCTTCATCGGTTTTACATATTATAAAGGGTGATTTATAAGCGCCAATGAATTTGTACAACGAATTAAATCCAAAATATAGAATGTACACGTTATAATTTGATAAAAAAAAAAATGGTATAAAAGTTGTTACAGTATTTGACATGTCGTATAAGAATAGTTAACGATGTAGAGATGCCCAATTCAAGTCCACTATTGCGGTACAGATGACATAACAGACCATTTGTCGGTAGTAAAGAATGTATTCAATGGATTATACATTCATTTCATTTGTGCTGTATTTAACGAAATGCACGAAAACATCTAACAAGATACATAATTTTTTATTGTTAATTCAAGTCCCGTTACTAGATTGTACCAATTGAAAATTCGAGTCTACCAATGGATTTCTGTTAAATTTGCACGAGAATGGATGAAAATTAAATAGGTTGACTTTGAGCGGAGCCATATATTTTTTTTACACGCAATTAAGTTAATCTAACTTATCTGGTAGCATAGGCGGGGCCAGGGGAGGGGGGGGAGCATAGCTACCCCTTAATGCGAAAAGAAAAGATTTTTGCAGAAGAAACACAGAAAATTCGAGTCTAGAAACCAATTTGAGATGGGTTACTTACATGGGCCAGGGGGGAGCAGGGGGCGCACATGCACCCCCCCCTCTCCCACAAGGAAAAAGTGGCTTTTACCCTACCTTAGAAGAAAAAAAAAATGGATTTTGCCCTTCCCCTTTTTGAAGGAAAAATATTAAATCCCTCCCCCCGACTAATAACCTGGCTACGCACATGCCTGGTAAGTTCATTTCTCGTTCCTTTGTAGTATAAGACTTATTCTATTTATGGCGTAAGTAGTCGAGTAATTTTTGCGCTTTCACTCGCTCTTATTGTCGCTCTCATAGGTCGGATCTAGCGCCAGACGTTATTTAAATAGCTATCACTGTCTCCCTAAGTATTTATACCTGACAGTACAGATATATTGAGGTAGTGAAGCTTACTAGATTCAGTAAAGTTTACTAGGTAAAGGAGAATGGTCAGTTTATATGAACAGTTTGGCCTAAATTTTGTTTAACCCCTTGCCCTATAACATCGTGTTGACGATTTAAAAATCGATTCAACAAAGAAGAATATTATTCGGTTTTCTTGGAGTCGAAATGAAATGCCACGTTGCTGGCATTAATATTTAACTTTTACAGTAAAAATACAGTTACGATAAGTACAGAATTACTTTTGTTTCTGGGAAACTATCGACAAAAATGTAATCCTGGCGTCTGCAGACGTCAAGAAAATCGTTAGGCAAGGGGTTAAGTTAGTTTATTGCGATTTAATCAGTTATGCAAAATTATTTATTCTTAACTACAGCGAGAAGAAAAGACTTCTGCGATTTAAATGTACAGAATGTCAACTTTATGTCGTTATTTTTTAGTAATATTTTATGTTTAATTTCTTGTTATTAAGCTTTAAACATTCAAAGCATTTATGAATCACCCTATATATTCTTAGAGATCATCGGCAATGTCGTAACACGAATATGTGCTGTACTATGTATTATACAACTTAAAATATCTTACATTTTAGTGCATTTTATAGCGTTAAACATTGTGCCGAACTCTGTAGGATCTTTGCATCTATCGCAAATACAATCAAAAAATTTTGTTTGAGAGAGGTGGTGCCTTCGATTTACAGTACCCCATAACGCATCCGTATAGCAGATGGAAATATGATCTCCTAAAATAATAATTTGAGTTCACAAGATAGCACTTTCAATAGAATTTTATGCAACTTAGAATGCTGCAAATTTCGAAGAAATAATTTTAATTATATTACACAAACAATGATATTAAAGGCATACGTATGTTTTTATGTATATTTCTTAAACTTCAGTTAATATTTATATTTACGTGAAATATGTTATCGTCAATGTATTTTAAAAATTATTTGAAGGCAGATTGATTTGAACGCTTTTGAAGAAAGAATTTATAGGTGAATTAGCTGTTGAATTTTTTGCTGTGCATCGTCAGATTGATTATTCAATGTAATTTTAGGCGTTTTAGGAAAGACAAACGCAATGCATTACTTAAATAATCAGAAAATTTTTGTTAATGGTTATTATTTTTTTTCTGAGTGGAAAAGGGTATCTTCTAGTAGATGGATTGCTTTTATAAGAAATTTATAGAAAATATAAAACACTGTTTTCTGATTATGTTCTGACTATTTCTGAATCTCTGACACCTGCTATCGTACACCCTGTATAGTGGTTATGCTACACCTACTTTTTTCAAGAAATCTCGGTAAAAACTAAGTTATTTCATTGTCTTCGATTTATTCATAAGCTACGAGTCATTATTTAAAAAACTTATGCGAGTCTAGGCACTTCTACTCAGCAGGTTAATAGTGGCGAAGAAGGTGTACGAGTGTAATTCTCACTTCTCATTCGCGACAACGTTCTAAAAGGATAACATTAAGATAACGCACTTTGGTTTTGAAAAACAAATATACAGGGTGTTCCACTTAAAACAGGCACCCTAAATATCTCCTCTATCTGTGATCATACGAGAAATATTTTTTACCTAATTTAAATGGTTTCAAGAGATGAATCGGATGGAAAAAATTGTGTTATAAGTGTCATTTTTTAATGGCCTAGATCTATTTATTCAGGAGATCCATTGTTTGACATAGTACAATTTTTTATGGAATAACTATATGTATTCTATCAAGTATACAATCACGAATATGTTTACAGTTGGTTGACACGTGCATGTTACTTTGGCATTGTATTGGGTACACACAATGAAAAACAGATAAAAGCGTGTGTTATTTGATCTCATCTTCCAGTTACAGGCAGTTGGGAATTTTAATCATTCTTCTGAATAACGATTGTTTACGTTCTTTAAATTCTGATTCGAAAATGTATGGTTCTTCTATGTGTATAGACTAAACTTTTAAGAACGTTCAAGTACTGCCATTTTTTAGCCATCACTCACCTTTTGCAATAGGCGTCGCGGCATGAATAATCAGTCCACCTGCGTCAGTGAAGCTTTTCGAACAATTCGCTTTACAGGAGTGTTCGATCAAGGACGCCGATTCGTAAATTGCAATGTACGGTGGTTCTGTGATGGGAACTTCGTGTCCATTAACCTGAAATCCAGCGATGACTTAAAATTACTATAGGTCAACTTGTCGAAGAACTACTTCCTAACCGATTTCGATGATTTTTGAATATGTTGTAGAAATCAATATTCTGAATAACTTTCTCCTTTCACAAAAATGTCGGTCGGCCCTAGTTTCCTTTTAGTAGAAAAAGTTGTTCAGAATCTTGATTTCTATAACATATTCAAAAATCATCGAAATTGGTAAGGAAGTTGTTCTTCGACAAGTTCACCTTATTATAGTCTTTCAGAACTTTCTATGGAGTAAAACGAAGACTGTTATTTGTAAAAAAATAATTCATTAATACAATGATAAATGAGCTATTGATTGAATATAAGAAAACATGTTTTGGAATTCTTGTTGTGTTAGTATTCTTAAAAACACTAAATTCGTGTACCGATTTCCCTTTCTTAAACGTTTCGATTTTTACATTTAAACGAATCACTTAAGTCGTTATTAACTATCTAACATTCGTACCTGTAGAATACCAACAATTCTTGTAATTTCCTCGTCCGATATGTCGTCCGTTTTGAAAAACCTTCTGATGAAACGCAGGATGTTCAATGACTCTTCGAAGGTGAAACTTTTCGTCTCGTTAATTCGGTCGGTGTGACTCTCGAGTAGCAACAATTTTTTATAAGTTTCTGGACGAACATTTTTCATATGTAATGTTTTTATAACATTTATGCACTGATAACTTGGATGTGGGAAGCCGAACGCTGTGATTGATACCTGCAATGTTGAAGAATTGAAAACTGTGCGCGAACATAAGAGAGAAACATAATCCATTAATAGCTGCTTCTTAAAAACTAATTAATAGACTGGGTTATTTGAAAATATGTCCATATAGAGGACAAATAGGCCTGTATCCTCATTTTCTTTTTAAAATTTGTAAATAGTGCTCCGCTATTATATCATTGCATTTCTTTGAAACTGCCAAATAAATGTTTAAAAAATATTGTTTTTTAATTGAAATAAGTTTCATTAGATACTCTTATGTCTCCACTGTAATGACCCACAAAGCTGATTCCGATCAGTTTATTAGTTCAACAGTTTATGATTTAGTGCAAAAACGTTGACACTATATTTCAAACAGCTGCAAATCAATAATTTAACAAATTTCCAAAAATCCTTCGAGATAGGTGTATATATTCACTAAAGACTACAACATATCCAAAGTGTCAACTAAATCCGAAATGTTATTCCAAAAAGTGTCCGATTTCACGTGGAATGACGCAATACATAGTGATTAATGGTATACAGGAATGCAAGTATATGATAAATTAATTTTTCAATCGTAGTAATCACCTTAGTATCCTTTCGAGAAATAGTGAAATCGCATTCCAATCCATGATTCTTACAATTCCGACAAAGCGGCCATCCACATTTTGGACAGGGCACAGCGATATCTTTATCCAAGGCTGTGAAACATCCAAGGCAGACGGGTACGGAATTGTGCATGGGACCAGCGAGCAGAGATTGATCATCTTTCAGAATAATTTCTCCTACCTTGATATTCCTCGTGGCCACATAATGACGGCCCAAAATTGAATCTTCCGCCAACTTCGAAAGAATTTCGTAAATGATTCGCGTATACTTTTCTAAGAATATTTAGAAAGTCAAATCGCGAGGGTGGGTACAGTGGACTCTAACTATATTGCCACTAAGCATATTGCCGCGCGAGGCACTTCCCCTTCACACGTGCTTTCGAGTACACAAATTCGCTCTTCCACCACTAGGTGGTTATGACGATAGAACTTAGCATGGAGGGGGCTCTGAACTCATTGCCATTTTACTCCCCTACAGCCCCGAGCATGGCAATATACTCAGAGTTCACTGTATGTAATGCTTCCGAATTTGTGTTTGGGCGGATAAATTCCATAAATATCACCCAGTGGATATTACAGATCAAGTAGGTATTTCCAGTTTGATATTATTTTATCGGAGGTGTATTTAACGCTTGCAAGGAAGATCTTCTAAAAGTTATAGAAGTTTAATTTATTTAAGTTTAAAAATTATAGTGCAACTAGTTCGAATAATTGATGTTATAGCAATTGTTCAGTGGAAATAAATGCTGAAAAATGACCATTATTTTTGCATATACCTAATATTTTAAATGGACAGAGTTGATGGGACACGCTGTATATTGATTATGCGGTACCATTAACGAAACGAATCATTATTAAAACTGAATCTAACCTTATACGGTGTGCAGACTTCTGTATGCTTTTTCCAATCCTTCTTTTGATGCTCTTTGCTGCAGTAATACACAGTTTCACAAGCACTACATCTATTAGTCGCTGTCTTTCCACAAACAGCACAAACAGTTTGAGATTCCATTGATCAAGTTTCCAAAAATCTTTTGTTCAGGAAAAGGTAAATTAATTAAAAATTAAGACATTCAAAGTAGTATTTAGAAACAGGGCTCAGTTAATTGTTGGGCCAAGTTAAACATTCTGATTCGTTGAATATGTACAATTAAAAGAAAATAGAGATATTTCTAGTTTCTTAATAAGCTACTTTCATAATAATTTCATATGAATTCGTAATTAGGAGATAATACAATTGATGGAAAACAAATATGTACTATCGTAAAACGTCCTGTATTTATTACAAGTAGAAGTAGTGAGCAATAGACAGACATGTTAGACACTCGTAATCAAAATCATACGTACTTTGAGAATTTTTAAATTTAATTATCATGAAAACAAAGTGCTTGTTTTACTGTTAAATTATTATTATTAAATTACTTCACATTGTACAGTATACTGTTTTTCTTCCATTAAATCACTGTATAATTTGGTCTATTTCAAATACTTATAAACATATACATATATCTTTTAAAACAGGACGCATTTCTTGAAGTTTATACTAATATTTTAAATATTTTATACTTATCTGCAGAGAATACGTTGAATGCAGGTTGGGCACCGTAAGTAAAAAATGATCAAGTTTGTTAATGTAACGACTTCATACAAACATGTAATTATTTCCTATGGATCACAATACGATGCATTTAATGCACACTATAGTTTAAGCGAAGTATTGTTGTACCCGATAATTGAGATATCAATGTAAGTAATTGTTTTTAGACAAGTAAACAACCGAATGACCGACACTTTTGGTAACTGTTGTTCAGCAAATTGCACCAATGATCGCCTGTTTTCAAAGAGAAATGAGCAGTAACTAAGCGTGTACCGGTTTGCGCCGGAGGAAGTTGAAATCTTGAATAGGGTTTATTTATAGACAAGAACGAATACTTGCTAATACATACGTACTCATGTACCTAATGACGTATATTTAACATCCGTGTTAAGGCATTAAAATTACATATTCGCAATTTTCGTTAATAGTTCTTTTACAATAGTTTTACACAATTTAAACTGATATTTATAATCATCAGTGATATGTACATAGATCAGTTTCTATTTTTATATCAGGTAGTAATAAACGAATAAACTGTTATTTCATACTAATTAATTAATAAGTGTCATATCGAAGTTCTTTTAAAATATAAAAGCAATGACATGAGTAAAGCTGTTGTGCTTCGCGGATAAAAGCTACGAAAATTGTAAAGGTACGGATAATTTGCAATTAAACGTACATTCTCTAGCTGCCGTGTAGTTGTTGTAAATCTCATCTTTTGTAAGTCTTCCTACATTTCAATAATTTAAATTTATTAACCAAGTCAATAATTTTCATTTTATCGACGTTTTTACTTTCGCACGTGACATTTTATTTAAATTAGGTAAGTCATTTTTTTTTTATTAAAACTGGTACCCTTTATTGTGGATTTTCCAGTATTAACGTAAGAATTTTTACGTCAAATAACGCAAGAATTTTTATTATATTCGTTTAGTTCCTTTGATCAACACTATTCTTTGCTTGACATACCTAGTAAATAGGAATTAAATATTGTTATTTTTAGAACGTTAAGCGCTACTGAAAATGAAATTTAACGGAGGAATAGGATGGTTTGCAGAAAGAACTTCGTCGAAACCTTTAATTCCAATAGTTTATTGACCACACAGCCTTAAAATCTGACCGTACACAGCATGCCCTCGCGCGCCGTGTCCACACGCGTACAAGATTCATCGGAATGCGTGAAAAGCACCGATTTCTTCTAATCAGGTTGTCATTATAAAAACTACGGTAAAGTATTTCGACGGTGATACATTACGTTTCACGAAGAAAAAAAGTTGATGTGTGTTGCTTACTGATTAAAACCTGAATTTCTGATTCACCTTTTCTTGGGTTTATTAGCAGACTTTGGCCATGTATTTACTCATATAACGTTTAATATTTAATACCGTATAGATTCTTGTGTAATTTAAAATAGTTCGTAATTTATTGGTAATAAGTTAACCAATTGGTAAAATTCGTATATAAAATACAAATCTATTTGTATTAAAATCTTCAGAAATGTGAAAACGATAATATTTTTTGTACTATTATGTTTAACTCTAGACAAGTTTGTTTAGAAGACATTTCAGATTTAAAAATGAATTCACTGAGTTATGTAAACTGATATGTAAGGATATATTTTCTTCATCAACATTTTTCTTCACGAGTAATTTATTTCTGCTGACTTCAGACTGAACATTCTGTAAACATGTCCATAGATTGTTTTGTACGTGTGGCTATATAATCGGCGTTAACGGTGTTGTTAGGCATTCTTGTTTCAGAAAATATATTTTTCGCAGTCCAGAGTTAAAGTTTAGGCTGCAAATAAAAAAGAGAAAGAAAGCGATCAGAACAGAGTGAAGTAAGGATAAATGAAAACAGAAGATATAATATTAGAGAAGATGAAAATAAAAAAAAAGAGCTGTTTTATACTTTTCCGATTCTATAATTGTTTTTGGAACAGTATATTTCTTCTATTTGTCGACGTAGATTACTGAGAAACGTTTCGTATCCTTTTTGCATCTATTGTAGCATTTCCTTCTTTCTAAAATCGTATTGTAGCGTGAATAGTTTCCAATTTTTTTGTAATTATTATGTAATCGATGGAAAATTATCGAATTGTCGAATGATGAAAACAATCATCCACTTTTTAAGATTGCAGGATGCATAAAATTAATCATTCAATGCACACAAATCTGAATATTAATTCTCGCTATTCTGTAATTAATTTTCTCCTTTAAGCATTTACAAATTCATTATTTTGATATGGAATACTTTATTCTTACCAGAAGATATGACTGTTCTAATATGCGATATGAAATACTGTTTGTGATTCACGTAAGAGTTTATAATATCGAGCTGCTTCTAGATTAATATTAAGTTACATTTAATTATTTTTATTAAAAAAAAGCCGAAGACCTGTCGTCGTTAAAGTAATGTATAATTGTCGTTATATTTTGCAATGATTATCAACTGTTTAAATAATCGATACAAAATATTAAATTCTAAATGATAAATATATAATATCCAGACAACGAAACCCTGATAACCAATTGCGTGCAGGTTGCCTGCAGGTTACCAGCGGATTGCCAGCCAATAGTGACAAAAGTCTAGAAAACCATAGCCATCTGTTTTCGCATTTGGCTCAGGTGTTGCAAGCTGAGCTTGCTGACAGAATCGTAAAGCAGGTTGGCAGCAAGTCTTACAACATAACCTGTTGTCAGATTGGGTAGAAACGGGACAGAGTATAAAAAGCATCGAAAAATATTTGTAATTTTTCATTTCATTGATGAGAATAGAATTTATTTTACTATAAAAAAATATATTCAGTATACTGTAAATGTATACTGTATACATACATATAACTGAATTTCTAATGGTACTGGATCGTATTACTTCTAACCAATCGTACTTCGGAAAATATTAACAGATTTTAAATGCTAAAAGTATTATAAAAATCATTTATTTACTTATTTTAAATCAATAATAAATATAATTGTTGAAAGAGATCATTTAAATGCCTTTAACACCTATTACACCCTATTATTTTAATTATAATTATTTTTATCATTTTAATGCCTATTACACCCTGTATATGCGCGTCCATATAAAATGTAAATGGTTCAAGCTGCGCAAACTCCAATCCGTTTTTGTCCTCGATCTGACAATAGATTATGTTGCAAGATTTGTTGCCAATCTGCAGATCTTGCATCAAATCTGTAAACCATGCTGAGTATAAAACTTTATAACAGGCATCGGACAAAATCTGGCTATTTAGGTTTAGCTGACTTGGGGTATGTAATATTAATACATCAACTATTACAGATTCAAATATCCAGTCTGGTTCAAATCTAATTGTGCGTGAAATTAAATTGCGTGTAATCTTCGTTGAAAAATGGGTAAACAATTATGAGATCGAAGCGAATCCTTCTTCTATATTCCATAAATAAGTATCAGCTACATCGTAAGTTTCGGTACAAAAAATCGTTGTCGTTGCAACGGAAAAGGTGTTCGCTCACAAACATCTCGAGAAACGAAGTGGAAGGAAGCTACGCGGGATTAAAAACGGTGATTTTCCAGCATTCCGTAACCGACATTCAGCGTTGTGTATGTTTACAGCGCGCATCCACCGGTTTCGCGAAGCTCTTGCCGGGCCGACGAGCCGCCATTTTGTCCGGAATATCGTCCTGACGGATCGACACCGAACAAAACGGGAACGCCAGACGATATTTTATGAGATACCTTGCTACGTACTACTTATTATAGTCGCTTCCTTACACATTTATATCTGTAATTGTATAGCAATTAAATAAATATCCAGAAACTCTTAATCGTGTAATGCCGTTTAGTATCCCGTTTGCGTCGTCGCGCGTAATGAGATTCTTTTTTTTTTTTTTTTTTTTTTTTTTTTTTTTGTTTTCCTTCCTTCTCTTCGCTATGTACTTATTCGTTAGTATGTAAATGCGTGTGTTCGGTGGTGTATTTCTCGAGTCTTTTTGTGTGTGTATGTGTGTGATATATTACGACATGTGTACGTCATTACTTTCGTTCTTGGTGCTGAATTCGTAACGTGTTCGTCGTTGCTTTCTGTTATTTGTTCTCTTCTTTGCAACGAATGGATAATTCATCCTCCACCCGATTTGCTCCTCTTAATCGGTTTATTTCATTTCGAGACGAAAGGATGAGAAAAATAAACTATCGCTTTATACATGTATTATGTTAACTGTCAGGCGCTTGTCTTTTGCAGGCAAAAGATACCGAAACGGTGTTCACGTTTTTACGTACTAATTGCTTCCAAGTACCTTTGCGTTTTCTAAATCGACGGCTTTTACAGTAGTGTCTCTACAGTGAACTTGTACTACAGCTGACTCTAACTATATTGCCACTAAACATATTGCCACGCAAGACACTTCCCCTTCACACGTACTTTTGAGCACATAAATTCGCTCTCCCACCTAGTTGCGTGCGCCAGCGCACCAGCACGATCCAGCTTTTGCGCAGGCGCTGATATCGAGGCTATGACGATAGAACTTAGCATGGAGGGGGCTCTGAACTCATTGCCGCTTTACACCTCTGCAGCCCCAACCATGGCAATATAGTTAGAGTCCACTGTATATTACTTGACGTACCAATAAGTGAATAGAATCGCTCTTTTTTGTCCGATTAAGGTGACAACACTGACAACACACCAAGACACTACTGTGGTGCCTGTCGTAATGTAACACCTCGAATCGATCGAAAAATCGTTTTCCCGTATTCGACAAGATTTGTAATTTGAACTCGTTTGGTAAAACGCTGCTGATTCTGGTCTATCTTGGTTTTTATTCGCTCTTAAACAAAATATACAGTTGTTTGGTAATTACTTAACACTTTCATTGGTAATCCGTTGTACTCGTCGCTATTTCGTTTTACAATTTAATGACTAACGTTTTAAACACAATCTCTCGATGGTGTGCGTTGACTTCCGTGCCAGAGCAATGAACGTGTTAAGATCGATTCACGCGAAATCTAGAATCTTCTGAGAACCCCGGGATCCTCGATCCGAACCGAGTCCGAAACGAATTGGAAAACTGCGTGTGGAGTCTAAACTCAGGTTCAAGTTGAATTTACCCTAATCATTCCTCATTTCGTCTACTAATCGCATTAATTATTCTTTCTTTTTATTTTTACGTTAATTAGTCGCCTAAATGAAATCGGATGTAGTTTTTTCCGGATATTCTACGTTGGAAATCGCTGTTCTATTATCCGTTAAAATCCTTTTCTAGGAACGTTTCCATTGTTTCTTGTTTTTTTTTCTCATGTCAGAAACAAAAAGAAAAAAGAAACAGCCTGCGCGCACAGCAATCATTCCGTAATCAGCGACAATCTGTTGCGCGATGGATTCTAAAGTTAATTTACACTTTAACCCTTGTGTGGGCCACACAAAATATTAACGGTTATATTGAGCAATCGGGATACCCCTATTCTGACAGATTAGATAAACATACATAATTTTACTGTCATACTTCCTCGAAACCAAGTGCTGCTTTACACAAGAACGTAAAAAATTGTGACGGGAAATTTAGAAATGGGTACCTGGATGCCCAGGTATCCGGTTGCCTACGCAAGGGTTAATTGTAAAGCCGATAACTCTCTTAGTTAGCCCGCCTCCTATACGCTGTTATACATGTTCGAAGGTGTTGCCCCAAGTTTAAAGTAACTTTAAAGTTTCGGTTACGTCGAGCCTAAGATAACAGTTAATCGATACTCGTTATTTATCGCTGTGGTGTATTTGTGGTACATGCAAACGGGGGGTGGGAGGGGGGGGGGAGGTCTCCGAACATAAACTCCTCTTATATAATTAAATACGTTGTGTCGATAATAATTCGAGTGCGTGTATCAATCAACTTGTTAGCAAAACAGATAGAAAACTATTAACCTCTCGTCTAGTCAATATACAGTTATATGCGTATCTAAATTCACCGATCAACTGATAAAATGTAACAATAATACAATCAGAATTCGCAATGCTCCGTCGGTAACGACGGTCGCGACATAACATGACGTTGTCCCTCTAGTAAAATTTCAAACGGAATCGAACGTTCCTAAATAACCTAACGTGTTCCAATGAAATCGTCTGTAAATCAATTGCTGACAATATTATACACGCCTAAAACGGATATTGTACGTGTTTCCACGGATCAACACGATCGTTGTGTGTTCCAAAAACGTTCCGACAAGGATACCAACTTCATTATTCCGTCATCCCCATGTTTCGCGTCGTGTTCTGTGCCGTTTTCTTCACAAATCCCAATCGTACGCTCCAGTTTCTCGTTTAATAACTATTAAAATCACGCGTGGCTTTCAATCGAACAAAGGTTCCACGTTTCTTTTTTTCTATTTAAACATAAATTACATATTTACAATCGCGAAGCGGCCTTCATTAGCTCCTGAAAACAACGTCGCGATCCCTCGACCTGTTCCGCAGTTATACGAATAAGAAATATTATAAATAAGAAAATGCGTTCATTCGTCTTAATAATATAGAGTATCTGTATGAAAAATAAATTCACTACAAATTATTCATTCACGATTGCGGTAGATGCTTATGTAGTGTTTAACACTGTTCCCCTTTTCCGCCATATTTTATAATATAGGGTGTTTCCATTAGTGTTTCAAAACTAATAAAAAAATTCTAATAAACATGGGTACACAAATATTTTGTTTCGAAAAAATAAACAATTGAAATTTTAAGTTTTAATATTATTAACACAAATAATCGTGTAGCCTATTTAAAATGGCCGCCATTGCTAAACGCACAAACTACGTTTTATTAGTGATTTTCTTGTATATTTGAAAATATTTTGCATTTTAATAAACTTTTCGTATGAATTTTGAACATGCTTTTTTTTTTGGAACAGGTACGAACAATTGCAATGTTGTTTCGCAAGCTTGATCAAATTGTTTATGACCTTATCAGGATCGTCTCATGGTACATGCATACGCTTTACAAGAATCACTCCAAAAGTTCTTAGATTATTTTCGTTTATCAACTTAAAATTGATATTGTAGTCCCCGATGATACAATGTTGTACCAACTGTCTCTTTATATAATCAGAAATAGTAATACATCGATTTTACCGAAGAAAAATCGAATCGCATGATTTTGTCTTCATTTTAAAAATTAACGATTTCTCTTCGATTCTTACAGTTTGTTACTTGAATATAATTTTTGGATTGATTCTTGTGCCTCAATAATGAAGGAAATAGACACAGTTGCGAGTTAATCGCTCGATTCTAAATACTTTTCTTTTATGTTTAATCCACATTAATGTTACTAAAAACGATGGTCTTCGGTAATCCGACAGGGTCGTTCTTTTCCTTCGTTAACGAAGAAAATTCAATCGTTCGAATTAAATAAAATTTAATTTTTCAAACGGTATCTATTATCATAGCTGGGCTATTATAAGATACTTTTTCGACAATTTGAATTGAGAATCACTGATCTGTGTTGGTATACAGTGCTTGCATAAATATATTTAATTGCTAGCCTTGAGATTCTGTCACCGAGATCGCTTGTTTAGAATCAAATGACAAAACTAATACATTTATATTTAACTGTGTTCTATTGCAAACATTATTAATTCATATACAGGGAGACCCATCTGATAGAGGCCATATAAATATCTATTTTCCTTTTAAACGATATGAAAAATGTTTAAAGTACAATTTGAATGATTTCGTAAGAGAAACACTGTGGGGGAAAAATAGTTTTGGGGTCGTTTCTTCAATGTCTCTTGAAGGTCACCAGGATTTTTTGGAGGAAAGCATATATTTTTTTTTTATTGTATTTTGTACCCGATGAAAAAATTCATTCGAGCGTGCCTAAGTATGACCTTCAGAACATCAAAGATGGACTCCATTTTGAGTATGTGTAACGTAGAAGAGGACGTTCACATACCATCCTAACACTGTCTTGGAATTTGATCGTTTAAGGTCATTTGACGGTCATAACTCAGTCACGCTCGAATGCATTATTTCATCATTAACAGGATACAATAAAAAAAAATATATGCTTCCCAGCAAAAAATGCCAGTAATCTTGAAAAAACATGGAAAAACAGACTTTAAAAAATGTCTTTCTTCCACGGTATTCCTCTTTCAAAACCATTCAAATTGTGTTTCAACTATTTCTTATGACAGTAAAAAGACAGGAGATATTTAGGTGGTCTTCTTCAGCTGGGTCACTTTGTATAATAAAATCATATCTCTGTTATAACATGTTACTGTTAAAAATCCATTCAGTTCGTCCGTGCATGTTCTCTAAAGTCGTTTCAACGATGAATCCTCCTTCAATAATCTAACCCGAGAACCAAGAATCCTACTTCAAACTCGCAACGCGAGTATCGAGTCGTCATTTTGTCAAAAAAAAAAAAAAAAAAAAAAAAAAAAAAAAAACAGTCTCACAGAAGCACAACGCTGTGTTCGCGACAGTGGTATCCAATAATCGACAGACGCTCGTTTCTTTACTACTTAACTGTTTCGTTCCCCTCCTCTATTTGCCATCTGGTCGGAAATCTTAACAACTATATTTATATCGTAAAGCATTTTGTATGCGTCACACTCGCGATCGTCTGCCACTGCATTCGATGGAGACGTTCGGACATCCGGACATTCGATCGGTGAATACTCGACCTAATAAGTATCAGCCCCCGAAAATTGTTCGTCTTTTTATTCATTCACCATCATATTTCTGAATCTGAATTTGTCATAATACTTGTAGAATATTAAATTGGATCTTTATATACTAACTCGCTTCAAGCGAGTTTCATTCATCTTTAATTCCGCCAGGACGGGGCAATTATGGTGGAACAGTTACACGGTTAACGAGTTGAACAGATTATATTCGATTAGTGCTCGATCATCGCTTACGAAGATGTTGCGAATCGTCGATGACTCGTCTCTACGAAATAATAGGAAAATATTATGAATGGAACGAAAAATTCCTGTTTTTAACACAGATGGGAACCTCGAGCAGTTTTGCTTTAAAATCGATGCCAGATATGCTCGAGAATTTCAGGGATCAAAGTCGTTCCTTGTGCATGTTTCGCGTCCACGTAATGTAATAACGATACGTTTCACGGCGGTGCACCAGCAGTAGCATCGATCGCGAGTGTGGACGTGCCGCCAATCGCTTCAAGCCTAATATACATCGAGTATTAGGTTTACAAAACAGATACCCAACTTCATCGTAGGGTTTCAGGGGGGGTTGGATCGGTGGTTTCATAATGGGGGAGGATACGTGGGGCGTTTGGATAGTCGGAGACGGGATTCCAGGAAAATCGATGGGCCGGGAGATGGTAATTACTCCCTTAATTTGTGCCAATCAGCGATCTGCCTCTGCGGCGAGCTGCAAACTTCTCTCCAATGATTCATAGCTGAATCTTGACAATCCGGGCCACCAAACTCGAGCCGCCCGATCACCTGTAACACACGGAGCGCCATAATAAACGGAGGCAAATGTTGGGTGTTTTTAAGTGAACAACACTTAATCGTCAACATTCGATTTATTTAACACATTCGGGACGGGCCGTAATCGTTTTTCTGAACCCATGGGTTGGATACAATTTCATTTTTTTGTATCTTACTTTTTTTTTGAGATGTCCAAATGACCTTGAGTTTTTTTAAGGTCAGTGCATCTTTTTTTTATATCATCATGGTATAGGTCGTTGAATTGGTCCTTCCATCGATAACAACGTGGTATTAAAAAATAGATGCATTGACCTTAACAAAATATCCAATTTTAACGGTTTAGCTTATACAACTTGAAATTACATACCTCGTTCTTTGTAACACGATCCCAATCGAGCAACATGAATTCAAGGCTGACATTTTTGAGACCATCCGCACCGTTCGGTATGTCGAAAACAAAGGACTCGTTGAATACGGGGCTGAGGGTGCGTTTCTTCACGCACGTCTTCTTCTTTGCGATACGTTGATTATTGTATAGAAGATAGATTTTGACGTACGGATCCGCCAAGCCTGTCACGTCCATCTTTGGTAAGTTCTGTGCTTTCAGCACAACCACCGTTAATCGGCTGTTGATCGGTTGCCAGCAGAGTGATACTAACAATTCACCCCTGCCTTGCGATTGAATCTGTAATGGTATAATATAATCTATAATATTATGTTTATTTAACGGTAATTCGACTATTTAACTCAGAGATTTTATTTCAAGGCGTATAAATTACTAATCTAAGAGGGCTTATGAATCTTTATAAATTTATAACATTTGATATATACAGTGTGTCCCAAAAAACTTTTAAAATCGAACTAATTAAATAGAATTTGATTAGAATAAAAATAAATTGAATGGAAACTCAAAGTGTAATTTTTTAATAACTTAATTCAAGAATATTAAAAGAAAGTAGTAAGAACTGTTATTTTTCTTTGTCATCATGACTCACAACGGTTCTAGGATTTTATATATTAAATATTATCGAAGAGTTCTTTAAAGACACATTTCTTTGATCGGTATTAGTTTCTTCTTTATCGTGGTTTTTCTCACCTTCAGGCTTCTGGGGCAAATTTTTCGACACAATGATATCTCCTGGTTATCAGCGCTTCCCAAACTGGGGACCGACGAGAGTGCACACGTCAATTCACCGATAATATCGTCCCGGGAGTATCTATCGAAGCTGAGCACTATGAAGTGCAGGCTGATTTTCTGCGAACGATAATGAAAAAGCTTATTTCGTGAATCGTTCGACTGAAATTTGGGCGAAGTTTATTAATAATTATAAACACTTTAGAAAAGTTTTAAACAATCGATCTTTGAAAAAGCGTTCCTATTTATGAAATTTGTTTACTTTTAAAGTAACTAAAAATAGTTAAGAACTATCGTTAAATTTCTTTACGTGATTATATGCAAACAAATTCCATACCTGCAATTGATCTTTGGATATCCCGAAGAACGTGAAGTCTTCGTCGTAGACAGGATCTCTGGTGTTTCTGAGGACTCTCGTTTTCACCTGTTGTTGTTTGTCGGGCAACAGCTTCAGCTTCACGTAAGGATCGCTGGTGGCGTTTTGCTCCCTCGCTGGTAAACCCTTGCAATTCACCACAGTCACACCGAGCGCATTCTGTTCGCTGACGTATCGTAGCTTAAACACCAGCTGGCCCAGGTTGTCTTTGTTATTTTTCGTCGTATGATTCTTGTCCCGTTCGGTTTTCTCATTGTTCTCGATTTCCGCCTTGTCACGTTCGTTCTCGATGCTCAAAGTAACGTCCCCTGAAGGTGTCTGAGCTGGCGTGCCTGAAATCGGGAGAGAAGGCGAAGAGTCTCTGATTATCTGTGACCGTAAAACAGGTTATAAATAACTTTCATAAATGACGTGTCGAAAATATTTATAACCAGAAAAGTTATGCTTTTATAATACCTGTTTGCTTTTGGAGCAACAACGATTCTTATTTTGAATTACGCGCCATTCGATTGTTCCAAGTCTACCAATTGAAATTAACTTCGTTTGCTATACATATGTACCCTCATGTGCAAACTCGGCTTTCGCTAGGGGAAAATGTGGCGTAGAAGAAAAGTTTTTTACTACTTAATAAATTTATTTCAAGTACTGAAATGAATGTTAAACTTAATGTTAATTTGGCATAAATTTTAGTAACTCCCAAAACTAAATCGTACGAGGCCTTTCGCCTATCTCACTTTTTTTCCTAGCTGAAGCCGAGTTTACACGGCAGTGGTACACTAAAGGATAAGTGATATAGAGGAAGGGTCTTCTACGACTTAGTTTTGGGAGTTACTGAAATTTATGCCAAATTAACACTAGAACCACCGAACCCGTCAAAATGACGAATTACACATTCACTATTTTACCGTCACAGAAATTGTAATAGTGCTTTTGACGGAATTTATGTTGACTTTTACGATTACAATTACAATTACATTGTAATTTTACAATTTTATTGCAATTTTTATTGTCAATTTAGTATAGTTATAGAATGTGATTGTAACTGTAATTATATTGCAATTAAATTGCAATTACATTGTAATTGTAATTAGATTACACTTTGCCTAATGTATGGACAAGCACAAAGTCCGTTTTTATTACGTTCTGTCAGACTTGTAAAAAAATTAAACAATTCGTTTCTTCGCATTGTCAATAATTAATATTACTTTACCATTTATTTGCATTTTTACGTACATCGTTCCCTTGTTAACAGAACTTTCTACTAGAGGGTATTTATCCCATTAATAAATAAAACAAATAAACAAATCTCTTCTTAACATGTACTATTTAGGAAAGTTTACCCTAGTTTTTACCTAGTCAGCCAAACCCGCAAAGCTAAATTTTCTCTAATGCTTGTTATAAAGTTATGGCTACGAGTTTGACAGCAACACAGGCAGCGAATTGACAGTAACATATGCAGCAAATTGGGCTTGCCCAAACCTTGTTCCGTTTTTGCCCTCCATTTGACATAGGTCATGCTTCAAAACCTTCTGTCAATTTGCTTCACTATTTTGTCAGCTGGCGCCTTGGAAATGGTAACAATATGTTACCTGCAAAACCCAAGTCAAATGCAGAACCAGATGACTATGGTATTTGGAAAACTTTTGTCATTTACTGCTAGCAATTTGCTCAAGTCTTAACCTCGCAACGCTACTGTTCTGGCATAACTCCCTCTTGCATTAGAACCCCCCTCCCTTAATTGACGAGACAAGCATTTTTATTCGTACCCTGAGGTGTCCTCGGTTGAGAATAAGGATTCGAAGCTTGAGATCCAGTTGGGCTCGGCGTCTGTCCACCGGAACCAGGAGGGCTCTTGGTAGGCTCCGTGGGGCTTGGACTCTTCTTCAGGTAGTGGCTGGTGCTACCTGGGCTCTTCACCGCCGTCGGTTTCCTATGTGGCGGTCTGAACGCCAAGGACTTGTCGCAATTCAGTTTGGTGTGCTCGCGACGTCGTCGGCAAAGCCACCAGGTCATCGCGACGGCGCAAAGTAGAAAAGCGGCGCCGATGCATAGCGCGACCACAGTTGTCGTCGACACTGGAATTACGTGGGATTTCTGTTTATAACCGTGGCCTATCTCAAATGCCACGAGATTTTCGATGATTATTCGCCGGAATTCAAGTGTGTAGATGTCAATACGTTAATTCATCATTAACTGTCGACAGCGACAGGTTCCTTACGACAGCTTTCTTTGACATATCACGTCACATCTAACGTCACTCTGATGTCTTACTCGTGGAAAAACCGTTGCCATTACTCGCATACACGAATCACAAATAATATGAGTAGATAAGAAGTTTCATTATTCAGAATTAAGATGGGAATTTCTTTGCCCTTTACGAAATTACCTAGTCTAACAATGAGGAAATATTTTTGTATCCAACCGAATCCAATGAATCTCGTCATTGATAGTAAAATTGTAACTCTTGATATTGTTCTATGACATTTGTGAATTGCTTTCAGGAATTAACTTTTGATTTATTCTAGTTGTGTGAATGTTATCGATGTTTAGAGGAAACGATGGGATACGGCTGGGATTGCCAGATGACAGGTCGTGCAACTTTAATGTAAATTTAGTATGATGCCTTCACCAGAAATAGAACTCCGCAGAAGAACTTCAGAATACCGTTCCAGCTTCATCCCCTGGTCACGATGTTACGATTAAGTTTGTTCATTACCGCAAATAACACGCACGGGAAAGTTTCATTCAACCGGATATATGACCTATGAACGTGGAAAAGAATATAAGTGCCGCTTAAGCTACTTTGAAAAATCACAGACGCAACGTTAACAACCACCACATGATCTTGTTACTCATCCCTAGAAGGGGCTACTCGCTATATACATCGCTAAGGTTGACTCATCCAAACCAATGGAACTGTCTAAATGTACCTCGAAGCTCACAGTAATCGACTAATCATCGCGAACAGGGATTCTAAGGGAAACTAAAAAAGCACAATTGGAATGGATGGAACAACCCTGGTTGGAAGAATCATCCTTAAACAGGTCCCCCAACTGGTAACAGCTGTCTCCACGGACATCTTCAAAAGCGCCACGATTCTTACCAAGATCTTCCTCCTTTACATCTCTATCGAATAGCACCTGAATCTATCTCAACATAGCCAGAGAATCTACGAACTTGCACGATGGTGCAATCGCGTCGAGAAAAGGGGGTATGTCATCGTCGACGGGAATGGTCGATGTTGCTTCGGCCACGAGACAAGGGCTCAAAGAAGGAACGTGAATCGGGCGTGTATTTCACCGTTTATCAAACTACACTTACCGGACTCGACGGGCTGAATTAGAGGTCCATCCTCCGTCACTCCTCCGACCATTTTCGGTCCACGTTTTGTCCACCGTATTTAAAAACGCTTTTATGCGCGTAACTCACTCGACCACGGCGCACTGAACGAATATTTACGGTGTGCGGACCGTTCGTGGTATTCCGAGGCGACCATCGGATGATGTTCGATCAATAGTAACGGCCCTGGGCTTGCGCGGAATCGACGACTCCAGAAAAGGGGACCGACGACGACGAGGACGACGTCGACGCCGGCGGCGGCGACACCAGAAACAATGCCGTTTGGTACGTGGGTGCACAGAAGGGGTGTTCCCGCAGGTAACGGGGATCCCGGCGCAGGTGACGATGCACTCGGGAGAGAGAGGTGCACCTACCGGTTGAATCGATGCGCTATCGATTCGAACCGTTTCAGCTGGCCGACGGGCGAGAACCGTTGGCTCCCGTGCCAAAACACGCTTTCACGGAGGAAATAACGCGATGTTATTTGTTTTTCAATCTATTATACGAATATAATAATTAAAAATGTTATGTGTAGCAATTAACGTATATGTAAATTATAATTTAGTGTAAAATTCTACATCTCTGGTGTTTAGTTAAAAAATTAAATTTTTGTTTATCAATATTCCAAATTTATAAAGAAGATGGTTTTAAAATTTTGTAATCTTTAATAATCACAATGTAATTTTTCGCAATCAGCTGTCTTAAAACATTGCGCGAGATATGAGTAATTGAACAGTAGATTCGATGCAACATAAACCACATATCATGCTGAAGAATAGGGAGACAATTAATGAATTTTTCAATTGATTTGTAAAGTGTAAAGGGAACTTGTTTTCTGGTTCTTCTGGCTGGGTTAGCCGTTGGCGATGATGTCGCAGTTATTAGAAGGAAATCAAAAACATTTTAATGTAGATTCATATGTATGTATCTGTATCGTGTTTTCGTTTGTTAGTTTTGCACAAGTTGATTAATATTGATAAAGAACTCGTCTAATGAAAAGGTATTTTTAATTTCTCAATTGATGATGTTCCACATTTATTGACGCTTCTTGTTACTAAATTTTATATTAGTTTGTTTTGATGTAAAATGATTTTTCGTACATTTATAATTTATCTGCATTTTACTCTGGGCGTGAATTACTATGTTGAAACACATTTCTACGTATATTCGATATTTATATGCTATTGTCCAATTTAATTCAGGGAATTGTAGTATTATATGCTACTGTCCAATTTAATTCAGGGAATAGTAGTACAATAATTTATTGAACAGCGTGCGATGAATAGTTTTAAACAATTACTGTTTTAAGAAAGTGAAATTCTTAAATTGATTATGCTAACCTGGGAATATTGGTGTTTTCATAGTATGCGTAAAATTAACGAAGTCAATTAACACTTTCGTTTTATTTTAATATAATCGAATCATTAATAATAACATGAAATTCTATTTGGTTTCTGTTTTTGCAAGTTTTTCCATAAATATCTACAATTCGTTTGTAATATTTACGTATTGCTTTTTATTATACGGCTGTGAACATCGGATTTTGCTTAAACCTTTTCATTTTGTATCATTCCTGTAAACAGATATTAACTCGCATGTTTCTATATTTAATACAGTTGATGACACGAGATTAAGTTCTTGTTTATCCCGGCAGCTTCGTATTTCGTGTTTCAAAAGCACGTGCGGCGATATTCGGTTCAGAGATAAATTTCCGTAAAATATCGCGCACTCAAGCTGCGACATGGGGCATGGCGTTCTTGCATTTTTCAAATGAATTGATATTATGACAGGTAAGGAACTCCCCATACTCGTACACTTACTGAAGCCATTAGTGATATTGACAAATTAATTTTTGAGGATTGATCGCCAAGTGGAAAATTATGAAGTTAGTATTTTCTTTAATATTCTGAAAATAATCCTATATTTCATTACATAATTCTTGCTCATCTTCTCAGAGCTTTTGAAGATTCTTGGTAAAAAGTTTTTGATTATTATATTATATTACTGCCAATGCATTGTCTCATTTGCTTTTAATTTAGAGACTTCATTTGGCAATTACATGTCTTAGGTGATATTATGAACATTTGTAGAAATGACATATTTTATGTTACGGGTATTGTTATGATTTCAATAACAATGAAGTATACCCTTTCTTTTTTTCTTAACATATAGATAAACAATTTAATTATATTTCGGTATGTTCAGTAATTAGTATACATTAAGACGCATACTTGTACAATAACGAGCTACCAAATTGTGCTACGGTTGATAATTCGTAAGTATGACTATAATTTGTAAGTATGATTCTTGGTATCCTTGATTATTATTTATTTTAATACCATTAAATTATATTGTGCCAACAAAATATTGAAATAATGTCAAAAAGAATTAAAGCAACGAAAATACTGATATATCTATTTTTTGAGAAATTATAGATTATATTATTACAACGGGTGTGTATGTCTGTATGCAAACAAACGGATAAACGAAGTGCAATGAAACTTTAAGCAAACAAACGATAACGACGCAATTGTCGACCCGTACATTGTTTGCTCGTCAAAGTGAAATAATTCTGACCCTACTCAGGCAGATACGAGTTAAGCCTGTCCCGACAGTTATTATATTATCAGACGTATTCATCAATTGCATCATCGTTGTTCATTCGTTATCCACGATGACGTCATGCCTTTCGCAGGATTAACGCATGCGCGATGTTTTAATCGCGAATATTGCCACGATATGTGAAAACGTGGGTTTCCTAAGCGCATGTTTACCTATGCTTAACCAATGGGGTCACGCAGCGACGTTACGTCATCGTCGGTATAACATGAATGTATCGGTTTTTTCAAAACTGGAACGCGCCATATTTAAGACGGAATTTTTGAAACAGTTCATCGACAGTTTTTAGTTTCAAAAATTATTCAAATAAAACTTATAGCGTTTCTTGAGGCCCATTAATCTGTTCAAAAAGTTTCTCCAAAACAAGAGGGAGCAATTTAATTTTCGTAAAAAAATTATTTTTCCAACAAATTTTTCTCACAGGTTTATAGACTTCAAGAAACGGTGTAACTTTTATTCAAACAATCTTTAGATATCTTTTATGGCGCAAGGTTTTAAAGCACTTACCTAGAAGGGCTGGTTCGGACAAAAGGGTTGATATCTCCCTCAAAAACGGGTAAGTAGGTAGTACTCCTGAACATTAAATATTTCATAAATTAATAGTCATATGTGGCTGAAACAAATACCATTGTCTTCAGAATTTCACGCTCTATCTCTTTGCTAAACCTCATTGAAAAGTCAGCGTTACATCCGGGGACCTTTCCTTGTCAGTACCAAGGAGTCTTCGAACACTCACCGAGGATTTACTGTAGATTATTCTCAGGTAAGCCTAATGAACATTTGTACAAAGTTGCATCAAAATCGTCGTGTATCAGTCACGGTGGTTCCCTTATAAGATTTTCATTCAAGGATTTGCTAATCAGTTGATGCTTCCAGCTGATTAGTTGATGTTTCCAGCTGATCATGAGGATTGTTGATCAGTTCCATTGTGAGGGGCGGGTAGCCAGAGCGATAAACCGTTTGAAACGACCTGTAGCTAACTGTCCCCCTCCGAGCACTGCCACGGCTGGGTATCTGCGCAGAAGAGAGAAATATCGAGTAGTGTAGCGTGGACTCGTAAGCACGATCAGGCCGGCTTTTACGAGCGGCTCGATATAGCCGCTGCTGCGGTGCGCTCGCGGCGTGAAACGAAACGGCGTATGTACGAAAGCAGGTACTGAACGCGTGTGTTAAACGTCTCTTCCATTCTCACCGGACGAATCCAACGCGAGTGGAATAATTAATAAAAGAGGCGACCCAGCCAGGAACAGCTAGGACATATACATATATCGACGAAAGTGGTTCCGCGCCGGCAGACATGGGGCTCAAGGATTTCCGTGTAATCTTCGACAATCCTTGGAGCACGTATTATCCAGGACAGACGGTCAGCGGGAATATTATCGTCGTGCTGGATAGCACAAAGAAGATCCGCGGTATGTTTGCGACTGTGATCGTTATACACAGTTCGAGGAACGAATCAATTGAACTTTTTCAATTTTTTTTTTACACATAATTTAGTAAACTAATGTCCCTTTACTTCACAAAAGATCTCAAGTCATTTGGACCAATTTTAAAAAAAGTTGTTCCGTATTAAAGAGTGTACGAATAATTTTGTCCAGTACTGTATCTGCGTATATTGCGTCTGTTGCATGTCATTTTCGGATATACGATGATCGACAGGTGTCTACGGATTTTAGAGGTTTGAGAGACACCGAGCTCTACGTAATGCTTATTTTGACGATTAATGCGTCTAAGGTATTTTAAATACGCGGTGACGGGATGTCGGTATTGAAGGTCGCTGCTTTCAGTATCCTTGAGATATGTTGGAATTCTGCCTGTGGCTGTAAGGTGAAACGTCTCGTGTCACAATTTCGAAAGATTTGAGTTTGTGCGTTAATTGAGCTGGAGAACAACATTTTACATGCGGCGTTTTTCCTGACAATCACAGATAATAGAGTTTAGAATTATACCAGCTCAATATTGGAGATATCAAAATATTAATATTGGAATATTAAAATATCACCAGGCAGCAGGTGCATTATTGACGTAACAGTATTGAGTTTTCCGAGTATCTCGTTTCGTGACGTTCTTGAAGTTTGTCGCGTGTTTATAGTACATTAATAAATAATTAAGCTTCCTGTTCATGTTAAATGATCTTGAGAAACTGTTTATGGTGAAAATACTACAGTACTATCTTACACTTTTCCTCTTTTTTTTACTAAGCAATCGAAATTATTCTTTTAGACAAATGTAACAGTAAATATTACAGAGCAACGAAAACTTTTCTAATAATTTTAATTTTACAAGAAAGTAACATTTAGCTACAATGAAAAACGTAGAAGAAACTCTTATAATAGAAGCGAAGTTCAGTTTATGAATATACAGAGAAATTTAATAATCATGTCGTCTTCGACGTGAAAGTCCTGAAATGCATCCATTGACGAGCTGCAAGATTTATGCAGTTCTATCTTGAGTTTCCGTACCAATTTGTACGGTGACATCTGATGCATATCTCGCAACTGCTGTCACCGCATTCCCAGCGAAGATTTTTCTTTCCCGCAAGGTGTAGTTTAATTATAGCGCGACCGTGTGCACCCGCGCAGTAGAAACGGACAACCGCGATCAGCCATGGAACATTTGTTTCTGTCACGCTATATTGTTCTTGTAAAGCGTTATGCGTTCGACAGTGTGTTTCCCCTTAAAACAGACCACCTAAATATCTCCTCTATCATACGAGAAATATTTTTTTGTAATTTAAACGGTAGCAAAAATGATATAAGTAAATTTAAAATTTCTAGAGTTTAAGGTAATTTCTAGGTCATACTATTGTATATGGATAAATGGGTAATAATGTTGGCTATAATATAGAACAGGAAAAATTATGTGCATAGACGTAAAAAAACATGGGTGACCTTGAAAAAATTGGTAAAAAATGACACAAACAAATTTTGCCGTCGTCCAAGTTGATAATTGTTACGGTCTTTTAATTGTATACATCTGGTTATTAACCTTTTCCGACCATAGCATTTTCGAGAATAATATTTAAGAAATATTGATTATTCGTTTTTGTTTATATAAATAATTTTTTTTAATATTTCTGTTTTTTTTCTGACATCCAATAAATAACTATATGTATATGAAAAATTTTTTAGGTCGGAAAGGGGGTTAATGTTTATTTTTATCTAGGCTGTGTTAGCTAGCTTCGATTTGGTCTCTTCTTTCCGCGTCAGCAACTTGCATTATTCTGGCTAATTATTCGAAACACTTCTGGCATCAGCTGTATTATTAAAGACGCCTTCTTCGCGCTGGTACTGTCATGTAGTTCGTGCAGTACCGAGAATTAAGCGTTAAATGCTAAAATTAGATATACTTTGTTAAAGTCTCATTAAACAGCCCGGAGGGTTTACTTTGTAAAATACTGAGGCAGGATTCATTGTGTCTTTAATTAATACGGACTGAGGCAAATTGTGGATATGCATTTCAACATTTTGTGGCAAACGTTGTGCAGCTAATAATTTGTGGTTTTTAACTATTCTTAGAAATCAATTTTTAATTGACATGTCCACCAAAACGGTTTATTAATTGATGTAATGCTGTAAAAAGTAAATTTCTAGTTCTTCTATATGTGTTAATTTTATCTTTCTAATTCCCACACGAAGAATTGTATTATTACGTTGTTTTTGTAGGCATTAGCGTGAAAATAAAAGGTTTCGCGAATACATGTTGGACAACGGACAAACAAGAAATGGACGAGAGGGGGCAATACAGAGAAGGAACCGAAACGGTTTCCGGTCACGAAGAATATTTCGAAACGAAATATTATCTTGTCGGATCGGCTTCGGGTAAGATTCTAAAATGTTTTCTTCACTGTAAACTCCCGCTAAAATGTGTTTAATCACTCGTTCAGGTGGTGAGATCGAAGTACAAAGCGGCGAACACAAGTTCCCATTTAAGTGTGCGTTGCCCATGAACATACCGAGTAGTTTCGAGTCTGATTTTGGGTACGTCCGGTATATCGTCAAGGCAACATTGGATCGTCCATGGAAGTTCGATCATGATGTGAAAATTCCTTTCACGGTGGTGCAACCATTTGACCTTAATCAAGAACAAAGAGCTTCGGTACGTCGTTTTTCTTTTCAACTGGCTGTAAAGTTTAATATACATAAAGTGTTTCAAGTATAAATGGGAAATTTATCGTAATCGTCACAAGAAGCTAAAAGTTAATTTTTCTAATTTCCTTTCGTTATCCGTTTTCAGGAGAAAGTTCAAGAGGAGATGACCAAAACGTTTTGCTGTTTATGTTGCGCGAGTGCGCCTTTGACCGTCAACTATTCTTTACCAGTCAGAGGTTATGTACCGGGACAGGCAATGCCAGTAGCGATTAACGTTGAAAATGCGTCTGGAGTAACGGTGGATACTGTGAAGCTCGTTCTCTGTAAGGTATACACAAATTACCGTGTCTTTTAACAACAAACATTGATACTATACAATGTGTTTGATGATAACGATGAATCGTGAAGTCTAGATCGTAACTTTCCGCGCAACCACACCGAGTACCGATACCAGAACGGAAGAAATCGTGGTAGCGGAAGTTGGCAAAGGACCCGTCGAAGGTGGAGGAACGGCCGAATATCTACAGTATCTCGATATTCCCCCGCTACCGCCGTCAAATCTCGCGAATTGTGGGATCATCGATCTAGAGTACAATCTGAAGATTGTCGCATGTGTGTCAGGATGGTTAGTATAGACACGTATAAATACTAGTATATCAAATTACTGGAACATATGAGGTAACCAAGAAACTTCTGTTGTTCGCTCATGCGTTGCAGTTTGAATAATCATGGTGACCAAAACAGTTCTATCGCTGTTTGAGGTGTAAATAAAAATGTTTGGATTTTATATATAAACAAATATAAATACATATAGATATACATATATTATTTTACGTAAGATATACAAAGCATTTTTATTTATACCTCAGTAAACGACAGAATTTCTTTGGTCACCATGGTTATTCTAATTAGAGCGCATACACGAACGTGTATGAACGAAGCAAGGACTCTCTTGGTTACATAATAAAATGCCGATCACCATCAACCTTTAACTAAAGAGGACTAGTACGGCTCAAAATAAGACGAAAGTCGAGAATAACGAAATTGCGTTCGAGACTTCATTTTCAAGAAAATCGAATTCGAAAATTAATTTGAAACGCGTGTATCCGAGATGGTGGTGTAAGTAGAAACGGAATGCAATGCACAGACGTGCTAAAAGAGTCTCCTATACACAAGGGAAGGCACGGAAGTATCCTCCTTCGATTTTGATGAAACTTCGTATGTCTGCTAAGCAGTCAAAAATAAGGGATACGTATTTTTTTTTATCGCCTGAGACGCGACTGTAAGGGGTGAAACCACCCCTCGAAGTTTCGATCCGAAAGTACTCGAAAACTAGAGGAGGTATATGAAAACTTTTAATGGACGAGGTTTGCGGTTTTTGTGTAGAATAACATGCTGCTAACAAATTGTCCAAAATATAATTTGTTTATAACAAACAAATTTCGGATCGAAACTTCGAGGGGTGGTTTCACCCCTTGAAGTCGCGTCTCAGGCGATAAAAAAAAATACGTATCCGTTATTTTTGACTGCTTAACAGACATACGAAGTTTCATTTAGATTTTCAAATTCGATTATCTCGAAAACGAAACCTCAAACACAATTTCGTTATTCTCGATTTTCGTCTTAGTTGGGAATATAGAATCCACTCTGTGAAAGTGTACCATAATTATTTTAATACCCTGTATAATATAACTCGAAGAATAGGGACGCATGAAATTTCTTCCATTAAAGGACATGAACAATATGGAATGTGTTAAATCGGTAATTCTGTTTCAGGTATCACAGAAATTTGTCTAGAAACACTCTCATATTTGTGGGCACGATACCGTTAGTAAACTATCAGACTCCCAGCGCTCCGCTGATGGATCCGTCGAAACCGGAAATTGGATGGACGCCGCCGGAAGGAATCGCAACATCGAATTTATACCCGAATTTACGTACGAATATAAGCTATTTTATAAAGTTTCTCTTTTAAAGAATCAGTTTCGATATTTTCCACAAGGGTTTTAACTTCAATACAATTTCATTTTAGCTCCGCCATCATACGAGGAGTCGACCAATGGTGCTAGAAGTCTATGGGAACGTGGCGAATCCGATCATATTTTCGGCATAACGAATCGTTTTGCTCCAAAATATCCGGTGTACAATTTTGGACCTGTTCAATGAACAACGAAGCAAAGACTATACTAATCTAAAGGGAAATCACGTGTTTTATATTGCAGCCTAAAAAGCACATTTTGAAAGCTTTACAATCAAGTTAGACGTTCAAGATTACCGTGGACATTTTCAAGCTGGCAGTCTCAGTTCTCACGGTTGTCAATATATGAAGTATTTTTAAGAATTAAAAAGATAATTAGCTCGTAGCATATAAGATGTCTCGAATGATATTCACAAGCAACAGGTATTTTCAAAAATTGATTATTTTTCGAATTATTTGTTGATGAAAGTAATATTATAATATCTTAATGCGTGTAATAGCATTTTTTATTAGAAGAAATTAATGTTAGAAGACATATGCTATTAAGAAAAGCCTTACAGAGTGAATTTTGAGACTTCTCAAGCTTAAGTTCGTACACGAAATTTATGTGCCTGAATTAATATAAGTATTTGGCCAATGAAAGACGCACAACACATAAATACTCATAATGGAAACGATCAAAGTCTATAATGGTTTTTTTGCAATTGTCTTTTTTTTGAAGAGTGTACTCGTATGTCAGAATTAGGTCCAAAGCAATATGATATAATTATTCTTGAACGGCCGTTGTCTACACAATACCTGCCATGAGAATTCTGCTTAATCTACACTTTTTATACGTATATATGATTATGTATTATTATTTATGTGCGTATATGATATTCGACGAAAGGAGGAGGAGAATAAACATGATTATAAGATCTGTATTTATATTTACCATGTTGTGAATAAAATGTATGTTTTTCATATATGGCAATTTTTATGTAGCACCCTATATATACCTGCGTCGCAGAAGTAAAGGGCTTACTGCCCCCCCCCCTGGATGGAAAAAAGGAGCTTTTTCCCCACCCTACAAGAAAAAAATTGGATTTTGCCTCCCTCTCCCTTCCCACAATTACAATTTTTTTTCGTAATTTTTAATGTTGCAGTATACGTTGAAACACAACCAACAGCCTCTATTAACAAAACGGATACATTTGCAACGATTTATGGCTTTAAAAACAAAATAAAGTGTGCCTGGCTACGTACAGCTTTTTTCACTGTGGCAGTCGATGTGTTAATATTTTTGCCCCCCCCCCCTCGACTGATAATCTGTTTACGCCCAAGGTGATTGATGTTCGTTTATTGCACAATTTCTGGAATTCTGGCCCTCTAGAGTCCCGAAATGTGCAATAAACGAATGACTACTGTATACCTTGTTTGTACTTTTATGAAAATAGGCCCCGTCAAGTGGCGCCGTCTACATGCATAATTACAAGTTATTCATGAAATATACATTTTGCATTACCGTTAATGTCGTTTAATAAAAAAAAGTTCACCGATCACTGTACAAGTATGCATAACACATTATATTCAGTGTTCATACCACGAAATAATGTTTACATATGAAAATTAAATTTAAAATTAAGAATTAAAAATTTTGTATGCTTTGTTAGTTAATCCAGTTTTATTTCCTGCCTACGAAATTTCACTAAACGTTCGCGGTGAACTAGAATTTTGTTTTCTTTGATTGCAGCTCAATTAAAATTAGTCTGGCGCTGGTTGTCACATTTCCCTTTAATACTGACAACACTAAAGACGTCATATGTATAGATTAAAGAAATAATATTTTCTCTAGATTCAATTACCTTTTAACAATGCGTTAATTTTTCTTTCTTCCAATTTTCCACTTAACTTCTGCAGATTAGCTTCCTCAATACTTGTCCTCTGCAATGAAAGCTTTACCAGCTGCAGCTAAAATAGACTTCACATAAATTCACCTCTATAAATAGTATAATTTAATTATTGTTTCTAATTCTCGTGTTACAAATGTTTTGAAAGCCAAACATTTCCTACATCATTTTATAATTCCTAACATACCGAAAAGAATTCATGCACAATGTTGCATAAATGTTAAATACGTGATACAACGTATTTGCATAATCTAACGAAATTAATATAAAATTCCTAGGTACGCAACTCGCTACCCTTTACATTCTTATATCGATCCCATGAATCGAATGTTCAGCGGGAAATGTATTATTCAGAGATATGAAAAATAATATATTCTTCGTACTTCGTTTAGTCACGGCACTAACATTCAAGGTGTTTATTGATTTGTGGTTGATCATATTTTGCGGAAAGATTTCCACCGATAACCTCGGGGTACAATTCGTCACACACGTATACAGCCTATCTGGTATTCGCATCTTGACAACGAACAGCTAGATTTCGTGCTGCTTCGCTGCCATGTTTACAGAGGAATGATCTTATCGTCGACGGACGGTGGGTATCAGATTAATCGTGGTTCCACATTATTTGTCGAAGAATTTCCACCCGAATCGATACAACTGTGACAATCTTGGGATTGTGAATACAGTAACACGTGTTCCACTCTTTTCGTACCCTGTCGGTTAATGAGGCCCGTACTATGATTGCCAACTTGTCGAATATGAGCGCGAAAACACGTATACACGTACCGCGGAAACAAAAGTAGCACGGTACAATTATATTTCCATGTATGTCGTTCTGTATGCGTATACAGTACCTGCCAAAAGTCTATCAACCTTCAGGTTTCTCAGGTACATCTTCGTTCAGAGTGTATGGATACCTAACAAATTATAATATATTTTAATGGTGGGTATAATTAATTAAATAAATGACTTAGTTATGAAGATAGGAATTTCTAAAAAAACAATTTTATTTGGAATCTACAAAATAAGTTAAACTGAGTGGTGAACTTTGGAACATCGTAATAAGAATAAATGCTAATAAAATTTTAATTCTGGTTGATGTATTATGTTTTCTGGAATTTATAGATTTTGCTGGAGTCACGATACGCCACGAGGAACGTTCACAGGGCGTGGCAATAATTACCGTTGATAATGGTAATTATTGCTTCGCACGCCTACATATACATATATACAGCGTGTTCCAAAATAACTTCGACTCCCGGAAATGAGGGGTTCCTGGGATGATTTGAAACAACTTTTTCCTTAGCAAAAATGTTATTCGAGGCTTTGTTAACGAGATATTAACGAAAAACCCCGACCAATCAGAACTCGACCGGCAAACTCACGCTCTGATTGGTCGGGGTTTTTTGTTAATATCTTGTTAACAAAGCTTCGGATGAAATTTTTGCTAAGGAAAAAGTTGTTTCAAATCATCTCAGGAACCCATCATTTTCGGGAGTCGAAGTTATTTTGGAACACCCTGTATATATTATACTTTGGAACACCCTGTAGTAAGGTTACACATTATATCGCAGAAATGTGCACTAATTGCTGCTACAAAATACCAATTAACTTGTTTCATAATTGATTTTTCTGTACGAGCTTGGTGATATTTTAAGAAAGGAACGGTAACTTTATTTTTCGTCAACGAATACACACCAACAACAATTTTTGCATCAGTTGCAAGTCAGTGAATTAATTCGTCGATGCATAAATTGTCACAATTGGTAACGTTTGATGTTGATTTTCATGTGACCGACCAGTGTTCTTAATCTTATTAAATAATTGCATTACTTAAAACGATTGGACCTAGTAAAACGACTTTAAATTAACGTTTATGTAAAAGTAATAAATTCTAGTAACTTTTTCTCTCGTCTGTTTTAGTTCGATTGAAATGTATATTTTACGGTTAAATAAATTGTTAAGGGGTATGCGTATTTATTATTGTTTTTTGGGGGATGTAATTGAAAAAGAAACGTGTGTCACTTTGTTCGTGTACTTTTCAAGATTAAACAGAGGCATAGCGAAATAGAAGCACTGGACTTTACGTACCTTCGCAGTCACTTAAGGTTGATCGATCACGTGGAAGTATCACTGGGACAGTTTCTCGTCCTTGGGAGTGCGAAATGAAATATTCGTGGACTATGATCTAACTTTTGTGCGGATGTTCAACTAGCAAGGGTAGTATGGATCGCGCGAAAGGTAGGCCGCCTTTGTTTGAGGGATTTCGTCATCAAGTCGTCATCGAAGTCTGTTGTTATAGCCTATGGAAGAACCATTGCGTGTGACACACGTGTCTCGAATCATAAGAAGAACGAAATTAAACAGCTGTAAACGTGAAACGATTCAAATTTAGTAATTTTATGCGATCAATCGCATTATTTAGTACGGAATTAGAGTTACGAATACGGCTAGAGTCACTTTCCTTCTGTAATTATACTTTCATAGAAATTGTTAAATACTTCCTACATAGCACACAGACGGCTTAAGACAGCTTAATGACTGCTTAAAGGCCCCTCGGACCTAAAATAGCCGTAACATGGGCGTCTTCAAGGCGTCGTGTGCTATCTGGGTGTCATTTTCGTTTACTTTGTCACTAATTATTTTCCACAAGATTTCAAAGGTAAAAATCGTGGAATAGATGTTTGTTTGATTGTAAATTTGTTTGATTGTATCAACGTTTATAAGCAACAGTTACGACCATGCTAGACTGAGGTTTATTCACAATGAGAGTCGAAACGAAACAAGCACGGTGAAATATAGTAAGGAGGCAGACCAACAACTTGAGCTCAATGGTATAAACTTGCGGGTATACGTCGTCTGCATAGGCGACAAGCTTTTACGATACGTCGACACGATATTATTAAAACAGGCAGGTAACTCGTCAACGGAAACACCAATTTCGAAAACCTAACAGATAAACTGGACAAATAGGGTAAATGTCGCAATTACTGCCCGTGTCCTTAACACTGTCGTTTTATTAATTTTAAAAACGTAACGCACTAAGAATTGTGTCCAGAAAATTTTGTTATTAAATTGGGACTTTGACTTGTATATAAACAAAGAAATACATTCACTTGTATGTATCTAGTATTTAAAAATTAATGTTCAAAAATGAAACTGAAATATGAGTGTTAAAAAGCTGACTATGTATGCAAGTAGGAAGTGATGGCGAAATTATATTAAAGAAAGGGCCGTAATTTTACTATTGTACAAAATGAATTGTTAAAATATATAAGAATTACTTTAATTTTTAGGTGACAGTTATAGGGACACTGGGATTGCTCGGTGATTTTAATTGATTATTAAT